TTTTATTTTGGAAATGTTCTTATATCATTGTGTGCAGCTTTTAATTAACAAAAGTGATGCACCCTATTCAGTTACTACCTTCACATTTTTTCAGGTGGAAGCTACTTTGCAGGGCTGGGATAACTTGGAAGTGTGTGTTTACATGTTGCAGCTAAATGATCTGCAAATAAGCTACACAATGTGGGTAGTTTGCAGAACAACCCGTTCCACACCAGAATTATGATTACCTTCCTCCATATGGCTCTGGCATGTACCCCATGGGCTTTTGCAGTGGAATCCTTTGCTTCCTTGATACATCATCAGCCTTTTTACTCTAGGTCCATTGTGCATTTGGAGTGTGTTTTGCCTTTGGCAGCCCCCAGTGGAAGGTTTTTCCATCCTTCCCCTGCCCTTGTACCTTTTGATACCTGCCTATATTTCTCATAAAAACTGTAAACCATTCCATGCCTTCTTAGCATTAATGTACTGCTATCTTTTCAAGCCTATGCTGCTTGTTTGGCTCGTTCATTTATATCCACACAGTTTTGATGCATAGGAGTATCCGTTGAAGGATTACATGTCTCTGTGGTGAGCTCCACCATCGCACCAATCTCCTTTCATGGTGTATCTTCTTTTATTTGCATCTCCTGCAGATGTTTGACTCTAGCCACACAAGTCTGAAAAAGGCTCTTTACATGGCCCTGCTCTGCCCCCTCTTCCTCCTGCAGCATTCAGGTGCAGCAAAGCCATTAGGGAATCCCGTACAGGTGCTTTGTGATGGTACTAGGGGACCTAACAAAGAAGTATCAAGCAGGTAGCAAGTGGGGTACCTCAGGATTCAGTGATGGGCCCAGTGCTCTTTCATTTTCATTAATGACTTGGGTAAGGAAGTGTAGGGAGCAATGATCAAATTTGCAAATGCCACAATGCTGGGTTAGGTAGCTAATACTCTGGAAGTCAGAAAGAGAAGATTCACAGAAAGAAGATTCACAGTGATTTCAATAGTTTGGAGCACTGGACTGAAAACAATAGTATGAAATTCAGTAGGGACAAATGGCAAGTTCTACATCTAGGAAAAAGAAAACAAATGCATCTCTACAAGATAGGGAGTGCTTGTCTCAACAATACTGCAGGTGAGAAGGATCTTGAAATTGTTGTAGATCACAAGCTGAATATGAGTCAACAATGTGATATGGCTGCAAAAAGGACAAATGCATTAATAGAAGTATCATTTTCAAATCCAGTGAGGTACTAGCTCCCTTTCATTCAGCACTGGTTAGGCTTCATCTGGAGTAATGTGTCCAGTTCTGGACACCACAGTTTAAGAAACATGCAGACAAGGTGGAGAGGATTCATAGGAGGGTAGCAAGGATGACCCAGAGACTCAAAACAAAGCTGTATGAGGAGAAATTGAAAGAATGTTTAGCCTTGAGAAGACAAGACTGAGGAGAGACATGATAGCATTCTTCAAGTACTTGAAAGATTGTCACAAAGAAAGAGGACAGGATCTCATCTCAGTGATCCCAGAGTACAGAACATGGAGTAATGGGCTCAAGTTACAGGAAGCCAGATTCCGGCTAGATATCAGGAAAAATTTCCTGACTGTAAGAGCAGAATGACAATGGAACCCATCACCTAGGTAGGTTGTGAACTCTCATACGCTAGAGGCACTCAAGATGCAACTGCACAGCCATCTGAGAAGGATGGTTTAACTTGGAGTCCTGAACTGAGAAGGTGGTTGGACCTGATGGCCTTCTGGCCCCTTCCAACTCTACTATTCTATTCTATGACTCTACTTTGTGGTCTCTGCGTATTACACATATGGATGCTGTACCTATGTGAATGTACAGATAATCACTCAAAGAACAACAGTTCCAGGTAAGCAACTTGCCCCTTTGAGCTGCTCATCACAGTGATTAGTAAAGACTTTTACAGCAGAGTTATTTGTAGCAAAAATGAGTTCTTCCTCTTTTGTAACACCCTTCAGAGTACAGAACAGTGGTGGAAGCAGCCAATTCTTGTACTTACTGAGATGCTGAGAAAGGCAGAGCTAAACAAGAAGCAAGTGGTTGAGACAGAGGTGTGGAAAATCAACACTTTAAATTGGGTTACTTATTTTGATCCCTTGTGGTGAGGGGAAGCTGGTACTATTAGTACTGAAATTAGATGTCAGGGAAAGGGCAAGGGATGCTTTCCAGCCTGTGCAATTTTTGTTCTTCAGCATCTCTGGAAAAGTACACAGGTGACTTGCATCTCTGTCTGCATCTTCTGTTCCACCTTTCTAAGACCTGATCTCTGCAAGTGAAACTTTTGTTTGCTTAAAGATTAAATTTAATCATTATGAATCTTCTGTCTTTTCCCTGAAAGGGAGAGTTGGCCCCTCCCTATTTGTGAGGCTTGCAATGAATAGGTAATTTAAAGTCAAGGCTAGCAGGTCTAACAAATTACAGATGTGACCCTGATGTGCCAGCTTGCCCCCTTAAAAATACCTAGTGTGATCAAAAGTATACAGAACTACTTGACTTGCAGAACAGCTGCTTCTGCCAGAATCTTCTCTTCCCTCCCACTTCCCATATTGCAGGATACTTATAGTATAGGTATATATTGTATACACACATATGCATGCACATATAATGTACAATGACAAATATAGTCTTGGATATGGTACTGTCACTTTCTCCCCTTCAGTTAGGTTAGCAATATTTTCCTCATCAGTTGTGCTATTAGTAATAGAAAACTTCATTTCTATATGATTTTGTTTTATATCTTTTTATTTTTTAGTACAGATGCATTGGTGAGTGTGGGAAGAATTGAATCAAAATGTTGACTCAATGCTTTTATTTAATTTTTTCTAGCAGTAGAGAGTTTGCAAGAAGCTTATGCTAGCTATCAAAATGGACAAACTATGTACTAAGGGCATCAGCTTTCTAGGCATGTCTGAGAAAGTAGAATGAATTTCTTAAAACTCAGGAATGGAAGTCACAACAGTAAGCTGTAAATGAGTTGCAGAGATTTCCATTTACTGGAATGGATTTCTAATTACTCATTTGTATACTGCTGCATACCAATATGCACCCAATCCTGTGCAAATTATTCTAGCTTCAGGTTAGCAGTCTTTGTGATACCTCAGTTGCTATGACCTGGAAAAAGAAAACAGCTCTTGGCATTTAAAACTGCTGTCTTACAGGTTCTTAAAGAGAAAATGATTCTGTTCTGTTGAATTTCCTAGAGGCTCTTTTCTGAGTGTTACAGTTCCTTGCCATCAGGCATTCATGCAGATTCCCTGAGTATTGGTTTCTATTGTGGAACAAAGAATAGTGATACATCTGGAGTTCCCCATGTTTGTGTGTGCACATATGATACAGGCCAACTGACAAACTGAAAAAGGCAATTTAAAATGTATGTGCTCTTAAAGTAATGTAGATATTTTGAATGTTACTGTTGCTCTGGCATAAGCAAATTCTAATGAGAAATACTTCCATGACTCTAAGAAGTGAATTTTGTCTTAGAACAGGTCAGAATGGGGCAAAGTAAAATGTGTGGGAATGATATTGGGATATTGTTTGCATGAGTCCTGTACAATCTGTTCCTCACCAGGAGGAATGTTAACTTGGCCTTTTCATTTCATCCATCAGGGCTGCATGAGTGCTTTGGATATTGCTTGTTTCCTGCCTTGCCCGCAGAGCTGGTTTCTGTCAGCAGAAACAGAATGATTTTCCTTTAGCTTTCCCACAATCTGCCGTGGTGGCATAGGGACCTCTTCAGAGCAGATGAAGAGTGGTTGGGAGGAGGAGTAGAAGAATGTGAAGTTAAGTCCCATGTGCATGTGAAATTTCACTAGCACAGCATTGCATATAACCAGTGAACTCATGTTCATTGTCAACTAAACATGTAGCAATATTTGCATAGTTTTTAGTATGATCCAGTGTGGCAAAGCTGGCTTTCTAAAATTTGTCATTTCTGTATCTAAAATCAGAGGGTAGAAGGTTAGTTGTAGTGCTTGTGGTATATTTGCCACAAGAGACCTCTAAAACATCTTTTTCCCCCTAACTTATATACCTACAGGTTTTCAAAGAGATCCAAAAAACTATGTTTGGCATTCACAGAATATTTTTCTGTTCTCTCTTCCAACTTTTCAATGGCAAATCAATGTGCCATGTCACAAACTTTTCCTGGATTTAAAAATCCGCATGATATGGGTGTTTTCTGCTTGAGCAGGTGAAATACAAGGAGCTCTTGTACAGGTTGGACTAGTACTGTGGTAATTTGGTTCTTATCCTTAAATTTTAAGTAATGGGGTATACAACTCTATGTCAGTCACGTGAACATTTTCATAGCTTCATCCCCAACACCCTTAGGAAAATTGTGACACATAGTACTTCTATTTCAGCACTAGCCACTTCAGTCTGAGTTCTTTCAATAATACAAGTAGTGTGCCTACTAAGTGCAAACCACCAAAAGATTAAGGATCTAGTCTCACCATTGATTTTAAAATAATTCTGTTAACTCTGAAGATTCTTCAATAACTAAGTATTGCAAACTTTGCTTACATTTAAGTTTGCATCAAAGAAGATGTAGCCTGCCATTTTGAAACATTTTTACCCTGTACAAGTTAAGGTTAAAACATGTTAAATCTGTAAATTTAAGCTCAGGTGTATTTGGATTAGGTGTTAATATTCCAGGCAAAACAAAGTTTAGGCATACAATAACAGGCATTATCTTTCCATTATTTTTTTTCTTCCATACCTTCATATATCTGCATGCCATAATAAAGCATTTATTAGGCAAATTGATTCCAACAGGTGTACAAGAGACATCTTGGGCATAGCTGCAATCTATTTCCTCTATAGTGGTTGAGGATAGGAACAGAATTCTAGAATTGAATATGTAGACCTGATAATGACAGGTTTTCTGTATCCAGCATGAAATGAAGGCCCCGTGGGATCAGTTTTTCTTCTTAAATCAGCCTTATGGATAATTAAGATCACAAATGATAAGTCTTTGGTTATTTTCTCTTTAAGACGCTGTGTGGACAGTAATGACCGCACGTTTCCGATTGCCTGCTGGCAGAACCTACAATGTACGAGCATCTGAACTGGCACGAGACAGACAGCATACAGAGGTGGTCTGCAATATTCTTCTTTTGGATAATACTGTGCAAGCTTTCAGAGTTAATGTAAGTACATAGTTTTCAGAAAGTTACAATTCTTCATGTGGTATTACTTCATGATTGAGCTTTAAGCTTCAGAAGGTGATCCCTTGATTTCTTATATTGTGGCTTATAAGCAATCATGTGCTCTACATATCCATTTATGTAATCATGATTAAAAAATAAAAGGTGAATTTGCAAGCATCTGTTGTTAAAGTGGATTTCCTTCTTGAAAACATTATTTATTTTTTAACTTATTTTAATTTATAGTTTATTTTATTTTTGTGACTTGGTCTTTTTTCTGGCTTACTTTACACTCTTCAGGACTTCCTAAAGATATGATTTGAAAGTAAGAGGAGATTTCCCAGACCTGAGCTTGCTAGAATCAATAGCTAAGTGTACAGTTTATGCTCAAAAGACTGCAGTGTGTATTAGCAAGTTGTTTTGCTTTCAGTAATATTAATGTTGTTTGGTTTAGTGGCTAAGTATGAACTGTGTGCCAAAAATTCTCTGATTGGAATCACAGTTCAGCCACATTAGTCTGGCATTAGGTAGCCCATTTTTTCAACCTAATGCTGCCCTCTCCCACTCCCTTCTATATGGAAATGACTGCTTGCAGCATGTTTACAGGGATGCAGTTATAACATGTATGATTAATTACAGCATTGAGGGATATATGCTAAATCATTTTAGATTAATCAAAGTGCTATATTAATAGTATATAATATTATTTAGAAATGGAAGGTCTCTCCAAGAGCTTAACTGCACCACCACATGAAGCTAGACTCCTTGTCACTTCCTGCACTCCAAGATCCTGATTTTTTTTTTTAGCACTACTGCTACTGTGATGAAAAAGCTATCTTTATGAAGATTGCTGCAGTAAGGTCTCTGCTGGTAGCAGCAAGGAAAGAGCTGCCTGTATGAGAATCACTGGAGTGTGCGCATGTGTATATATATATGCATGCACATATGCATCTGAGTGCATGTTGCCCTCAACCTCCAGGCTGGTAGCACATGTGGTCCTCAAAAAGATGATGCACCTGTTTTAGAAGCCCTTTAATCCCATTTCCTGGCCTCATTAAGCATCTCATAATGGAGATTTAAGGCCTTCCAAAGTTTAGTGGGAGAATGTACAAATGTAAAAGTCTGGAAAAAATGGATGGGGAATGTTTGTTTGCTTTTTGGCCTTTTATATCTCTACAGCAGCAATCATTCTCCTGATTTTTCAATTGTGGATTTTGGATTTCTTCCATACTTCTGATAAATATTTATGCAAGCTTTTACATAAGTCTGTATGAACTCATAGTATTGCAATAACTAATCTGCAGTGTTGTCACATCTACAAATTCAGATCAGTCTTCTTTGTTTATACTATTGCCAACTGTTAATTTTGGTCTAAATTTCATTTCTTGAAAGATGCTTCCTGGGTTATTTTTCAAGCAGTCCTGTTTCCACCTGCTTTGTCATGTTCCTGCTTTTTCTGACTGCCACACTGTCCTGCACGCTCTCTGTCTTGTGTCCCACTGCTGCACTCAAAACTGCCTTGGATAGTCTTTTATGTAAAGGGCACATTGTTAGTATATATAAGAATTCATTTCTTATTTGTACAACAAAATGTGATACTGGCTTAGTTTGTACCCTACTTCAGCCCACCCTGGCAGTAAGTCAAGATAGGTGGTTGTTTTACAAAGTCCCTACAATGCGCCTGGCAGGCAATCAAGCTTCATTGTACGTACTTCATTCCTAGGTATTTGTAGATACTTGTGCTTCCTTCTCCCTGCTTCCCCAGGAGTCCTCTCTCTCTAACAACTGCTGTCAGAGGGACTCTGTAGCACAATGAGCTAAACTTATAGCACTTGAAGTGGGCAGGCCTCCTGCACATTGCCCCAGCCAAGGCTAGAAGTTGAGGTCATTGCACTTCAAGGCAGGAGTTCTGTTTGACTGATGGAGCAAAGTATATGTATGTTCCATGCACATATTACAATGAAGCTTCTGCCCTGAAATGCAACAAAATTCTCTGGCTTCACTGCCTCATCCAGAAGGAGTAGAAGGCAGGGTTGCCTGATCTACTCAGTGCCATCCCCTCAAATGTGGGGCAGCACTACCAAACAGCCTCCTGCTGGAGCAGTCTACTGTCAGACAGGAGAAGGGTGCTTGATCCGCTTGGTGGTGCTGCCCCAAATGGGTATGGCATCCCTATCTCCTCCAGGCTGAGAATAAACCTCTTGAACAGAAGGCAGGCAAGCCCAGTCTGTTCCCCATTACTGCCCCAGCATGGGGCAACACCATAGAGCAGGTTACTGACTCCTGACTGTTGGCCAGTCTTGATAGCAGAATAGATCTCCTCAACTCCTAGAAAAGACGTCTGCTCATCCTTTCTGAGGTTGCGCATCCACCCCCCACCCCACCTGTCAAGGGGGAGCCGATTCTAGCCAGTCTTGTGGCTGGAGAGGACTACTCTGAAGCTGTTGACAAGGGTATCTGTTCTGCCAGGAAAAAGCTTCTGACAGTAGCTCCCAACAGCTGATGATATTGCTACTCTTGCCATGCTGGCTGCTAGGGTTTACCCACAGTGGGCCCTGTTGCCTGGTTGCAGATGAAATGACAGAGTACAATGGGAGGTAATAACTTTAAAGAAGTCCTTCTACAATAGGATGGCTTACTTGAAAAAAGCTGCTCTTAGTGCAGCAGCCCTTGTGGGTTCAACATGACAACACATACAAAATAACAAATAGTTTAATTGTTGCGTTTTCTGAGCCAATCCATATTGGATTCACATGTTAACCAAGAAATTGCCAAACAGAAAGCACAATTTATTAATTTATTATTTTTATTCTACCCAATAATGAAGGTTATCATCCCCACAAATGGGTGGGTTTTGCTTCTCTGCTAACATGCAAAACAGGAATTCACACATCTGTACTGTATTGGCAAGGCTTCTGTGTACCCTTGACACATGATAGAGGTGGGGTTTAGATTGACAGTTGCAAGTAAAGTTTCTCTGAGAAGTAGTCACACTATACATAAACTTGTGAATTGTTAGTTGTATCTGGTGACTTAAGATACCTATGGGAACCCTCTTTTTTGATGGCTGTACAGCAATCCAAAAATGATATTCCCTTAAACCTTCCCACTGTAATCCCAGCCCTTATGCCAGGCTTTTCCATGATGCTCAGGAGAAGTCTTCTGGGGGCACAGTGGTCTGGGCTGGAGCAGAATCTTTCAGATATGTGTATTTTTGAGAAATTTGGCACAAAGCACTATTTTATTTAGAACCTTTGCAACAATGAATATAAAAATTGATGGAATTCTCTTGTTATACCTTGGCAATGGATTATTGTTTAACAGGGCCAAAATAAAGTCTCGGTGCTATTCAGCTAAAATAAGAATATATTACATGATGTGAATTTTTAGTTTGGTGCGTTTATCACACTGATTATAGTTAACAAGTAAAACACGTTCCTCCTGTCTTTGTGAGAAGATGTTTTTCAGTGCTATCCTAATGTATGTTTATTCATGGGTAAGTACATTAATGTTTAACTGTGACTTACTCTTAGGTAATCTAGGATTTTATCCAAAATTACTTCAATTATTCTAACAGCTACAATCGCATTGTGGGTTCAGAGTAAAGGTGTTTGTGGCTATGAAGAGCTCAGCATTAATATTTTGTTAATGCAGAAGAAATTGTTAGGCTCTGAATCAAATGGAGATACTACTATGATTTTTCTCAGGGTTAATTGCATATGTATTCTAAGATTGCTTTGCAAATAAACTTAACCTTTATGGGTATGCTAGCAGTAACCGTCCATGCCGTCCAGCGGAGCTTTTTCGAGTGGTGCAAGGCCTGGTTCGCCTGGGTCCTAAGGAAGATCCGATGCCACCCTCAAAGGCCCGTTGTGACGACTTTGCCAGGCATTTCAGGGAGAAAATCGCTCAGATTCGTCACGAGCTGGACTCCACTAATGAATCAGAGGTCTCTGAGGAGTCGCCAATGCCACCGTCTGGTCCAAAATTACTGGAGGAATTTCAATTATTGCGGCCCAATGATGTGGACAAGGTGCTTGGAAGAGTACGTCCCACCACTTGCCTATTGGATCCTTGCCCGTCTTGGTTAATAAATAACTCCAAGCACGGGATTGGGACCTGGATTTTGGAAGTGGTTAACGCTTCTCTGAGGGAGGGTCGAGTGCCTGCCCCTTTAAAGGAGGCGGTAATACGACCGGTCCTGAAGAAAGCGTCACTGGATCCAGAGATGGCCACTAACTATAGACCTGTGGCCAACATCCCGTTTCTGGGCAAGGTGCTGGAGCGAGTGGTGGCGGGACAACTCCAAGCACTCTTGGAGGAAACTGATTATCTGGATCCTTTTCAGTCCGGCTTCAGACCCGGGTACAGTACTGAATCTGCCTTGGTCGCCCTGTACGACGACCTGTGCAGGGAGAAGGACAGGGGGAGTACATCCCTGTTGGTTCTTCTGGACCTCTCGGCGGCTTTCGATACCATCGACCATGGTATCCTTCTGGACAGACTTGCGGGATTGGGGGTTGGAGGCACTGCTTTGCAGTGGTTCCGCTCCTATCTCAACGGTCGATTCCAGAAGGTAGTGCTGGGGGACCATGTCTCTACGTCATGGCAGCTATGCCATGGGGTACCACAGGGCTCCATTCTATCCCCTCTGCTATTTAACATCTATATGAAACCGCTGGGAGAGGTCATCAGGAGGTGTGGGCTGCGGAATCATCAATACGCTGATGATACCCAGCTTTACCTCTCATTCTCCACTAACCCAGATGAGGCAGTGGCTGTGCTGAACCGGTGCTTGACCGAGGTAAGGGAATGGTTGAGGGCCAATAAACTGAAACTCAACCCAGACAAGACGGAGGTCCTGTTGGTTGGCGGATCGGGTTTCGGAGAGGGTGGATTTGACCTGGTCCTGAATGGTGCAACACTCCCTCTTAGGGATAAGGTCCGCAGCTTAGGAGTACTCCTCGACCCGGAGCTTTCTTTGGAAGCTCAGGTGACAGTGGTGGCGAGGAGCGCCTTCCTTCAGCGTTGGCTGATTAATCAGCTGCGCCCCTACCTGGAGTACGACTGCCTGGCGACGGTGACACACGCGCTGGTGACTTCCCGCCTAGACTTCTGTAACGCGCTTTACGTGGGGCTTCCCCTGAAGACAGTCCGAACACTTCAATTGGTGCAAAATAGAGCTGCCAGGTTGCTGACGGGGACGGGGCGTTATGCTCACATGACTCCAGTCCTCCGTCAGCTCCACTGGCTTCCCATTGAAGCCCGGGCCCAATTCAAGGTGTTGATTATGACCTACAAAGCCCTAAACGGCTTGGGTCCTGGCTACCTGAACGAGCGCTTACGTCCGTATATGCCCGACCGCCCTTTGAGATCTGCGGGAGAGTCCCTTCTCCGGGAACCCTCCATGAAAGAAATTAGGAGAGTAAGTACCCGGAGGAGGGCTTTCTCTGCGGTGGCGCCCAACCTATGGAATTCACTCCCCAAAGAGGTCCGCCTGGCACCGTCGTTACTGGTTTTTCGGCGCCAGGTAAAGACCTTTTTATTTAAACATCATTTCAATTGTTAAAACATATGATCTGGCCAGGGCAACTTCTTCTTCCTTCTCTTTCTCCTCCTATATTTTTATTTTATACTGATAATTTTAATTTTGTATTTGTAAATCAATGTATTTTTTGTATTGTTATATTTAATGGTAATTTATTATGTACTATTGTATTTCAATGTATTTTATCATGTTGTAAGCCGCCCCGAGGTTTCGGCAAGGGGCGGCATAGAAATGCTATAATAATAATAATAACAACAACAACAACAACAACAACAACAACAACAACAACCAGTAATAATTTTTATCTGTTTCCTTGTCCAAGAAGCAAGTGAAAGGAAGTGGTTTCTATTTTAAGTTGATGATGGTTGTATAATGGAAATAGATGTGTGATACTTAGGGCTTTATCAAAATACTTGTCCAAGTATCTAAGTGTAATAATAACTGATATTATACTTTATGCTATATATTTGTTGAAAACAAATGCCAGAAAGCTACTTGGAAAATACTTCAATTGGTGCAGAATAGAGCTGCCAGGTTGCTGACGGGGTCTGGGTGTTGTTCTCATATAACCCCAGTTCTCCGTCAGCTCCACTGGCTCCCGATTGAAGTCTGGGCCCAATTCAAGGTGTTGGTTATGACCTGTAAAGCCCTAAACGGCTTGGGACCTGGATATCTAAAGGAACGCTTGCGCCCATATATGCCCTCCCGCCCCTTGAGATCAGCAACGGATGCCCTTCTCCAGGAACCCTCTGTGAATGATATTAGGAGGGTGAGTACCCGGAGGAGGGTTTCTCTGTGGTGGCGCCCCATCTATGGAATGCGCTCCCCAGAGAGGTCCGCCTGGCACCGTCATTATTTGTTTTTCAGCACCAGGCTAGGACCTTTTTATTTAAAACTTATTTTAATTGCTAAATTATTGTATTTATTAGGATTTTAAATTAGCCGAGAATGCACCAGGGGGTTTTAAATGTTTATATATTTTATATAAATATTGTGAGCCACCCCGAGGCTTTGTTGCGATGGGGGCGGCATAGAAATGTTTTAAATAAATAAATAAATAAATAATAAGGCGGTCAAGTATGGTGGGAAAACTTAGTGTGTACCTGCTTTTCATGTCAAATGCGTCATCAGCTAGCTGATTTTCAGCATTTTTGAGCATAGGTAGGGAGTTCTGCATAAATAGCTTGGTGAGCAGGCCAAAGCGTGCAAGGAAGCATGAAAAGACGCACAAATTCTGGAATGTATAAAGAAAACAAAGTAATTTAATTTAATTTTAATAAAACATTATTATCTCGTCTTTTCACTTAATGTCTCAAGACAGCTTACAGAAAAGGTTAAGAAGCAAGAAGTACAAAACCTTAAGTCTGTTGGCCTTTTAATAGTCGTGTTGTGATATACTTCAAGTAATGAAATCTTTTGAATTTGAGGCATACAGTACATGCAGTCATTTGAACAAGGCAAATTTTGCATTCACATTCATTTTATACTTTTCAAATGAAAAGATGTTAAAAATAGACCTGTTAGAGTTTACACTTTCTTTTGTGCTTAGTGAAGGAAGTTAGATTGTTTTTCTGTTTGTGTTTATTTCCATGGTCTATGAATATTTGAAAGAGAAACTGCATTATGATATGTTCATTTAGCCTGAGAGTCACCAAGAAATTAATTAAGGATGCAATCCTATGGCCTCCAGTCATTGTCCGAGGGGCTGTAGTATACTGGAAGTTACTCCCTCTGAAATAGAAGGCTGTGCTCAAACCTTTTGAGCCAGCAAGCAAAAACCAAACCTGCTGCTTTCTGAAGATGGAAAAAATAATCTCAGAGAAGTGGAAGGGGTATTCTTATTCTGCTGGGTGGGGGGAGGAGGAGATTGCAGAAATGGGGCTATCTTGAGCATCCGAGAGCCTCCTTCTCTCCCTGTTCAGTGTCTCTCTAATAAAATAAGAAGGATGGGAGCCAAACCATTTATCTTTTGGTTTGGCTACAGTCCAACATTTAAAATGGCTCTCTTGTTCACATCCAAAGCTTTCTGAGAGACCAGAGCAAACTTTAGATAGATTTTCTTTTCTTTTGAGCATATATGAAGGAACATATGGGCTTCATAATTTTGTTGAACAGCAACTCACATCCTTTACTGTAAACTGTGCTAGCTCCGGTTGATATGATTTGCAGTTGAAAATTTTGGAGGGCCTACTCTAGCTTAGATGATGATAAATGCTTAATTAGATTTCAACTGGGGAGAAGTCAAAGCTTGAACAGCAGTCTTGCAGATAAAACAGTTCTGTGTTCAGTTAAAAAGTCTTAAAGTATTCTGAAGCAGCAGCTTTGGAACCTTGTTTCTGTTTCTCCATATCAAAGTTACTTTGGGCTGGGAAACATGGTTATAGGTCAGGTGGTCTGTTTGGAGATTGAAATTTTGCTCACATTTAGAAACAATTTTATTTAGCATTCTTCTTTTACAGAAGCATGATCAGGGACAAGTTCTGCTGGATATAGTTTTCAAGCATCTTGATCTGACTGAGAGAGACTATTTTGGTTTACAATTGGCTGATGATTCTACTGATAATCCGGTAAGCTGTAGCTATTTTCTCAACAAATTTCTCTTCTTTGCTGTTTTCTTAAAGTTTAAGTGTTGCTGATCACGTAACCTATTTAATCTGTGTCCCTGCTTTGTATATTTAAGGAACCTTTGAAATTTGCACCCAGGGCACTTAAAGAGATTTTTTTGTGCTGTTTCCCTCCTGCCACCTTTAAAGAAATCTGTAAAAATATTTTCTAGATAAATGGGCATATCTTGACGTTACTGCACCTTTCAGTTCTCTTGTGGCATATAAAAGTGTTTCTAGCAAAGTTTTGATGCTTGCTGATGGGTGTTGTGAAAGGTCTGAACTATTAGTTTGGAATATAATCAGCATTCACAGCTAGCTTGTGTTAAAAATCAGTACCATGCAATATATGAACATGCAATGCTGAGTTGAGTGATTTTAACTTTCAGGAAAGTGGATATTGGTTTGCAGCCTAGTACTCATAGAGCACTAAGCTAGAATTCAGGAGCCATTTAACATTTGTTTTTTTATTAAAGCATGGATGAATTGCTTTTCTATTTGAAGGGATCCTCAGAGTGATATGAAATTTTAAGGACTTTTAAACACCTCATAACAAACTTAAAGCTAAACAGAAGTAGCTGCTTAGTAGGTAGAAAGACACATATTAGCTGAGCAAAAGCATCCCTGACCACAGCTGTCACCAGACTCTTGAAGAGGAAAGAGGGCCTAGAAAATTCCTCTAAAAGGTGAACCTGTTCCTCAGTGCAATGCAGGCCCACCCAGAAGAGGCTTATTAACTAATGGATGAAAACTTCTCTGAATTGTGCTCAGTTTGTTAGTCCACATCCAGTCCAACATTGCAGCCACATTGTAAGTGTAAAGTGAAGAATCTGGTTTGGGAGTTGGAGATCTGCTGGATATCCTTGGCTCAGCATCTGCTTTATCTCTACCCAAAGTCCCCTTTCATTGGCATTCAGCAGGAAGTGAGTCCTTAAGGTTAGCTTGTGCATATGCCACTGGGGCAGCCACTGTGCAAGAGGAGTTCTGCTTCAACACGTGACTTGTACTTTGCGCAAAGTATTTCCAAGTGTTTATGGAGTTGATCTCAGCTCAGAAGGATGTCTAGAAAGCTGGATTCTAGCCAGATCCTCATATCCCTAATACATAAGATGGATGAGGACTTTCACAGCCTCCTTGGCATCCATTGAAAAGAGGGCGAGGGGCAGTATCATCAGCATATAAATATGAGTCTCATATTTCTGGATTGCATCCCAAAGTAGATTCATGTAGATCTTAAAAAGCACAGGGGACAAAGTAAAGCCCTGCATAGGCCAGACCCCAAGGAACTGAGCCAGTAGTCTCCCAGCACTTCCAGAACTGCTTGTCCAAATTTAGTACTTAATTATTAACAATATGTATTTACTACTTCAAATTTAAACACATCCTGAATTAATTTACGAAAGAAAGAAAAACAAAACAAGCAAAAAGACCAGAATCAATGGCAGGAAACACCGTTTTTGCACTGCAGCTACCTTTTGATCCCTGTTAACTTGCTTATTTGTTATGGCTAGTATAGATAATAAAGCCTAGCATAATCATTGGAAATATTTGAATTGCTTATATTTGTAACACTTTTTAAAGTACCTAGTTCCAAAGGAGCAAGGCTATAAGTTGAAATTTTAACTGCTGTTTCAATCTTAGAGTGCACACATTAGTTGGTTCCATTCCAAATATCCTGTGGGCTTGTTTAAGCCATTATGATTCTAATTGTAGTTCAGTAGCTGGGAATGCTTTTAATTTATTATCTGTAGGGGGCATTAGAGTAATTTCTTTGAGTTTTCATTTCCTCGTACTCTAGATTGGCTATTTATGTCATCTACAGCAACACTTTAAAAAAGTTAATATGTAGCTGTTAGGTAGTGATTGTAATGGGCACTTTCAGTGACCTATTATTGTTCCAGCTGTTTATAATTCAAAAGCATCTGTGAAAATACTGTAAATATTTTAAACTTTATTTTCTTGCAAAACACTTTTTACTACTATGACACATTTGTATATATGGCATTTTCCAATTAGTATTACAGGAATTGAACGAACACATTGGAGGGGCACTTGAAAAAAAATCAAGGCCAATTAAAATAGTTGCACTGAAAAATGCCCCTTCTCCCAGTTGTTGGATGGGATAGGCAGCCTGATAAGCACATAATTGAACATTTATGTGCATAATATGACATGTGTTGTTTTTCTCTCGTTTTGTGTGTACTTTAGCTTTTTAGCTAATTCAAAGTTAATAAATTTCTGTGTTGAAGATAACCCAAAACTGTGCGCTCCCCAGAGAGGTCCGTCTGGCACCGTCATTTGTTTTTCGGCACCAGGCTAAGACCTTTTTATTTAAAACTTATTTTAATTGTTTAATTATTTGTATTTATAGGATTTTAAATTTTTAGCCGAGATGCACTGGAGGTTTTTAAATAATTTTTTTAATGTTATATTGTTATTTATTTATGTATTTTGTTTCTGTTGTGAGCTACCCCGAGGCTTCGTTGAGATGGGGGCGGCATAAAAATGTTTTAAATAAATAAATATTATTACATTGCATTTATATCCTACTTTTTTTGTCTTGCAAGGAATCCAAGGTGCCTTATGTGGCTCCATTTTTATCCTCACAGCTTCAAAATACATTAAGAGATGCTGAACATGTCTTTGCAGTTTCATCCTAAACACTTTCAATAATTTGTTAACAACTATAACTTAGAAAGGATGCTTTTTAAATAAAAGGAAATGTGAAAGTACCTGAATTATGTGTGAGTTTTGTATAATTTCCTCAGTGCCAATGACTGCAGCCCTGCTTCTTGACCTATATCTGATTGTGATTCATTTATTTCATTTCTATACTTTTCAGTTGCCAAAGTACTCTGGGTGGTTTATATCAGTACATAAAAATACAATAAAATACCAAAAAAGCCTTAACATGTTATGCAAAACATCAAACAAAAAAACAGCTTAAACTGTACAGTGAAGAATAACCCTTTAAAACAGAAAATATGGGCAAGCCTCTTGAGTCCCTGCATATCCATGTATAACTTTTTAAAAGGCTTGAAATAAGTGGCCCTCTTTACTTGGTGCCAAAAAGATGACAAGATGGGTGCCACATAGGTCTTAACAGAGAGGTCCTTCCATAGACAGGGGGCTGCCACAGAGAAAACCTTGCCTCTTGTTGCGGCCCTCTGAGCCTCTGTTGGAGTTGATGTTGGAGGAAAGTCTGGATGTTGAGGTAGATACAGGTAGATTGTGATCTGGGTAGATTGTGACCAGGAGAGACACTCTGTCAAGTATTGTGGTTTTTAAGGCTTCATACCATGGGTCCTCAGACTACGGCCTGTGGGACGGATCCGGCCCACCATGGGCATCAGTCTGGCTCGTGCCGCCGATCTCCAAGCAACCAAGCCACCGCTGCCACCTCCTGCCTCCCGTACATGTGCACTCGCCGCTGCCTCACAGCACAGGTGAGGAGGCGGTGGCTTGCTCACGCAGAGATGGTTTTGGACTCACTGGGAGATCTCCGAGTGAGCGAGCCACCACCCCGTGCGCCCGATGGCGCCTCGCGTAAGCCCGACGGCACCTCACCTGCCTGTGCCCCTAGGCACCCCCACCTCACTGGCCTGTGATGGATACCGCAGCCTTTCAACTGGCCCCATATTGAAAAAGTTTGAGAACCACTGCTTTATACATTAAATCTAGCACATTGAATTCTGTCTGGAAAAATACAGCCAGCCAATGTAGGCAGAACAGAACTGGTCTTATATATTCAGACTCTCATGCCTCATGTACTAACTTGACTACCACACTTTTCAAGAGTTTCAGCTTCTGAACAATCTTCATGTGCAACTACTGCATAGCATGCATTGCACTAATCTACTCTGGAGATTAAAAAAAACCCCAAGACTGTCACTGTCCAGATAGGGCCATAGCTGGTCACCTGAGCTCCAAGTGGGTAAGATGAATCAAGGAGAACCACCAAGCTACATGAGCAGGAGCAAAGGAGTAGGTATGTGAGCATGCAGGGAACGTGCTGAAAGCACCGCTCCACGCCTCCCCTGCCCATTGAGAAGTGGCTTTTCCTCTTCCCACCTCTAATGGAGGGGAAGATGGTGGTCCCTCTTGTGTGGTGGGATGAGGAGCTGCCTATAGTTGCCACTGCAAACCATCTGGGACCCCGTATTGACACATGCACCACTTCAGGACTTCAAGGCAGCCACAACAGTGCAATTAAAGACACCCATGAAAGCAAACTTCCAGAACTGCTTCAGAAAGTGGCAGGAACCATGGGATAAGTGTGTTTGAAGGGAGAGGGAATATTTTGAGGGGGATTAATTGCAATGTGTCTTTTACTGTAATTTTTTTTATTTAAACATTACCTTATTTTTGATCACATCTCATATATAACTACTCACTAAAGTACAGTAAATGTACTAACATAACACCGCTATTTCAAACTTAATTCATTTCAGGAGGCCATTTGAACTCTGAATTGTTTGAAGTCTGAATCAGTTTAAAATAATGAAAAGTGAAGTAATCTGATCCCAGATCCTGAACAATGCCCATTTTGATGAACAGCAAATATAGCCTCCTGAAACAACTTAATTTTGAAGTATGAGGCCCCACTGTATAAGGTTTTGACTTTCCCTAGTCGTTAATATGTCCTCTAAGTATTCTACTTTTCTTTGTCCTTGTGAATCCTAAATACCTTGCACAGCACTATCTAGGATTCCAAAGAGAAGACTCCCTCTTCAAGTTCTGAAGATTTGCTGACAACCCACAACTCTTGTTAGCAGAGTTGTTAGGCTATTAACTGCTGACAGACCACAACACAACTGAATGGCTACTGATAGTCCAGCACTCAGATGGTTTACTTCTCTCAAACTGCTAGCAACAGACACATAACTTTTCTTTTTATCTTTCGCCTCACTCACTCATCTCCATTTCACACCCGTTGGTCTTCTGAAATGTACCCATATTTAAAGGAACACACTCATATATATGTAAATAATTAGATGGACCCAAGATAAGGAATCTCATTTTCAGTTTGTATAAATCAAAGTGGAAATTAGTGGCCTAGACAACAATTCTTGAAAGTTGCTCATATGGTCTGACTCACTATGGCACTCCTTGGATTAACACTTGCAGAAAGAGGCAGAATTAGGCAATTAAAGTTTCATAGAGAAAATATGGTTATTTTAAACAGCATGCATACGGCCTTCTGTTCTTTTCATTAGACTGTACATCTAAAGTCCCACAACTGCTCTGCAAGTGGAATGACTATATACTTCTTCCTAAATTACTGTATATACTGGCATATTAGGTGACCCTTGAAAATGAAAATTTCAAAGCAAAAATTGGGGGTTATCTTATACTCCTGACATATATAAACACCCCAAAATACTGATCTTGTCTTATACACAAGTTGTCGTATATGCTGATACATGATAGATATAGCATACTAGTTAATACTTAGATAGGCGTAAAGAATATTAAACACACCCCTGCACTTCCAAAATGAAACTGTACTTCATTGATGGCAGGGGAAATAAAGGTATTTGAGATATGAAAAAACTGGGTTGTGCCTGGAAGTTGTTAGCATTTATTTATTGCTTTTATATACCATTCAACAAACATACATGGCTCCCAGAGCAGTTTACCCCCTCCTCCAAAAAATCTTGTTCAAGGTTCTTCATTCAGTTGTGGCGGCTGGAGTACTCGTCTTAAAAAGTTCTTCATATGCTCCCTCTAGTGTTGAATTCTACTGCTGTTTTATAATGTACTGTTTACATTGGCTTTATGCAGGGATTAAAGAAAATTCTTTATCTAGTTGGCTGCAGTTCCGAAAATATTTGTAGCACACTATGTTCAAATATTTTAATCTTGTATAATGCTTTAAAATTTAAAAGAGGTACAAATGTTTATTTTTTAAAAATCGTCTTGGTTTTCTTCAGGTGATGTAATTTTCCCTTTGTGTGTGCTTTCCAGTTTTCATTAAGAATGTGTGCAGGTTTTTTTCTTTTTAGCATTGACTTTCTAGAAAACCTAGTTTTCCTCAGTAAAAAAAAATTCAACTCAGTTGTTTTTGCCTGTTGCTGTAATACAATATAAGGCATAATCCAGCTATTGTCCCTTTACCCACAGAAGCTTTTCTTCTTTAGAATGCAGAATGGGGAGGCCTTGCAGGCTCCAAGTAGAAATGTGAAGACCTGAAAAAATGACAGAAAACCCTTGATTTTTTTCCCAGCCACATTTTTTTGCCTTTTTTCTGAAAAAATGGAATGGCTTTAGATTATGAAATTTATGAATAAAAGAAGATTAATTATTGTTACCAAACCTTTATTCAAAAATATTTTCTAAAAGCAGTATAATCAGAATGTTTCTGTAGAAAGAATAAAGAAACAAAACGTCAGGAAACAAGTGATGGAGATTTTTTCCCCCCTAATCCCCTCTGTATGATTCCCAGCACAGTTATTTCTTCCTTTATTACAGTTAGAGTATGCCCAAGTCATGATCAGTTTCCCAACATTTGAGTAGAGTCACCATATTATAATAATGGAAGAAAATGTGTAATCTTTACAATGTGGGCTTTGTTGTAGAGTCATGTGTTTCTGGGCTTACACCAGTTGGATGCTGCAGCAATCAATTAATCTGCGGATTAAAAAAGCCCTGCGGATTAAAAAAGAAGTTATTGCTGCACTGTCACCCAATGCAAGAGAAGAGCTTGTGGCTTATCTTATCTGTGTTTCTTTTCTTTTTAAAGATAACTTCGAGGTTTGAGTCTATAGAACTCACTGACACAGTTTTTAAAATAAAGTTGTCAGACATTGCCATTAGGAAATGCTGCCTCAGCTATAAATCCTTTTAACTGCTGCCATTAGAATAAAAACTTTCTATCCTGGAGAAGCTCATTAACCTGGTACTTACACTGTAGGCCTGAGATTGGCACTAGCACCAGAGATAAGGTTTCAAAATGAACAAAACAAACAAATAAACAAAAGTTTATAAAAGCGAATAAAATGAGACTCTTCAAATAATAGTTTGAGTATTTTTTAAGATTCTTAAATTATATGGTTGTTTAGTATTCCTAAAGAAAGTTAAAAAAAAATCAGTTGCTTTAGGTAAGATTTCACCAAGCTCCAGCCCACAAATAGGACAAAGACTAGGAATTTCCCTAATAATTTTGTACATCAGTCTCCCCCTGGCACCAGTTCTTATTTCTTCTAGAGTTTTGGAAAGATAACAAGGGTTTAAACAAGGGTTTTGAAGGCCTAAGCACAATTGTTCTGACAAATATCATAGATGCATATGAAATCTGTCAAAACAATCTTGTTTAGCCCTTTCAATGATACTGCTTAAAACCCTTTCTTTTGACAGCTGTTCAGATAAAGTGATTGCAAAAAGGGGTGATGGTTTTAGATCTTATATTTCTGGAGTACCTGGAAGCTAAAGAAAATGTGGAAAAGATGGCAGGTATTTTCTCTCCTATTACTGGCTGCCCAGATAAATTTGTATGCTTCTGAGGATTTGTTGACTGATTCAAGGTTAAGTTCATATAACCTCATGTAAACAGTAAGTGGAAGGAGAAAGGTGGTGGTTGGTGCAGGAAGATAGACAAGATGAATTCAGCTGCCAAGTGCCCTGGACACCAGGGCAAAGCAAAGGGGCAATTTACAGTGAGCTTGATTTGTTTGGCCGGTGGCACTGTGGGTTGTTCCCTGAAAATCCACCCTGCATAGTTTATTTGCAGAGCTGGTTGGGTTATCATGTCTGTGAGACATGTATTAATATGAATTGATGGTTTTTGCAAGAACACATAATGAGTTAACCTTTTCTTTCCCTCAGAGGTGGCTGGATCCAAACAAGCCAATCAGGAAACAGTTGAAGAGTGAGCAAAAACACTTTTTATTTATTTGGAATATTTATTCAGTTAAGATTTAAATACTTTGGAATATGAGATAATCTAATCAGATGTTTTGATTAATTTTAGGAGGCTCTCCTCACAGCCTGAACTTCAGAGTGAAATTTTTTGTAAGCGATCCTAATAAGCTTCAAGAAGAATACACACGGTATCAGTCTCTCTCATTTTAATAAATTATCTTGATATTTTGTTACACAGGAGTGACTGCATTTCTGCAAAGTATAGCTGAAAAAATAAGCTGTGTTTTGTTTCGAAGCTATCTAAAAACTTGGAAGATTATTTATGACTGGGAATATATTGGGTGAAATTGATAGTGACTATTCTGAGCAGCTTTGAAGATAAATCTATTTGTAGTTCATGCTTAAAATCATTTTACAACTTAACACATTTTACATGTGTTTTACTCATTTATATTGTATGTATTTGCATAACTCATTCAACCTTTGATAGAAAAAAGTGTTTAGAATTGTATTATGTTTACTTTTTTATTCAGTATATTCTGTTCCTGAGTTATGCACCACCTATCCTACAGTTTTTAATGCTTTCTGAGGTCTAAACTATGCATGTTTATTATTAAATTCTTGCTTGCCTATTTGACTATGAAGTGGCCTGAAAGGGTTAACTTTTCAATTTAAAAGGACTGTGCAGAGAGGAATGAGAAATCTACCGGTGGTTCACCTTATATAGTAGCCTGCTTTTCCCCAAGTGGAGCTCCAATACAAGAAGTAAGGAAAGAAGGGGAAAGTGGCTTAAAGTAGTAGAGTGTAGATGGATAAGAAGAATGGGTTTTACTTCCTCCTCCTTCCCCCTCACTTATTCTAAAATAAAAAGTACTGGATAACCAGATAGACAAATCTGTGTTCAAGATCTTTGGTTTTGCCCTTACACTGCAAATTAGTTAATTTAGAGTAAATATGTGTGCTAAAAGTTCTACTTGGCTAGTTATGCCCTAGTGCCTTGCTAATTAAAATGCTATTGTTATATTTGAATTATGTAACAATTCTACAGTAAGATATGTAGATGATGTCTTGTTTTTTATTAAGCACTTTTTCACTGAAGAGGTCAAAATATTCTTTGTTGTAGCTTGGTTTTTCTGTTTTAATCTCAGTTGATATTCTTATGCAGAAGTGGTCTGCTATGTACATTATCTTGGGAATCCAGACAACAAATAATTAGCCTCTCTGAGTATTTGAACACCCTTGGTATTCGTTTCATCTACCCCTGACTACTCCCCTCCCAGAGTGATTTCTCCCAGGAAGCATTGACAGTCTGGCCTATGAGTAACAATTCAGGTTTTGCATGTGTGTGTGGTACAGGCGTCAAACACTGAAAATCAGTGCTGATATGTTTGGTGCAATAGGTGTAGAATTTCTGGTAATTTCAGTTTAACTTCCATGACATTACTTTTAACCGCCTTGAGCATTTTTTGGGGGGGCGGGGATGGTGGGATATAAATAAACTAAATATTTATGAAGTTTAGGATTAAGCTATAGAATTTATATATATGTTTAGCTATAGTACAATATACAAAGATTGTAAAGAAGATGAATTTATGCAGTTAAATTTCATATTCATGCTGGGAAATTTGGGGTAGAGATAAATGAGAAATTTGTTGACTTGCACTTCAGTAAGTCATTTCGGTGATCAAATTTGTAATTCACCAGCCTCAACATCAATTTGAACACAGTTTTATGCCAAAAGTTGCACATTTCTGAAGTTTACAGTGCAGTTTACAATAAAAATCTAAAGATGCATACATATTTCCATGTGTTCAGAAATGAGAGAAATGTATACACTTGTAAAAATGCTTGTGTATTAAAATGCATAGAAACTTTAGCACAGTCTAAGAATGATAATTTTTAATCTGATTCAGAAAGTAGATGGAAAGAATTTATTACTGGAAAAAAATTAGAACACTTGAACAAATTGATGTTAAGAGATTCCCCCATCCCAATTTAAGCATAATGCTGATGGCAGTAACATTAGTACTGTTTCTTTGTAGCTTAGGTACCACACCAGTTGAATAATGCCTGTTAGGAAGAAAGAAGTTTGGTAGGGCCAGTTTGAAGCATGTGGAAGTAGCTCTTGCACTCCTCTGCTACAGAAAGATTTGACTTTTTCTTCATTTAAACTGAAACTGGTAAGAAGAAAGCCACCTGCTTGTAGGCTACATCTTTTGGAAAGGAGTGCTAACTTGCATTCATGGACTTTTCTCTGAACTTCTAGGATGAGCTGGTAGGTTGTTTGGGGGTAAAGTTCCTGGTCTATAGAATAATATAAGTGCAGTATAATAATAGCATCTAATATTTTCACTGTCTATTGTGTTTCCACACGTTATTCATATGTACTTGTTCACTGTGCTCTTACTAAGTATCTGCTGCTCAGCTGGAAAAATAAATGTTGATTTTCTTTAAAACTCCCAAAATAAGAATTTTACTTGGAAAAAAAGTTCCCGAAACTCATAGGTATACATTTGTTACTGAAAACAAAAATTGCATAGTTGTTATACTCTCTCCCAGCACATGTCAGGATACCAATTCTAATAGGCCTTAGATTGGTATTTGTCAAATAAAGAGGGAAAGGTGCAGCTATGAAAGAGGTGGCACACGTAAATGGAAGGTTATGCAGCACTGAAGCTTGAGTGCTGGTGAAAATGAAGGGCTGTTTGGGTCGAAGTGGAGAAAGCTGGAAAGGAGAAGTGGAAAAGGAGTGTGTTTAGTTACCCAATGTCAGAAAAAATGAATCCTCGAGGACATGTGCTTTGGGAGTGTTCTGTGCTTAGATTGCTTAACTTAATTCAAAATCTAAAAATGGAGCAATAACTTCAAGCCATACAGTATTTGTTGACAAATGATCCAAGGCACTCAGAAGACTGGTGTTAGATGAGTTGAGCCTGGGAGTCCGAAGCTGAACTATTCTTAGGGATCCTGGACCCACCATTTTAGGATAGCCTTGCCAGTAGAGCTTCCCTTTTTTTATTATTATTATTTTTATTATTATTAGAACATTTCTATGCTGCCCCTTGCCGAAGCCTTGGGGCGGCTTACAACACAATACAATATAATACAAAAATAACAATATAAAATTAAAATTAATAATGTAAAATAAATAAAAGATATAAAAGAAGTTATAAAAGAAACGTTATAAAAGAAAAGAAGTAAAGAAAGAAAAGAAGTCGCCCTGGCCAGATAAATAAGTAAATATTGTTAACAATTAAAATGACGTTTGAATAAAAATGTCTGCCTGGCGCTGTTGTTATTTGTTTTTCGGCGCCAGGTGAAGACCTCTCTGGGGAGCACATTCCATAGATTGGGCGCCACTGCAGAGAAAGCCCTCCTCCGAGTACCTACCCTCCTAATTTCTTTCACGGAGGGTTCCCGGAGAAGGGCCTCTCCTGCAGATCTCAAGGGGCAGTCGGGCATATATGGATGTAAGCGCTCCTTCAGGTAACCAGGTCCCAAGCTGTTTAGGGCTTTATAGGTCATAACCAACACCTTGAATTGGGCCCGGACTTCAATGGGAGGCCAGTGAAGCTGTCGGAGGACTGGAGTCATGTGAACATAATGCCCCGTCCCCGTCAGCAACCTGGCAGCTCTATTTTGAACCAACTGAAGTATCCGGACCATCTTCAAGGGAAGCCCCACGTAAAGCGCGTTACAGAAGCCAAGGCGGGAAGTCACCAGCGCGTGGGTCACCATCGCCAGGCAGTCGTACTCCAGGTAGGGGCGCAGCTGATTAATCAGCCGAAGCTGAAGGAAAGCGCTCCTTGCCACCGCTGTCACCTGAGCTTCCAATGAAAGCTCCAGGTCGAGGAGTACTCCTAAGCTTGCAAACCTTGTCCCTAAGAGGGAGTGCAACCCCATTCAGGACCAGGTCAAATCCACCCTCTCTGAAGCCCGATCTGCCAACCAACAGGACCTCCGTCTTGTCTGGATTGAGCTTCAGTTTATTGGCTCTCATCCAGCCCATTACCTCGGCCAAGCACCGGTTCAGCACAGCCACTGCCTCACCTGGATTAGTGGAAAATGAGAGGTAGAGCTGGGTATCATCAGCGTACTGATGATTCCGCAGCCCACACCTCCTGATGACCTCTCCCAGCGGTTTCATATAGATGTTAAACAGCAAAGGGGACAAAATGGAGCCCTGTGGTACTCCATGGCATAGCTGCCATGGCGCAGAGCCATAGTCCTCCAGCACTACCTTCTGGAATCGGCCATTGAGATAGGAGCGGAACCACTGCAAAGCAGTGCCTCCGACCCCCAATCCCACTAGCCTATCCAGAAGGATACCATGGTCGATGGTATCGAAAGCCGCTGAGAGGTCCAGAAGAACCAACAGGGATGCACTCCCCCTGTCCTTCTCCCTGCACAGGTCATCGTACAGGGCGACCAAGGCAGATTCAGTACCGTACCCGGGTCTGAAGCCGGACTGAAATGGGTCCAGATAATCAGTTTCATCCAAGAATTCAAAATTCCTTTGGAACTTTGTAAGCTGTCCAGAGACGCACAGTGATTGGACAGGTTAGAAATACCCCCAAACAAACAAACTTCAATCAAATTTAAGAATTTATCATTCAGCTTGAGGCTATTTTATTTCAAGCTTTTATATCCCGCCCTTCACTGTGTCTCAGGGCAGTAGTTAGTTGCTTCCCAGTGTGCTATGCTTCATGCATGACAATGGCAATTCCTCATTGGGGGTTGAATGTTCAAAATGGATGTGGGTGTGTATCACAAACCACTATGAGGGTTTTAGTGATTTTATGAACCAGTTTCTAAGTGAGGGATGACCAAATAGAAAGAATGAACATTGACTACTTAAATTTCAGGAAAGTTACTGGATTATTCAATAAAGGAAACAAAAAGTTTGATGACTCAGAAGCTTGAAGCTAGGATGGGTTAAAACAAAGAAAAAAGTACATTGATTCTATCTACAAAACAGAAGGCACAGGAGGTTTGTCGCTTCTTGATTAATTTTTTCATCTGATTTGCTACAAACCGTAGCATAGCCCATTATTCAAAACCAAAAGACTATTAAAAATAGTCAGATAATGGCTGACCTATTTGCAGTGTGGGGATGCTTTAGGACTGGAACACTTTTTCTACCAGTACTTTCAATTGGCTAGTGCAAAGGGTAACATTGTAAGTTAGCCTGCTTGTTAGTGCCGTTGCAAACAGTCCGGCATTTGCAAGTTTTTCCTAGTCATGTCATAGTTTTGGAAACCTAACATAATTCCTTCTGGAACAAAATGGCTTCATGAACCATTGTTACCCCAAATGTTGGGGTAATGTGCCAGAATGCTAGTGCAGTTAGAACTCCTTTGACAAATGCAGCTAAAAAAATGAATGTTATATGAAGGAGCTATCAGTGTTCTATAGTTCATAATGTGGATTTATATTAATAAAATTAATGATAGTTATCAGCAAGCTTGGCCTTAATTTGTTAGACTGAATATTGGTCATTAGCTGGAACTCCCTACGATGCAATTTTCTCAGATGTATCAGGACTGATATTCAGTGTCTGATTCTTGTACTGCACAAATTTTATTAACAAGAAGCTTGAGTTGACACACCTATTTGGCTTCATTTCATTCTTGCAAAAACTCTGAAGATAGTTTAGGCCAAAAGATAAGAGTTTGATTAAATTTGGGCACAGGCAGATGAGTAACTGGTGTGTCATATTGACTTTAATTTTTTTGGTCCATAGTATGTGAAAAACAGCTTTATAGTTTAAAACACTGTTTTTAAATAGTATTGATAATAGTGCAGTGTCAATTGAACTCATGCAAACTTCCATTTCATTGTTTAGCCCATGTCACCACATATATACATAATAAATATATACCACAAGGAATACTTAAAGTGTTACTCTGTTTTCTGCCTTATCAATTCTGGGGTCTTACAGTTCACTGTTTTCTTCCATAAAAGAATCAGTAGTACAAGATTGTATGAACTTAGTGCATTGGCTTAAATCCTTAGCTAGAATCATTAGCTTGGGTCTGCAGACTTTCAAATACAGTGCTTTTCTGGTCCTGGAGAGGGAAAATGGATACAATTTGGTGATTTTCCCTCTGTGTACAAGCAAAAGGCACTTCAGAGATTATAGGGGATACTTTAAGAGCCTATGAATGCCAAGAGCAAAATAATGTGCACTTAATCCAGATGAGTTTATTAAAGGAAAAGAGAGAATCACAGCAAACTAGCATATGAAAAGAAAACACAAAATGCATCACTTACTAGTAGGAAAGAAAAAAAAGGAACCATATTTGTGAGTAATTATAGAAAAGCATATCACTCACTCATTTCAGTTAGGATTGAATTAGTGTTTCATCTTGTCCTTGGAGCAATAGTGAATCTATGTAAAAGCACAAAAACTAGGGTACATGGAAGGAAAGTTGAGTCTTTCAGATGTAACTGCTGCCTAATCAGGAAGCTAAGCAGTTTCAGGCCTGGTTAGAATCTGGATGGGTGACTTGTGTATATGATTCTGTGATTGTTTTAAACCTCCCAGAGAGCTTCAGCTATGGGTGGTATAGAAAAGTTAATAATAACAACTAAGACTTTGGATGACTCAGTAAAGACAATGAATATCTTAAAAGTTAGACTAACTTAATCCAACCCAAGCAGTTCTCTTCAGGTAAAACATAATCTAAAATGTATGGAATAGGAAAGGAACAGATTTAATTGCCCACAAAACCTGAATGGTTGGGGCCAAATTTGAATTTGTTATTGTTATTAATATTAATATTCCTAGAGATAGGTCAGTCTTGGTCATCATATTCCTCTGGCATAGATTAGTAATTGTAACGTGGAAGGTATAACAAATGTTGCTATAGGACAAGGAGACATAATCAGAAATTAGACTTAAATTAAATAATGTAATCATATTTCCTACTATCAGTGTACAGACATTTGGCATTTGCCTTAGGCTGATATATTTTTCTACAGGTGTACTTGCCTGTAGTTAATATAACTGTGCATAAATTCTAATATAAAGTTGCATGTTTTGTAATAGTAACAGTATGCTGGATTACTTATGCTTCTGTAACTTTGAACTCAGTTTAATTTCTGTGTCTTGCTAGCCTGAAATAATGATATATGGTGAAATGCAGATGCTGAAGTCAAAAGATGATCTTAATTTTGTTAGTTTAAAAAGTAGTGATTTTGACACTCTGTTGTACTGTGTTTACTCTTTCTTTAAGGTACCAATATTTTTTGCAAATTAAACAAGACATTCTTACTGGAAGGTAAGATTCGTTTGCTATGAACATTTGAGTACCTTTCCAGACGAATATATGTGATTCAGGGTGGGTGTGGGATTCAGGGGAGCATTATGTATGATCTACTTCTTCAGTCAAATGGTGGCAATATCTGCTTGAAAATTAACTTCATGCATACATCTGTGGTAAATTGGAAAACTTATAACAAAACATGAGAAGTTTACAGTGATAATACTTAATTTTCAATACTTGGCATGTATGTGAAATTTTAATAGTACATTAGGAACTGCACACAGGATACCAAGCAATGGGTTAAATCTATCAGCATGCATGCATATGTGTGCATGCGCACTCACATTCTGTGGTCAGCATTCTTTTAAGATGGTTTGGATTTAGACCTTCATTTAAAAACAAATGTTGTTCTGTGCACCATCAGTAGACAATGACCATTTGTCTACAGAATAATGAATAAGGATTCTGCTATGCAGTCTTGCTTTGCTCATGTCTTGGTCCTCTCTGCCAGTGTGAACATGCTGTCTGAATTGGCAAACATGTATGGATTCATAAATTCATAAATCAGGTTTGAGCTTGGCTTATGAATTCTAGCTTGTCTGTGACTATCCAGCCAGGACCCCAGGTTCAAACAACGTGCTAAATATCTTCCTGATTTTTTTGTACTTGTGATAGTAGGGAGAAACAAGAAGTGAATGAATTGCATGTATCAAAATGCAGCTTGTTCACAATAAAGCAGGATTCTACAGAACTCTGGCTTATTCCATGTAAACAGAGAGCCAGTTCATACATAACAAACCATGGTTTACTTACCTCATGGGTTGTTGCCCTATGTGAACTCACAGTTTGTGTGTCAGACATCCATATTTTTAGGTTCACATATAATTGTAGTTCATGGTTAAATGAACTAGAGTTCACATTTCAACAAAAAGTCTTGGAGTCTTCTTGAGAATTGTTCATGGTTAAGTAAGTCAGACGTTGGACCCAGAATTGAACAAGATGGCTGGTTGTTATTTGCCAACCAAGTCAAGAGAGACTATTAGCAGCTTCGGCTGATTTGCCGAATGTTTCCCTTCCAGGAGGAGAGTGGCACAAAAACAGTAGTGCATGCATTGTAACCTCTAGGGTCAATTTCTGCAGTGTAATTTCTACATAGGCATACCTTTGTGCCTGCTCCAGAATCTGCCACTAATACAAAATATGGCAGCCAGGTTGGTCTCTGGGTCCTCATGGAGATGTTAGTATATCATCAATACTAAAGTGTCTGCGCTGGCTGCCACTGTTTCTGGAGGCAGTACAAGGTGTTGGTAATTACCTTTAAAGCCCTTCATGGCTCAGGTCCCAAATACCTTTAGAAACGCCTTTGTCCATATATTGTACCTGACCTGCCAAGGTTCTCTGGAGATAGTTTTTCTGAAGCTTACTTCTGTAAGTTTAATGTCTGCTACTTTGAGGACTTTTTCAGTGATTGCCCCTAAACTATGGAATTGCCTGCAGGGAGAAATACGTTGGTTATACAAAGATAGTTACCAGAGTTAAAGGTGTATCTCTTCTGACAGGCCTTCCTAGATTAGTTCCCACATTAGTTTTATTTAATTTGCTTGTTTGAGTAGAAATAGTTGTTGGTTTTAATTTCTTGTAAACTGCCCTACCTATGGGAATGTGACTATATATAAAAATCTAAAATAAATAATAGCCCATGCCAACTATTTGTGCTAGCTAATATGTGTGCATATGTATAGATTGGTATTCAGTTGGTTACTTTTATAAAAATTTAACCATTTGGGTATGAATCGGCAAGCATGATTTCCCTTTTAAAGTAGACAAATATGCAATGAACTCCTTTTATTTGCCTGCTTTGAAAAGGAAAAATCTATTCAAATGTTTTTTGCATAATTCAAATAAATTGGTAAAACCAAATGGTTTTCATCTTTTCATAGATTGCCCTGCCCTTACAACACTGCTGTACTCTTGGCTTCCTATGCTGTTCAGTGTAAGTACAATTTTTAATAGATCGAACCTTTAAAATGTTTTCCTATTGCATTTTTAATTTTCATGATCTATGACTTTCTTATATTTTGTGTTACATAGACTTAAAATACAGTTGAAAAAATAAAATGTATTTTTGTAACTGCATTTGTTTACAAAGCAGTCCTACACATTTATATTAGGAAGTAAGAATTTAATGATCCTTACTTCCAGGTAAGTGATATAGGGTTATATTTCCACAGAAAAGGGCATTAAAAATATGGCATAGCTCTCCCAACCAAAGATAAAATACAATGTAAAATATATGGCACCAATGAACTAATGTTGCCTGAGATAAGGCTTCAAACATAATGGCAGTCTTTCCTTTCTTGGCTATTCGAACTACTTGCCTTCGCAGATATCTAATGCTTATTACCACTGTACCTTGTTGTGACCAAGCTAAAGCAAGGGAAACAATCAGGAATTCTTCCCCAACCAGTTTAAGCTTCTATTTTCTTTATTCCTCTATTTCCCTGTATTTGTTTTAGATTGTAAAACCCTTGTGGTAGGGACCTGTCATATCTGTTCTTTGTATACTTCCATGATATATGCAGGCAGTTCTATATAAATGATGATGATGATAATACATCAGTAAAGTTTGTCATGGTTATTAGTCATCAAAACAGTTTGAATGAATGTTCCATTATCTAAGCTAGTAATATTGTGTTGGTATTGTTACTCTGTTTCAGTGTATTTTGTCTGAATAATTATCACTATAGAATCTTACAATTCTTCTGTCAAATTAACACATTTCATGAACTGTTTTTGCTAAGTTTGCAGTGTAATACAATCTTAGAGCTATTCCAGATTCATAAAGATGCAAAAGAACATCTTCACCTAGCTAGGGTAAAGGACTTAATATTGCAATCTAAATAAGTAATTCAGAAACAAGTATGGGAGCATGGCACATATCTCAAGACTTCTTTGAAGTTTCCCTAGTGCAGCTGCCACTCCCAGGAGGCAAATGGCTTTATAAACTGAACTGCTGCTTATCTCTCTGAGAGTGGGAGGTGCTGCATTTCAAAGGAAGCTCCAGCTGTGAACATATAGTACATTTGCACCTAGATTACTGCTGTGGGGACATTGCAAAAGTATTTACCCTTGTTTTGCTTTGTTTATGTGAATACTGCCTTCCTATATGAATGTTAGAATGCTTAACACCTGAGCACTGAATAAGTCATTTTTAGTTGAACTTACTAAAATCAAGGTGATTAAGACTGTAGTTATGTGAATGTTTATGAGACTGAGTCCCATAGAGCTCACTGGGACTTGCTTTCAAGCAAATCTGCATCAGCAAATTTCAAGCATATTAAGCAATTTAAAGTAGTCTGGCATTCTGATTTAAGGGCTGCATTCACACACAAATGGTTTCAAATAGCATTAGGTACTTTTTGGACAGGTTCAAGTTCAATGCAATTCATTGTAGAAATATTTTAAGGGATACACTTTTATTATTTTGCTGTTCCTTTTGAATTAAAATATGTTGTGAGAGGAATGTGGCTAAGTAAATAGTTTCTTTCCATTTTCAGCTGAACTGGGAGACTACAGCCTTTCAGAGAACTTCCCAGGCTACCTCTCAGACTACTCTTTCGTTCCTAGCCAGCCTCAAGATTTTGAAAAGGAAGTATCAAAACTACATCAGCAGCATATGTAAGCATTACAGGAAAAAACAAGTTTATCATGCGAAGAACTCATTTCATGTATTTGGAGCTGTTAGATGTGTGCATCAGAGAAAAGTAGTTCTCTGCATTATAGTTACTACATGTGTGTATTATTTAATTCTTATGGGAAAATAACTCACTTAAGATCTATAGGTATCTGCCTCAGGGAAAAGTAGTAGTGAAAGAACATTAATAAGGCTTAGGTATTACACACACAAAATCCCTGCTGTCAGTGTATATTAAGTGGAACATCCAGAAGTACGCCTTTGCAATCATACTTGTATTTATAATGCTGAAATGACTTTTTTCTGAGGTGGACCTGGAATTAGCAGAGCTGCCTGAAGCAAAACTTTTTCTGCAAAATCTAATTGAATAACTGGGCAGTAATAGCTACATGTGTTCTTTCCATGAAATTCCATGAACTTATATAGGAAAGGACTCCAGTGAACTTAAATGCATTTTGAACTTTTTTATATTCTCCCTGGTTTTGCTGTTATAGAGGTTTGTCTCCAGCTGAAGCAGAATTTAGTTATCTCAGCACAGCCCGAACCTTAGAACTCTATGGAGTTGAATTGCACTATGCAAGGGTAAGTTTGAACTGATGAGTACTAACTGTATAAAAATTCATAGCATGCTTAAATCTTTATGTACTGTGAGCCTGTCATAAGTCTAACAATTATTATGCCTTATTGAAAGCTGACAGTGAATCAACAACTTATTTTAAGGTGTATCATGGTGTATTATTTTGAAATAACCAACAAAATTTAGTTGCTTATATCACAAAATAAGTCACTTTGGCAACAATGTTCAGGTTTTCATTTAATAAAAATTATTCATTACAAACTGGGACTACAAACCAGTAAGCATTTTAAAAGCTTCATGCTGCAATCTTGTATCCACTTAAATATGAGTAAAATTTATTAAACACACTGAACCTTAGTTCTGAGTAGGCATGTTTCAACATGTATAGCTTTTGATTACATACACTATGTTGTGCTTAAAATTAATTAAAACTTCAGCTATCTTTGTATCTGAGGCTATGCAATTCAGCGTGCTCCATATAGTTATACCTGTAGGAGGTAAAATTATTCTCTGTTGTTCATGGATAGATTCAAATAAACTTGAATTGTTACTCAGAATTAGTAGTACCTTCTTCAAATGAGGATAGGATTTTATGCATGTTCAATACATCAGTGCACCTCAATAAACCAGTGTACTTAATACAAAGAAAGACATCTAGTCCAGGACAGATGTAATTATGCTCCCACCACATAAGCCAACAACCATGGCTTGTGACTTATGGCTTATGACTCTGGATTGAAAGAGCATCATTGTATGAAATGCTACATGGGTTTAAGGAAGTGACAGATGAAAATGTTTCTGTTCTGATCATGGAAGCTGAAACTAGACTACTGTGGGTATAATAACTCCCCACGGAAAACACCAGGCAGTGTCCAGTGTGACCACCTACAAACATCCAGTGCTGCCAGACTCATTGCACAGGCAGTCCTTTCTGTGTCCATAAGGGAGATTTAGTGCTTCTGTGTACAAACCAAAATGAACAAAAACATTCATTTCTAGAACAGGGCAGGTTGATAGAACCTGTGTAAGGAAACCCCACTAGCTTGTCCCATTCCAAAAGCAAGTATTTTTTCTCTTTTGGGATTACCTTGTTGTGCAAGTCATGGGTACCATTCATGCAGTGCAGTTGGTGGATCTGCTGCTGATAGAACATAAGTGTTAATACGGTTCAGTCCTTCTTTCTCCTGTTTTAAAAGCTCTGCATCCCATAGCTCAGCATTCAGTGGCTGGTTGTGGAAAAAATGCTCCGTTCCTCAAGCAGCCACTAAGTGCTGAGCCATGGCTTCCTCCTCCTTGCAGTTGATTAATTTCATTCCCTTTATATGAATTGCCTCTTTCTAGCACAGTGGGTGCTTAGTTCAGCAAAATCAATTGCTGGCACAGCCACATCCCTTGTAGCCCAGGCAGTGGGACAGGGCAGCTTACCTACTGAGCATTTCTTGTGCTAGAAAACAGGGAGATGAAAGAGACTTGCCCACCCTATAACCCTGGCCATGGCAGCCACAGCTCTGCTTGTTGTTTGGTTTGCTCAGGTGCACAGCTGGTGGATATGAGTTGCTGAGGATTTCAAAGTTAATAGACACATCAAAAGCAACGTCTGGCAACTATTTTAATAGCATACTATAATCCTTAGTTCCAAGAAGTTAGATCTTAGCCATGACAGTTAGAAATAGATTTTTGACAAAAACATGAAACAACTGAATCTTAAAAGATGGAAATGGATGCAGTATGAAGTCTGTTCTTAATATTTTTATGCATTTTAAAGAGAGCAGGAACATGGTTCTGTGCATATGCAAATTTAATTAATTGATAAAAAATCTATAAAACTTAACATAGCACTTAGTATAATAAACTTTCTAAGTAATCTACATGAAATGCATTTATACTACAATATTTAAAAGGTATAAAATAATTTTAAAATTATAACAGACACAACAATAAAACAGAGTAGTCTCATAGCCCTTTACAAGATAAGAAAAGCTCATGGAAAAAAATGTGTTTTTAAGACACATTGGAAACGTGTCACAGTTTCTGCTTCAACAACTGTGGTTGCTGCTGCTAAGAAGGCCCACTTACATGTTGCTAACTGATGACATCTTAGTAATGCTTCTGCGAAAGATCTTGGGGATTAAGTGGGTGTATGTAGAAGGTGGCAGTCAGCTAGGTATCCTGATCTGTAGTTACTTAGGGCTTTGTGTATAACAAAGCCAGGAAACAGAAGTTTGCAAATCACCTGGTAGTGAATTGATAACCAGTAGATGCAGTTTAACACAGGTGTAAAGCATATATAACTAAGTGCTGTACTGAGCATCCTAGTCACTGTGTTCTGTACAAGCTGCAATTTTCAGACCTACATAAATCATTTTACAATAGTATAATTGTGAAGGTAAAAGTACATGTATCACAGTGGTTAGGCTATCCCAATTTGGGGCAGGTGTAGTTGGCACATCAGCTAAAGTTGTTAATGGGCATCTGGTACCACTTGGGCTTCAAATGGCAGTGATGGATCCAGGAGCATCCCCAAAGCACATGCCTGTTTCTTTAAAGGGAATGCAACCTCTCCCAGAACTGTAAAATAATGCAATTCATAGACCTTTGAATTCTCCCCCCAGTAGGGCTTCTGATTTGTCAGCTTTAGTTTTTCATTTTAGTTTATTCAGTTTATTTCAGCCTACTAGTGCATCCAGACTCTGGTTCAGAAAGTGCACAGCTGCCTCTTATTCAGATGTCATAGAGGAATAGACCTGGCTGCATCAACATGACACTTTGCCCAAATCTCCAAGTTACTTTTTTAATGGCTTTAAACAACAGGGCACACAAAATAATGCCCTGTGGCACCCCACAGATCAACTGCTGGTGGGCCAAGGCACAGCCACTCAGTGTTGCCATCTGGAACCACCCTGTAAGTAGGATAAATGAGGGTGTGGAAAGAAGCAAAGAGACAACATGTGAAGGTTGAGCAACTGTGGTTATGTAAACATCTTTGAGATGCTTGAGCTTCGTCTGGGGAGGCATCTTGCATGTTTACTGACAATAAGTTGCAAGTGTGGTACACTTGTGGGAAAATTGTTGATCATATAGATCTTCATCATATTTCTGTTCTTTTTTGTAGGATCAAAGTAACAATGAAATTATGATTGGAGTAATGTCAGGAGGCATACTAATTTATAAGAACAGGGTACGAATTAACACCTTCCCATGGTAAGGATGTGTTTAAAGGAAATTATTTATTTCTCACATACTTGCTGAAAATTGAATAGTAAATGATGTGTGTATCACTTCTAAGTCAGACACTTAAAATATACATTTCTGTATTTCCTATTCCCTCTATTATATGAAAATATATTATAGAAGTTTCCTACAGTATTTGGCACAGGGTTGTAATGTACAGCATAGTTCCTGTGCTGCTTTTACTGCAGGATTTTGGATGCTTCATTTTTAACTTGAAGCTTCAACTCCCAGGATTACTGTGACTGATTATTTTGCTACAATAATGTCATCCCTCAAGCTATGTATTTAATAAATTCATTCTTCAACTGATTCTGTGATGATCAGGTTGTAGGAGTAACATTAAAACTTAAATTCATAGAACCATGTTCAGGAATTTGCTCATGCAGCAAGGCTTTTCCATCTACCCTTTTTGCTGCAGCCCCTTGCTTCCCCCAAAGCTCCTGAATGTCAGGGGGCTTTCTAGAGCACATATGGTACAGGAAGCTGCAGCTACTTGGAAGGTAAGTCAGTAGAAATCACCAAAGCAATCTCTTTGGATCCAGTCAGCTAATTAGCAACATTTTATACAGTCTTTGAATAAGAACAGAGCATGTCTTTCCTGTGATCTAATTTCCTGATACTTTGTTGGTACTATGCCACAAACCTTTTTCAGTGAGACAAGACAAATCCCAGCATATATTGCCTTCCTCACTCATTATTGCCTATGAACCAGTAAAGTATGTAAATCACATGTCCAAAATTTCGAGTAATCATTAGCATATCAAGTTCCAGTAACGCCCTTACATGAAATTATGTTTAAGGTGATGGCCTGGCCAGATGTATTGCAGGTTTAATAATTGGAATGGGATGATTTATTACAGGTGTAACATCATTGTTTGTAAAGCATAAGTATTGTGTCACTCTCACAAAATAATAAGAAAGGTCCTTGCATAAATGGCCTAACAATCCAGATGGCCTGGGAAAGCAGCAGGTGAATAGGATAGATGCAAGAGTACTAGGAGTTCGCTTGCAGAAATACAAGCTTAGTTTCAGTTGAGTTCTGAAGTGTTGAGTCAGTTCTTCACTGAAAAGATGCCTTTTCAGGATGGATTTGGAAGCAGGTGTAGGTTCTGATGCAATGTTTCAGGCAAAAGAGGTAGCAGGGAGTTTTTAAGGGATTTGTGCATCCTTGGATACGGAAGTAGAAGCAAAATTGCAGGACTTCCAGAGGGGAATTGGACAAGAGAGCATGCAAGAAAGTTAACCAGTTGTGGAGTGGAGACAGTAATACAGGAATACAGAATTGAGCTAAATTGTATGAGATTAACTCTGAAGTCTTGAAGTGCTAAGAGGGATAAGTATGCAGAAAGTGCCTGTAGGAGAGGGATGCCTACAAGCTCTGCATCCTTCAGAACAAGATATATAGTAGAAGAGGATGGCAGTGGTGTCCAGAGAGGAGTCTGTGGACTTCTGTGGGGATAGTGATCTTTAGGTAACTAGACAGAGAAGGTCATAAAGTGACTAGTTCCATGGAGAAGCAGTTATAGAAGGAGCAGGGGGAGGGAGAGAGAAGCCAGTGCATGGAAATGAAATCAGGAAAGGAAAAGATTGGTAGATATGATGATGCCAGACACAACCAACCATTTAAATTACTTTTATTTATTTTAATTTTAATGTTGGTTTTAATGTTTCCATTATATTATTTTTTGATACATTGTAATTACCAAAATAGTGGTTTTTGTCAAAAGTTGATAAAAAATAGAATTAGTCAACGGAAGGCAGAGGATAATTCTGAGATGGATTCATTTGGAGGTCCCAGGTGTGAAATGGGGCTCTAAGAAGAGAGCCAAAGTTGACTTTGACATAGTATCAAGTAATACATGCAGTGTAGTGCAGTCATGCTGCCAGGCACATGAGTCTCTTCAGTGAAGCATGCAGAATCATGAGAGCTACAGAGCTAGGTGATAAGAATTTTTTCCCATACGTTATTGGTCGTAATCTATGTATTGGTAGTTCACAACTTTAGCTGAGCTTACAGAGACAGTTTTGGGAGATGGGCAAAGATGCCCAGCCTTATTTTCACTTTTCTTTCTTCCCTGGCCCCCGCACCCTCAAAAAAAGAGAAACCTATTTTTCTTTGTCGTGGTCTGCATCATACATATGGGTGCTGCGCCTACGTAGTGTCCATTTTCAGGAAGATTCTCTCGACTTTAATGGTTTTTGGCAGGAACTCCACTCTCCTTCCTCCTTGTATAAATGGGAGGAGTCCCGCCCTCTTGCCAGTCTGCTTTCAACCGCCGTTTGCTTTGCCTCAGGTTCTCTCTTTTGCTTCGATTCCCTCACAAAAGTATGTCCCCCACCCACAAAAAATGAGAAACCTATTTGAATTACACATGTCTGCTGAAGTACTGTGAATTTGTAGCATGGGATAAGTCTGTGCTACATTTTTGCTTCATGTATATGAGAGGAAAGCTTGTACTAATTCAGACTGAGTTTGATTTAATTTATCTTTCACAATGAATATGAATGTCTGTTGGCCAGTATTAATATCATGTAAATTAGTTAAATATGTATATCTGTAATGGAAAAAGCTGAGCATCTTGAGAAGCAGATTCTTAATGAAAATAAACACTAGTTCCTCAGACTGACATTTCCATCTCACCAGTCAGATTTTCAGTGGATAGCCGCAAATAAGTTTGCTCATATTACAGAACACATTTTGACACACCTTTCTGTATTCACATCATATTCAATTTCTCCTTCCTCTTCCATCCTTTTCTTTAGTTTATAGTGTATCTTTTTATTACTTTTCCAACAAGTTTACTGGTGGTCATGCTTTCCATACTTACTCTGTGTGTAAAAAGCATGATGAATCTGCAAATACCTGCTTATCCTTAAGTTTTCCATGCACCTGCAATCACAGGGAAGACTATTGTGAAACCTAAGTTGGCTAAGTCATAGATACTATTGTAGAGATCTGTCATGGACTCTGTTATTACAGTGTAACTTCATTTCTGCACTCATGAGAATTGCCAACAGATTGCTGTAAATATGTCTTTGTACAGAGGGATAATGCACTGACTAAATTTGCATCCTCAATAAATTGAAACTGATTAATTGAAAACAGGAATAAAAGCTTGCAATATCCTCCTGTTCTTTCTAGAGGATGCGAAGAACTGCATGAAACCAAGGCTTGCTTGTGTAATGATAACAATTTTTTTATGTGCCATCATGTCATTTCCAACTTATGGCAACTCTATGAATTGAAAGCCCTCCAAAATTTCCTGTCTATGACAGCTCCCTTCAGCTGCCTCAAGTTTTGAAGCTTAGAGCTTCCTTTATGGTTTCACTCCATCTCATATTTAGTCTTCCATTTTTTCCTCTGTCTTTGACTTAACCTAACATGTCTGTCTTCTCCAGAAAGTCTTGCCTTCTCACAATGTGCCCAAAGTATGACTCCCTCAATTTTGTCATTTTTGCTTCTAGGACCTACATGTTTTCCTTTCTGTTGGCCCAGTGTATCATTTTCTCCAAATGCAATACAGTTATCTTTCATACAGTTGTAACTTTATGAATACTCAGGATCCATTAGATAGATGAGATTTTAAAATATATTCCAGCTCTGTATTTACTGTTACAGTGAATATATAGGAAATCTGAGGCTGAAATTGATACTGGTCAAGTTCTGGTCAAGTATTTCCCTGGTACTGAGCCATAATTGTAACTGACTTGAAGCTACATACTTACCATACTGCTTTTATGATCCTTGTATATGCAGTCATAGGTACATATCTTTTGAAAAATTCTGAATAAGATTTTGCAGCATTTTGCTTCTGACCTGGAAGTATTGATGGAGATTTAAAGTCATTTGAAGATAACCCTAAGTCGAGCAAAACTCTCTCTGCAAATAAAATTACACTAGCCTGGAAGGAAAGTGATTTGCAAAGTATTAATTAAAATTTAGCTGTTAGTTGTAAGAACCCATGCTTTTGAGTATTCAAGTTTGGGCTCATTTTATCTTCTTGGTATTTCCTCTGTTTTGGATTCTCACAGTTGCAGGGTTGCTTGTTTAACAATAGAAAGCTACTGTACCTTAATGTAGCTGTTTATATTAGCTATTTCAGGTTTTTTGCAGTTGAACATTTCTATTATATTACATCCCCTTTGAATACTGTTATATTTCCAGTATTATATGAACCCCATAGCTTATTTTGTTGGCTGGGGAATGCTGGGAATTAACAATTTTTTTCTGTCTGATCATTCATAGGATTGCACCCTTAAATTATGTTCATATCTTTGTTATCCATAGAGCAGGGTGGTAATACAACTTCTTGGGAGGTTGTAACATTCCTTCAGGGTGGATTGGTTTGGCCTACTTTTTTATCCAAACTACTTGGGAAGTTATACAATCTTACACATATACCGTAATGGGATAGCTGTGATTCTCTCTCATTCATTTATGTGACCACAAGCAGAGTCAGGAACAACTCTTGTTCGCAAGAGGGTTTTGATTCTTTCATATGTGTTGGCATTCATGAGTAACATATCTAACCCCCAACCCAAAAAGAGTATCTAATACCTTACATAATTGCGTACAGGTCAATGTTTGACCATGCCCATCTAGCTACAGCTGCATCACTTCCAGCCAAACTACTTAGTATTTTATCAGTGGTTATTAGCAACCCAGCAGCACAATAATCATGTTAAAAGAAATGTGACAGCAGTGACAGCCACAACTGATAATCATGTTGCCCATAGATAACTGTACACCAGCTGTCCATATTTAACTCATTCCTTATTTTCTTTTCTAGACTGCAGACAATGAAAGTAGACATGATGCTTCTCTGCTGATCTTCTGTCAGCTTAATGAGTAGGAGTGCAACTGGAACTAAGAAACTTTGATCAATGTCCAGTACTGCCACTCAGCTTCTGCTGGTTGCATTGTTCTTATACAGTGGAGAATTCACAGTTGCAAAAATAACTCTGGAAATTAGAGGAAACAATTCTGGAATGCAGCTGGTTTCTCTTGCAATCTTTTCCTCCTTTCAGAAATTAGTATTTCTGCTCACTTCAGATTACTTAAGCAATTGCTAGGTTTCCACTGCTCTAGTGTTAGATCCTGCCATGATGTAATCAGTGCTGGATACTGCCCATAAGTTTAAATTCTGTGTCTGGTAGATTCAGCTATTTAAGTAATTATACTTGAATACCTAGTGACAGTATGTATTTGTAGTACAACGAGTTCTGCTCCTGAGGGCATAATGACAATGGAGACATGGTCACTCATACCAAACCTTGACACAATAGTAAATTGTGACTGGAGTGATAGCCTGAGAATGCACAACTGTACACTGAAATGTGAGTCATAGGTTCAGTTCTGTCACGGTAGAAGCTACAGCTCCTTTTCAAACCAGAGTGAGACATAATTGAACAATTGCATGGAAATCAAAAAATCAGAAGAAATTGCTGCAGAACTGGCACCTTTTCTTTTAAAGTAACAACCTTTCCTGTGCTGCACAGGAATTAATGCAAGGTACAGCAACAAAAGGATATTTCTTTTCTTTTTGTTTCTGTTTAAATTCTTGCTTCTTTATCCTTCTGCCATTATTCCCTTTCTGTGTGCTTACAGTTGAGTATTTGTTGGAGCAGAGTGACAAGGCCCCAAGCCATGAATCTTATGTGTGAGCCACTGCACCGGATATAATTCTTGTGTGATAGGTGCAATGCCACTGTGTAATTTAGCATAGATTGCTAAGTAGCATTGTATTATGCAAAGATTCTTATATATGATCTTATTGTGCATGCATAGTCTGGAGCAGAGGAAAGGTTGTTACTGTAACAAAAATGAAACAAAACCAACAGATGCCACTTCTATAGCATTTTCTTTTATTTTTACTGAGTTCTGTTGGGGGGTTTTTTTCCATTTTTTTACTCATAAAATTGGACTGCTACATTTCAGTGAATGGCAGGTGTGGGAGAATTCCATTCCTCATTTGTATTTGATAGTATATGGAAATATGAATTTCTTGTTGACTACTTCCAAGACTGGGCTGAATTACCTATTGCTACTGACAGGCCAGTGAGTGTAGGCTTTTTTTTTCTGTATTGTTGCAGCAATAGTAAGAAGGGCATTTAAGTTCAAGGAATGCAACTTCTGAAGGGTTTTACCTTTCTCATGGCTGATGTTACTGATACTGTCATGAGCTGAGATAGTCTTTCACTCTCTCTGTTCCATGGATAGGTGTGGCATTTTTCTTGGGATGATACTGAGTTGTGTTAGCTAGTTTACCTTCCCTTGTCTGAACTATTTCCTGAATTCATGGTACTTACATGTAGAAAAATACTGGCAACCCATACACCAATAATTGTATAATGTCAGTGTAAAATTGGCTTATAACTGTCTATGTTATAGTTGAATGCTTTTCCTAAAGTCTGTCTGTAGCTGTTGCATCGAATACATCCCTACACTGATTTAGACCAATTACTTCTTGATTTAAAAAAGATGCAATGGGCTGTAAGTTTAAGAACTAATTGATAGTGTATTGAATTACATGCTTTGAAATAATATGTCATGCCATGGCCCCATCTTGTGACAATTAACTCTTTGTTTACCTGTTTGCTGTATTGTAGGAAAGATTATGATCCTGAATTGTGGCCTTTGAAGGAACATCTGTCAAACTAATTTTCTATACTCCACAAACTATGTGAATGTACTTAGGCTCAAAAGCCCTCAAAATTAAGATTTAATTAAATCCTTGAATATATAAACAACATAAACAACACTGATTTAACAGAATTTAAATGTACAGAATAAAGGTGAAGTTTAATTGCATGGAACTTCTAATTGTGAATTAGTTAATTATTTTGAGAACACAGTGATAAATTCAGAAATTTTCGACTGGTATTGATAATACTGATAGTTTTGACTGGTACTTCTCTTGCTTAAATACTATTTTCAAGGAATCTTTGCACTGTAGTGCTTAAAGGCATTCATAGATATTCTTCATTAGACTATGTACTATGTAAAACATAAATTACTGCACCAGAGTTTATAGAATCTCACAAGCAGAAGACTTCCATGTATGATGGAGGTTGCTGTCCCTCCAACTGACCTTCAAGCACCTCCTCACATACTGCATCTTAAGATGTTCTGTATGGTCACCCAAATTTTGGGGGTTGACATGAGAATCTGTAGTGAAAAGGAAGCCTGGAAATGTAGATATGAACTGCTGCCCATTTCTGTTTGGTTCCCCAGTCTTTATGCAAGATTAGTTTATTAAAATCAAGGTGAAATCTTCCAATATGTCACCTTCAGCACCAGGTTGAGAAAACTGCCTGCCATTTTGGCTTTTTTGTAAACTTATGGAGCAATTCCTTGTAGCTTTTATGAGATAAAGGAGCCACCCTGCTGAGAAACGGGTGGATTGAAATGCACCCCCTCCAATCAGGTCAACAGGATTCTGGCATGGGGGCTTTCCCATTCTTTATATGAGCCTATGAGCTTGCGTAGGCTTGCGTAGAGAGCAAAAAAGTCTGCCTGCTGAAAATTAGCTGGAGGAATAGCTGGAGGAATAAATGCATCCTGTCCAAGGAACCAGAGAGAAAGAGAGAGCAAGAGAAAAAGAAGAAAGGAAGAGAACATGACAAGGGAAAGACAAGAAAAGCCATCGATAATGAATTAACTAGAGAGATTGCGAGAAAAACCTGAATGGGTAGCACACACACAGGATGCACAATCATGCACAGTAACATGACAAAGGCTCACTCGTATTACTTATGTGATTGGATCTCCCACCCACTAAAGCAGTCAGTTTGTGGTAGTACATAGCACTTTCTCCAAATACCAGATATTTCCACAGGCTCTAAAATGTTGGCAATTCCTGAACTTTAGGGATATTGTTATTATACAGTTTATTCTGGGATAGGATTGGGATATTTTGTTTGTGAATGTTAAAAAGTATATGTAAACTTACTGAAATTATAAGTTTTATAATAACAGTACAACATTCTGATTTTTATTTCATTTAGGTTGAAGATTGTAAAAATTTCTTTTAAGTGCAAACAGTTTTTTATTCAACTTAGAAAAGAATTGGTGAGTATTGATCTTAGCATATTTTGGCTAAATTAACAGGGTACACACTCAGTTCACACAGAATCACCCAATATGTTTGGCCAATGCTGAGTAGGTTTCCTTGAAGCCCCAGAACATTCTGCACTGCACTGGATTTCTATGATAGACATGCAGTGCTTCCTTTGAGACCAGGCAGATGTAAAAAGACTTCTACTAAGGTAGAAAGCTGACAACTAATATAGGAGAGAATATGGGCAAAAGTATACAGAAAGACAGGAAGTCAATGCAGCAAAAAGAATTAAGCTCTTTATCATAATTTTTACTAGGTTGTCTGCTAGTAGTTATTTAACTTAAAATAGCCACAAGGTGCCCATTATATTTGTTAAAAAAAGATTGGCCTTTCTTAAGTATAGCTTGAACTATATTTCATGAGACTAATTTTCTTAAATTAGATGTAAATCTTTTCCTTTTAGCATGAATCCAGAGAAACATTACTGGGGTTCAACATGGTGAATTATCGAGCATGTAAGAATTTGTGGAAAGCTTGTGTAGAACATCACACATTTTTCCGGTTAGACAGACCACTGCCACCCCAGAAGAACTTTTTTGCACATTATTTTACTTTGGGTTCAAAGTTCCGGTACTGGTAAGTTTGCCTGATATTACATGTAGTGATGCTAGACTAGGAAAGGATATCTGTTTCACTTTTGTTTTTTATTCAGTTTCATTTTTCAGTCATTCCCCTGCTCAGTGATTTCTTGAGGCAATTTATAATAAAATTGTTCTAAAAAATAAAATTGCAATTCAAAAATACCAGAAACTAAAACAGATAAAATAGATAAATCACAATAAAATAGGAGAGCTTTCCAAAATTAAGCACTGAAAACTCAGTGATTATTAAGAACAGTAATATAAAATTAGCCATTTTAAGGATAGTAATAATCTCAACAGCAAATGTTGACTTTTCCAGTCTATTATTCTCCTTCAGTCAAGCAGCCTTTTTTCCAGTGGAAGAATATATTCAAGGCCAGGTCAAGCACCTTCCATTTTTATATTCCACCATGGGCTACATAGGTGTTTAGTTAAACTAGCTATTAAAATGTTGGTTGACATATATGTCCACCTCCCATTTCACGTGTTAGAATTGTATGAAGAGCCGAGGGAAAGGCTGTAGGGAAACAAACTTATTATTATGAACTGGGGTCAGGTATATAAATACCACAATTCCATCTAGATCTAGGCACAGTTTATGCAGACATGAGTGAAACTAAAGAAAAATTATGAAAAACAGGAGATATTGACTTGCTTTCTATATGTTTAGCATGATCAAGAGCCAATAATGGTAGACCGGGTACCTGGAAGATGGGGATTCTAGTCCCCACTTGTCCATGAAGCTCACTGGTTGACTTGGTTCAGTCACTCTCAGCCTAACCTACCTTACAGGTTCCAAATGAAATGGAGGAAAACTGCCCTGAGTTCCTTGTAAAAGGAAAAAGGGTGCAATATAAATACAGTGAAATAATAATAGTATTAGCAATAATAATAGTTACACTGAGCTTTGGGCTTGTATTAAGCTAAAAGGAAGAAAGTCAAAGCTTTCAGTTCTCATTTCACAATTTAGCATGTCACTGGACCCTGAATGTGATTAATTTTAGCTAGAGGAAGCAAGCCAGCAGTTTGTCCAGGATTGGATGTTGCAGGCAAGGTTCAGTTAATCAAAAGTAGAAACAGAACTTCTTGTAGAAATGCGAGCCCAGTGTTCATTGTGATTCAATCACTTAACACTAAACCATGATTTTAACATTAAATCTGAACAAGACCATTTGGTAGTGTACACCAAATGAAACTGTCCATCAGGAATACCTGAATGTGATCTGTATTTGTGTTATTATCTGATATATTAAACAAGAAATGTAATTGTAAAAACAGTTGCATATTCTAAGAATATTCTCAGATTTACACCATAACTGACTAATGGAAAACAAAGATAGACAAAACTGAACAATTTTAGCCCTCTGCAGTAAATGTAGTATCTTTAATTTAATTTTATTTTTATTTTATTTTTCGATTTATATCCTGCTTTTTTCCTACAAAGGGCTCAAGGCAGCTTACATCATTCTCCTCCTCCATCTTATTCCCACAACAACAACCCTGTGAGGTAGGTTGGGCTGAGAGTCTGTGACTGGCCCAAAGTCACCCAGGTGGCTCCATGGTTGAGCGGGGACTAGAACCCAGATCGCCTGAGTCCCAGTCCCATGCTCTTAACCACTACGCCACACTGGCTTTTGTTTGGAGAATAATTGTTTGGAAGTTAGCACGAGGACATTAGAATATAGAAAGCTGCCATTTCTACAGTACTTTCAATGACTATGCCATATCTCTCATTCCCCCTGTGGGAATAAAATTAATTGTAAATTTTATTATTCAGCTTGGATAAGTCAGTATTTTTATTGCAGTAAGCAAATGAAATATTTCCTCGCCTTGCCCCACTTAGTTTTGCATAATAAGTCTCAATATCATAATTTTCTTTCAGTGGCAGAACAGAGGTCCAGTCTGTGCAGTATGGTAAAGAAAAGGCAAATAAGGACAGGGTATTTGCCAGGTAAGCAATTTTAAACTTACTTGCACCCAGTGCTATTGTATAGAAGACTGTTACAGCAGCTTATGCTACCTTTTTTGATGTTTTGTAGTCGTCATTGTTTTTATTATATTGCATTTATCACATGTCTATTTTCCATCTTGTGAGGAAACCAAAGCAGCTTATACAGTCCTCCTTCACTCCATTTTATCTTCACAATAATAATCACCGTGTGAGTTAGGTTAGGCTAGGCTGAGAGTTAGACTAAACCGTTGATACACTATGTTGGAGGTTTCTTTTGCCCTATTCAGTACATAATTTTGCCTAATCTAGTTAATGTGAAATAGAATGAGATTTAAATCTCTGCAATACTTTGAATTACTTGAAAATGATTTAAAGAGAGAAGCAAGTTAATTAGCAATTTTCACATAGGCACCTATTAGAAGAGGAAACAATTGAGTTGTGACACTGGAACATACTTTATTGTTGCAGTGTGGTAACTGATTCTTTGAAATTTCCACAAAGAACAGGAAGTTTTGGTAAGAGGCATAAGAGGGTGGGACTGTGAGGTTAAAGCAGTTAATAATCAAGTGCTTAACATGAAGCTTGACAGTTTGAATGCTTCTGCTCTGCCTGGGACTTAGAAAGTTCTAAGTGCTACATAGAAATACAACTTTCTGCTTGGTAATTAAGGTAAGTCCACCTAGGAGTTACATTGATTCTAAAAAGAAAACACAAACTCATTCAGTCTGCGCATTGCTGTTGGTACTTCAGTTCAAGTGGTGATTACTCTTCTGTTGCTTTTTAAATGCATGTGATAAATTCTGTGTGTGGTATTAATCCTCTTTAGAAAGAAACAGATCTTTAACAGTCAGCATATATGGATAATAGTATTTTGCATTCTTAGAATTTAAAGATTAAGGCTTTAGTTGGGGACTTACTTCTAAATCAGTTTCCAGCAGGACTTATGTTTTGTTTTAAATGATTGCAAAAGGGTCACTTGCATTTTGTAGAACTACCAACTTTTTTATCTAATCTAGGAATAGTAAGTTCAGTCATCAAAACACCTTGCCTGTTTACATTCTATGTAAATAAGAACGCAAGAGCAGCCATGCTGGATCAGACCAAGGGTCTGTGTACTTCAGCATTCTGTTAACACAATGGCCAGCCTGTGAAAGACCCACAAATAAGACATAAGAGCAACAGCAGCCTGCTACTCGTGTTCTGCAGCAGGTGGTATGCATAGGAATGCTGCTTCTACTGTTAGAAATAGCATGCAACCATCAGGACTACTGTAGCCATTAGTAGCTACATTGATATCCTCCATGAATTTGTCTGATTTCCTTTATGTGAATGTAGTTGCAGAGCTAGAACCTACGTACAGTGTATGTTGTTAGTTGAAAGCAAAGTTGACTGCAATTAATAAAGAAAGCTTTGGGAGGGCGAATGTTTGAAACAAGGAACCAACAGGGGGAGAGTAGTATGCTTTCTCTGCTTTCCCATTGTAGTCTCCCTTCTACAACAAGCTTCCTTCTCTCCTGCTACATGTGGCGTTACAGAAGCATGCCACTTCTAGTGGATTGGGTTCTAGCAATACAAAATTGTATTGTTGGAAGCTACAGAACATTATAGGAAGCGCCAGAACAGATTTTGTATAGCTTGATCTTGCCACCTGACAATTGTTACTCTTTTTCACGAATTCAGTGTTTTGTATAAATTGCATTGAAGTTCAGTGTTTTGTAAATATGTTTTTTCAAGTACTTTGAAAAATCATTTCATTCCCTCACAGAAAGATTTAAATTCTGTGTAGGGAAAGCTGTCTTCAGTTGTAGTTTCATATTTTTAATTCACTTGAACTTTTGGATACATCAATATTTATTTATTTTAGATCCCCAAGTAAACCTCTGGCTCGCAAATTGATAAGTGGGATGGACTGGGAAGTTGTCAGCAGAAATTCGTTGTCTGATGACAGATTAGAAACTCAAAGCTTGCCATCACGTTCTCCACCTGGAACCCCTAATCAGTAAGTAGAACTTAATAAGCACTTGTTTTCATTTTGTCAAGGAAGGTGTACTGGGTTAAGATTTTTGGAGGAATGTGTACTATTCCTTGGTTATTGCTGTAGTAAACACACACATCCTGAGGCATTTAGGAAGTCCAGTTGATTAACAGCCATACTGCATAATATAATACATATGCTCTTTAGAAGGTGTGCTTGAGTTTCCACTTCTTTTTTGAAGAAAAAGTGACCATGGGAGTTTCAGTCCAGAATGTGCTCCCTGCCTGGATTGCAGCCCAACACTGGCTTCCTGATGAAAATCCCTTCCCCACTCCTTGAAGGTGCTGGGTGTAGGAAACTGGCATGTGGTCCCATCCAGATCTTTTGAATCTAGACTCTGCAACTACATTTTCCTCAGGATGAAAGGGGCTAGTTGAAGCATACCTTAAAAGAAACATGTTTAGTGTTATGTGCCATTTGGTCCTAACTGAACAGCTGTTGAAAGTTATTTTGAATGGCTATGAAGTATTGTGCCAGTTTCTGCAAATACTGTTGAAATCTCCAAAATTTTGTGTTCTTTCAGTAAGAGATAAATGAAAACATGGAGGAGTGTGCAAATTAAAAGACAATTATGAAGTCGAATAGGGATGGTAATGATTTAAAATTGACACACAGAGACAGTTTTTTAATAATACCTGCATATAGCTCAAAACTCTTGATGGTTGCTTATGCATGAATGCATGTCAGCCTGTGTTTCCTGGAAGGATTTCAAATATAATTATTTCATTTAATAATAGCATTTGTTGCTACATATATGTTAATAGCTTCTAAGAAGGTATTTAAAGGAGCACTACATTCAGTTTCAAATATTGCTAAAATAATAACATTCCTAGCAGGTTTTGCTAGTATATATGAGGGGCTTCCTAAGTCAAAGAGAACTGTTAAATTCATGTTCCTAGAAAACAGAGTTTTTACAGGCACTATGTGGAGTATATCCCATATCTATACAAAGCTTGCATGTGAGCGGAAATAAACTTTCCAGTAGAAATTTATTTTATGATCTTTCTAAAAGTTGGGAACAATAGCATAAAAATGGCCATTACTGAAAAAATGTTCTTTCCCTTCTTAGTCGCAACTCTGCATTTACGCAAGAGGGAAACCGTTTACGGCCATCTTCAGTTGGACATCTAGTGGACCATGTTGTCCACACTTCACCAAGTGAAGTTTTTGCAAATCACCTATCACCTTCTTCCACACAGGCCAACAGTATCATTCTGGAATCGTCACCGTAAGTTTCTAGGCCTTTATTTTGTAGTGTTCCCTAATGTGTCCCTGCAGACAACACTGTGCTTACAGAGACCTCTGCTGGTATCCAACAGGTAGGCTTCCTGTGTATCCCGAGTTTATATATAAATTAATATAAATTAATTGGGAAGCTGGCATGGTGCAAAGTAAACAAAAAGTGTCCAGTGCAATTTTTGTTTCCAAAAATGCTTGTGGTGTGGTTGCAGCCCAGCATGTCATTTTGGTATCCAGAGCCCAAATATCCAGAAAAAAGGAAACATGAAGTGGGGACTGCAGCACAAACTCCACCTTTACCTTATTCTTAATTTCTTGGAGAAGCTACTTGTCATTTTTTTAGACTTACTTCTGGGAAATGACGGAATTGTGACCCAGCAAGCCACTCCTCCGTGGCAGCCACTTTGTGCAGATGTCCACAGAACATGCTCAAAAATTTCAAATGTGTTCACCTTCCCAGAAAGTTTGGAGACCTAAAAGTAGTACAAAAAGTTAATCAAATAATATTTCTGAGAGTAAGATTTGTTTCATACAGTAAGGAGGTTAACAGCCCCTTTTTATTTATTCAGTGATTACTTTATAAGTAGCACAGGGAACCAGTCTGTCTCAGCCATAGCGAACTCCCTACTTGTAATATGGGAATAATAGTATCAATCTACTGTACAGTGTTGTTGTAAAGATTTTGACAAAACAATGTATGTGAAATACTGTGTTCAAAGCACATATATATGCTAAATATATCTTAAGTAGTGATTCTTGTTTCTAGATGTTGTTGTTGCATCCTTGGAGAGTAGTGGGCCATTGGTGAATATCAGTGGATGCATACTCATAGAATGCTAAGCTGTGCTTCTTATTATCATAGTTTATTCTTTTAGCCATGACTTGTCTTGCAGATGAACAAAGAAACCACAGGTTATTTTCTCTATTTCTGGTTTGTTTTTCTTCTGATTGTATTACCAGGCTTCAGAACAGTTTTGTTTCCAGGCTGTTCTTGTTAGACCTCTGTTTTAGGGCACACAGCAATGCAAAGGTGTGAGGAATAAGCCCGTGTTCTAGGTTCAGACTTCATGACATGCCAAGGCTTAAACAAGCTAGGCTTCATAAGCCAACAACAAGCCATAGCTTCTACTTGTGCCTTGCTGTTAATTAAACCATTGTTTGTTTGCAAAGATGGGTTTGGATATAACAACATACCCGATCAGTAAATCATACTGTATATTAGCATGTGCAAAGCTGGGCAGTGAGTTAGAAGGTCTGAGATTCAGTTTCTGGAATTTCCGATTAAAAGGATCTTAAGTAGGGCATAGGACTTTTGAGGGTAAACCAAGGCCATTATGTGTCAAAAGCAGTGTGATCGTGGGATCCATCCAGTTTACTGCATCTGTAAACATTAATAGGGAGGGAAATAATAGGGAAAATATCATATCTGACAAAACTAGTCAAAATAAGTTGTCGTAATGCATTATTTTTGTCAAATATGGATTCATGTTAGTAAATGGACAAGATACATGTAACACAAACAGAGCTTATTAGTGTTTCCCTTTTTTATTTAATTATGCAAATTGATAAATGGAATAATACAGAGAGCTGCTTTGACTGCAGAATAGTCTGCTTTCACACCCATTGTCTAAGCATTCATAAGCTGACTGGGCAAATATAAAGCATAGATGTTTTTGCCCAAGGCTTCTTTCCTAGTTCTCATAATTCATTATGGTAATATACTATAGTATGTTACATCCATAACCAAAAGCTTATTCTTACTAGTTCAAATGAGAACTTTTACTGTTTACATATGAACTTTGTATAGATGTGATAGATAGCTCTTTTATTTAAACATTTTGATTTTTTTTGGTATGTTAAAGGTTTTATGTTTGTCATTTTTGGCTATTGGGTAGTATAGGGGTGAATTAATTAAGTTCCTAGTGGGATATGTATAATCAGGCCAACTTTCAACCACATGTTTCTCCAAAGTAAAGAAACTTGGTAGATATTGCTTCTAGTGCACTTGGATTTGAGGAAGGATACGGTTTTTAAAATCAGTAAAAGTGGGGTCCATGAGAATGTCTTACTTTCCTGGATATAGTTATGGTAGAATAGCAATCCTTTATTTGTGTTGCTAATTAAAGAATTAGGGTATAATTTTATGTATCTATAGGATCCTATGCATACATATGATTTAACCTTTAAGCTCTCAGGGCAAAATTCCTTCTCAGCCATATAGGGAAGGGATGCTTTCTTAAGAAGGGATCCCAGCCTTACAGGATGCTTTCTTAAGAAGGTCAAAGCAACATATGACTGGGATTGCCTCATCTCCTCTGTTGTCCCTATTTTTTATTTTGGAGGCAATGTGCATTAAATAGATTTCTACTTAAGTTTGTATTATAATTCTGTATATAATATCTGATTGCATCAGATTCTGCATTCTGATGGGATGTAGTGTGCAGATCCTTACTTGCAGAAGTATAAAAAGAAAATTTCTAAGGAAAAGAACCTAAGGAAGAAGAATCTAAAAATAGCTCACTGAGTATATTTTAACGCAGGCAATAGGCAGCCAGGTGAAGGCTTTCATTATATAGCTGGATTCCAACCCAATACTATCCAAAGTAAGTTTAATTAGAATATGTGGGTATGCACACACATGCACAGGGAAAGAGAGAGGAGGAAGAAAGGAGTGCAGGGTAGGATGCTATGATTAATAGGTGAGGTCCCTCTTGAGTGCAGCAGATCACTTCAAGTTGCCAATTCTGGAAGCTGAAATCTGGGACAGATTTAAACATCAGCAAACAAAAAATAAGTCAGTTTTAAAAAAGGGGTTGCAGCACATCTGTACTTGTGGGAAGGCAGGAACCTGGGCAGTCAGGCAAAAAGTGATACGAGATAGTAGAATAAAGGTATACTTTTCCTCTTAGTCTTTCTATCTGGGCTTGTCTAAAGAACAGCAAAACTGCGATGTTTGCTGTTTTATGAATCACAGGTGGAATCCTGCCCATGATGGGGAAAGCCAAGAGACCAAGGTAATTTATTTCAGCAGTCTAGTCCCAGTTAATTTATAGCTACAATGGAACTGATCTAGTGAACCAGCACGATAGAACCAGTCTAATGAATTGGTACCAAGTAAGGAATGATTTCAGCAGTGTAGAACATTGCTCTGGGGTCAGAGAACACAAAGGTCTTGAACCCCTGAATTTTTATGCTGTTTCAATAAAAACTTCAAAGTTGCTGTCTCTCCCCACAAAATGCCTGACATTACAAAAGCAGAAACATGCAAGGGGAACAACTCCCAGGTGACCTCAGTAGCTATTCTGGGTTGGGAAAATAGACTCTTGGCAACTGTTAAGTAAAGTCATTCCTACTGTGGAAAGGGTAGACAAATCAACAAAGTACTTAGTCTCTGCGTATTCAAAAACAGTGACCATCCCCAAAAGTTATGAAATTCCAGATTTACAACTAAACTGGTTATAATATGTAGAAATGTCACTTCAGAACTAGCATATGCATGCATAATTAAAATGGAATTTGCTATTTCTGAAACTTTTAAAATATGTATACTTGTAATTAGCTGGGTGCTGCTGTGACCTATTGTTTCTTAGGTAAGACTGATTTGCACTGCCATTTTCTTGCTATTGCTTAGGCTTTCTTGGGCATTTTAAAGTGACCATCTCCATGCTTGCCAGTTGCTTTGGGAATTTAAACTGTTTTGTAATAATGCTTACTGTTAGGGGTGGGGGACATAAAACCAGGGCAGAAGGAGAATGAAATGAAATAACTTGGAATTTCTAGATCCCAGGAGGAACTTTCTAAGGGGCTGTAGTGGGAAGAGAAAACAGGAGAGCGCTTTTGAGCAGATGACCTTCTGCTTACATAGAGATGCAACTACCAATGTTCCATTGGCCATTTGATTATATTGTTCATTCTATGTAATCTAATAATCTAGATCAAAAGTTTATTCTTTGAATCATTCTGAAAATCTGGTAGTAATGGTCTCTTTAGCTGGCAACTCAGACCTTTTCAAAATGTATCATTTTGTGTCTCGTTTTGTGTAGATCTCAAGAGACCCCTATAGATGGGCAACCACCTGCACTGCCACCTAAGCAATCTAAAAAGAATAGTTGGAACCAAATTCATTATTCACATTCTCAGCTAGAATTGGATAACCATATAAATGAAACATATGATGATGATTCTTCCTCATCTCCTGAAAAATCTATGGTAAGATCCTGCTGCAAACTTGTTTATCTGATTTGAAGTTAGACTCTCCTTTGAGAATTTGTGTAGGTAGAGTTAAACTATAGTGTTTTATAATAAATACCTTAAAATAAATTCATAAGCAACGTGTATTGAATGTCTCAACAGTTTTTGGACATTGTCACATACATATGCAGACACATATATCATTTACTACAAATTTTGTGTATTTCAACAGACCCATACTTAAGAGTATAGTGGTACCTCGGCTCAAGAATTTAATCCATTCCAGGACTCTGGTTGTGAGCCAAGTCAAATTTCCCCATAAGGTTCAATGTAAATAAGGGTAATCCGTTCTGTAAATATTTTTTTTAATCACAAAAATTTGAAACAAAGTAACAAAGTACAGTACAGTAGAGAAAACTAACCTAGGTGAGGGGGAGGTTATTGTTTGGAGGCAGAGTGCAAACCATAATCGTGTGATAGCAATTGTATTTCGAGGGAGGGGGAGGAGATGGCCATGATTGTGCTGGGGGTGGGGAGACGGGCACGCTCGTGCAGTGAAGATGGGTGTGATTGTGGGCACGCTCGGGTTGGGAGACGGGCGCAATCGAGGGCGCGCTCATGCAGGGCAATGATCATGATTGCGGCCATCTCCCCCCCCCCCAAGCACAACTTCCCTGCACGAGTGCAACCATGATTGGGGCCATTCCCCCCCCCAGCACGATTGTGCAGGGAAGATGGCGCGATCATCACCCAATGCAGAGTTTGTGACCTAGGTCAAAATTTTTCTGAAATTTCTGTTCGCTACCCAATTTGGTTGTGAACTGAGGTGTTCATGAGCCGAGGTACCACCATATATTTACTGACAGCGATACACTGATTCTTCAGCAATCTTGCATGTGATACTACAATACTAAAACGTTACTTTTGAGCACGTTTCAGTTGACTACCAGTGAATTTGGAATTTAAAGCCATGTGTCTAACATCTAAAAACATGTAGAAAGTATCTAACTGTATCTATCCATTAGAAGAACAGACATCACTAGAGGAATGGATTATCTCCCTGACCCACTGCTTTCCCCCTAATTTTCTCCAGAAGTTTGAATAACCTTCTGGAGCAGATTTGATGGTGATGCAGGAGACTGTAGGAAAAAAAATGGAAATCCCACTTCATGGGCAGAAGTCTTGTTGGAAGGAAAGAATAATCAGATCCATCAGTGATCGGACAGGGACAGTTGGATATAATTTGAAAACAAAGTTCCAGTATTTTTAGGCATAAGGTATATGGATTCAGATTAGCTACCAGGCCAAGTTTAATGTTTTGTTGTTAACCTGATTCTGAGCTGTTCAGAGTTTTATATGTTATCTAATGGATTGCTTTATTTATTTATGTTTCTGTTCAGTCTTTGTCATCCTCAGAAGGAGCATTTCCAGTGGTGCTGCATGCTCCTGAGGTTTGTCTTGAGGATGCAAAGTAACACAGCATTTAATATTGCAGTATCTGTCTCTGTAATGCATTTCCCATAGACTTTAGACAGGCCTCTACAGTTTGGACCTTTAGGTGCTTCCTTAAGACCTACCTCGTATGTCTTTATAAATGCTTTTCCTGACATGTGACTTAGCTAGTATAATTGTAATTTTATTGCTGTGCACTTGGTTTTATCATATGTTATTGTTATATTATTGTTATGTTATCCACTTCCATAACTTGTTATGAAAGTAGTATACAAATTTGTGCAATAAATATGCTTGCTTTTGGTTAAGATTAGGTTACAAGTTACCTTTCAGTTTCTCCACTTGTAATTTACTACTTCTTGTTCAGCTAAAAACACCTGTAGTCTGTTAATAAGGTACATTTAGTCTCTCTGTAATAGATGATGAGCAATTATAGATCACACTGGGATTTAGGAATAATTTTCTAAATAAATTCATGATATTATGCTTTCATTTTCAGCCCAATGGTGGAATTCCCCATGACAATCTTGTTCTGATCAGAATGAGACCAGATGAAAATGGAAGATTTGGTTTCAATGTAAAGGTATTTAAAAAATGTCCCCTTCCATATCTCTTCATATACTTGAATCCTTTATATTGCTTCATTAATTGCCTTTCTTTTAAAGGGTGGATATGACCAGAAGATGCCTGTCATAGTGTCCAGAGTGGCTCCAGGAACACCTGTAAGTTTTCCTGTGGCTCAGTTTTCTCGTTCTTTAAGGTATGATGGAGTGGCCAAACTGAGGGTTGTGGGCCACATGTGGCTCTTTGAGTTTATTTTGTGACAGTACAGACAATACAGCATGCCACAGTTAATCAAAACTTGAAACGGAAGCCCCTGAAATCCTTGCAGCCACACTTAGGGATCTAGGGAGGTACATGTATGCCTGTTGGGAAATGAGGTTCATTCAAAACTTAAGTTGCAACAAACCGGATTAGGAAAAGTTTCCTAATTGTCAGAACAAAACAAGAGTGAAACCAGTTGCCTAGATTGGTCATGGGATCTTCCACATTTAGAGACATTCAGAAAGAAATTTGACCGTCATTTGTGTGGGATGATTTAAATTGGTGCCTTGTGATTTGAGTCCTGGAATGTTACATTGATTGTTACACTGTTTTAATATATTGTATTATGTTTGGAATTTTATTGAATGTAAACAGTTCAGAGAGCCAACATGGCTGACTGTGAACAGCATACAAATTTATATATAAGTAAACAAACAGCCAGGGGTTGGACCCAATGGCCTTCTTGGTCCTTTCCAACTCTTCTAGCCTATGATTCTATGATTAAGCTCAGTAATGAATTTGATAAGCAAGTACATTACAAATAAGACAGAGCCTTACTTGTAATAGACTCTGCATCAATAATTTGTTCCTGTTGCAGGCAGATATTTGTGTCCCGCGTTTGAATGAAGGAGACCAAGTAGTACTGATCAATGGCAGGGATATATCAGAACATACTCATGATCAAGTTGTCATGTTTATTAAAGCTAGCTGTGAGCGGCACTCAGGGGAACTTGTGCTCCTAGTTCGACCCAATGGTGAGTAATTTTTCTGTACAAAGCATGTTTGCTTTTTCCTAGTTTATAGTGTGCTTCCGTCCAAGCATTTGTTGTGGGACCTCTTTCTTCCTTCCTCCTTTCCTCATTTTTTTTTTTTTGAATTCTGGGCACAAAAATATTTTCAATTATGATGAAACAAAGATTAAATAGGAACATAAAGAGACCTAGTATGCTCTGGCTCGGTATTCTTTTTCTAATACTAGTCAGCCTAAAGGAAACACAAAGAGACAGCAGCTGTAACCTGCTCCCTGCTTACATCATGGTATTCAAAGTCTGAAAGTTCTGTTCAACTTTGTTGTTCAGTTCTACAGTAACACTTGCAGATCGGTTCGGTAATGTTCTCCATCTCCTTTTTAAACTATCCAAGCCAACAACCATCATCACACCTTGCAACAGTGAATTCCATGAATTCAGTACATGTTGGATGGATGAGCTGTCTGTCTAGAATGTTCACCATTCACTTTTTAGGTGACCTCCAGCTCTTGCATTATGAGAGTGGGATGAATATTTCCCCAATTTCTCCTGATTATTCATAATTTATATATGCCCGTCAATACCTCTCATTAGCCAAGCTTTTTCAGCAAATATACATTTCAGTCTTTCTTCATAAGAAGGTATTACAGGCCCCTGGATCATTTTGGTTCCTTTTCCTGTACCTTTTCTAATTCTCTAGTATTTATAGAGATAGGGGCCTAGAATGTGTATACAGTAGTCAAATGTGACAGCAGCATAGGTTTATGTACTAATTATTTCAACTAAACTTATAACTACAATTTTACATGAAATTAAAACTTCCACTTTAAAAAAAAAAGGAATAGCTGATTTAACTCTGACTATTAACCACTGTTCTAAAACCAAAGATACACATTTCTTTGGGAATAAGTGAATTTTGAGTTCACCTTTTTTACTGTACCATAGTCAGAAAAAAATAAATTGTGTAGGTGTTACGATTTAACTTGTCAAACTGTGTTGACTGCAATATTTGTTCTAAATAAATGATCTCAAATGTAGAATTTAGTGAAAGGCATTATTTCCTCCTCCACACTTTTGCAGTTCTGTTTTACTCTCAAGCATTGGTAATAAAATTTGTTTGTATTCTGCAAACACTGTCTGGAATATGTATATGACATGTCCTTGAGTTACCTTCCCAACTCTTGATGATAAAATTGCATGAAAGAGAGGGAGATCAGAGTTTTTATTTAGATTTAGAAATATAAGATTATGTCCACCATTAGTCTTGAGAAATAATCATTTCAATGGATCTACTCTAAATTGGTCTAACATGGGATAGAACCCATTTACTGAATCTGTCCATCAGTGGAACAGATAGCAATGGCAAAACAGTTTCCTTTCCTTATTCCCTGCTTCAGCCCCTTAACATGTCCCCTAAATATGGCCTTGGAAGATTCATCAGCTCTAAGGAACAATATAATTTGTTTGGAAGCCTATCTTTTAAAAAAGTGTCATCAGTACAGAAAGCATCTTTTTATACAGAACAGAATCAGTTAAAAGCCATTTGAAAAGTAACATGTAAATTACATGTTACAGAGGTGGGGAGCACTTCTGAATGGGAGGACCAGATGATGCTTCATCTGGCTTTTGCTGGCCAGGTGACATTGGGCAATCTGGACATTTCCCATGGAAGACTCCAAAGAGATTGCAACAGTTAATTCATAGGGAAATAGGAACGCTTACAATTTCAGCCATCTCCACAGTAATTGCAACATTAACTGTAAGAACAATTATCCTATAATTGTCAGATTTAAAAAAAATCCCTCTAAAGATGTTTGTTTACAAAGAATGTATTTGCTATTGTCTTTGGATAAATTTTCAATCTAGTAGCTGTTGACAGTAATACAATTTACCTCTTCAGTAATCATGCTGCTTTTGGTTAATTTTAGCTGTTTATGATGTGGTAGAAGAAAAGCTGGAGAATGAACCAGACTTCCAGTACATCCCTGAGAAGTCTCCACTAGATGGAATCCACCAGGATGACAATGCTCTAAGGGAATCAATGTTTCAGCTGGCAGAGGGGCTTATCACTGGAACTGTGCTAGCTCAGTTTGATGTAAGTAATGTATTTCTAGAAAAGATCATCAAGTGTAAGAGTGTTTGACTGGAGACCAAGGTCAGGATCACCATACTATTGTATTCCCAGTCACACTAAATGGGCATTAAAGCTGACAAATATAAATATATGTATTTGAAATATGCATCTGATCAAAAGATAAACAAATAGGTCCTAGATCAAATCTAGCCAGAGTTTTCCCTACAAACAAAAATGTCAAACTGAAGCAGTCATACTGCAGACATGAAAGCAAGACTCATTGGAGAAGACAATTCTGTTAGGGAAAGTCCAAGGCAGGAGATGAGAGAAAAGACCAAATATGAAATGGACAAGGAGGCCACAGCCTTGAACTTGGAGGAGTTGGGCAGGGCTGTCATGGACAGGATATTTTGGAGTGCTTTCATTCATAGGTTCACCATAGTTGGAAATGATGCGTCAGTACACACACACACAGCATTTCTTGGAGATTATGTGCATAATCCATGTCCTGTCAGTCTAGCATTTGTAAGCAGAATGGGGAAAGAAAAATTCCATTCCCACTTTTCAAGATCTTAATGTCTTCAAACTCTGTTTCAGATGGTGTGTTTATATTAATGGGCCCATGGAACCCACACCTAGAATCTGTTTCTAGGGCTCCTAAAGAATCTGTGCATGTCAACAGAAAGGTCTTTTTCCGCAACCTTAATTGTCATATTCAGTGAGGGCACACCTGAGAAGAAAAGAGCTAACCTGCCCCTACCCATAAATGGTGATCCATCCTGAAATTTGGCCCATTCCAATTAAAGTTAGGGGGAAAAAATTCAATTGGTGCCTAATTACATGATGGTGGGGGGAATTTTCTCCAGAGGAAAAGTAAATAATCTGGGGAAGAGGCCTTTTTCCAGGCATTTGCTATATTGTAGTTTTATGTGTGCATGTGTAATGTGGCTTCTGCTTTGTGCATTGAGAAGTGGCACAACGTGGGAGTCCCTAGACTGCTATCACAGTTTCTTCCTCTTAGCATGTGAGATCAGAGGCCTCACTAGTGCCAGCCACTATGGCCAGTGGTCAGAGTTTCTGGGAGTTGTAATCTAAAATAATCACAGTGAACACTGCAAAAGAGAGTGGGGCAGAGCCAGCTCTGCATTCCCATCTAAGGCTTCCACTTTCCAAGCTCCCTGTCTCCTTCAAGGTGCCCAGTCCTCCAGTTCTTTCTGATTCCCACTTCCAAGCCTACATCTGTCTGCCTTCTGCTCTGCTGTCTTTCACCCTATGCATCCTAATCTTCTTCCTTGCTTGCCTGCTTAATTTACCTCTTTTTTACAACTCCCTAGCCCTCATTCTTAGTACGCATCCAGCTTTTTGAACCTTCAAAATGGAATCATGCATCTCTTTATTTTATTTTGTACTAAATTAATGGAGGTAAAGATGATTGAAGATGACTAAATGAAGCGATTTAGTGTACTTGATTATCATATTTTGGACCAGGTCCTCAATAGAAATTGGAACATAGATAGGTTCTGTTCTTTTGGGGTTTTTTTTTTTTAGTGGATTAGCACCCTGTTACATCTTTGCAATCCCACTTAATATGAAAGTTGCTATTCTTAATGGCATATATGTAAAAGGAATAGTGAAAAAACCTTCAGTCATTCACACTATTTTGGCCTGCATTAACGGAAGCAGCACTTCCAAAATATGTGAAGTACTCGTTGCATTATACTCAGCATTAGTCAGATCTCACCTGGAGTACTGTGTCCAGTTCTGGACGCCTACGTTTTTAAAAGATGCAGAAAAGCTAGAAAGAGTAAAAATGATGATTCAGGGACTGAAGGCAAAGCCCATTGAGAAAAGGTTGCAAGAACTAGGCATGTTCAGTCTCAATAAGAGAAGATTGAAGGATGATACAATAGCACTGTACAAGTACCTGAAAGGCTGTCACAAAGAGGAAGGACAAGATTGCTTCTCATTCATTTTGGACTACAGGACACGGAATAATGGATTCAAGTTAGAAGAAACTAGATTTAGATTAGACACCAGGAAGAATTACCAATAAGTTGTTCCACATTGCCTTTTTGTTCATGACTCTTGGCCTTAATGCAAATGCTATGCCATTACTTCTCTTTTAAACTTTCAGATGGTATATTTGTTGCAAATTTCAGTGCTAATTTCAATTTCTTGAAAACAGCTGCCAAAGTAAAAGTATGGCATTTTTACCTTTAGCAACATGCTTGCAATCAAGAAAAAATAAATGATGTTCAATTGTCTTGCTTGTATTCAGTCTTTCATTATTAGTCATACTTTGCTTGTTACTATCTGACATGTTTGTTTCTATTTAGCAACTTTACAGGAAGAAGCCTGGGATGACGATGTCTTGTGCCAAATTACCTCAAAACATTTCCAAAAATAGATACAGAGACATTTCGCCTTGTAAGTGCTTCAGTGTATGCAAGTTTACACAGTTCATTAATTGCTGTTTAGAAACTAATAGTTGTTTTTATTACCTTTTTTTCAGATGATGCTACACGGGTCATTTTAAAGAGTAATGATGATTACATCAATGCAAATTATATAAATGTGAGTTGACAGTTTTCCTTCCTCTTAATTTGTTATTTCATATTTGCATATTAGCCTTTTAGATTTAAAAGATACAAAAAGATGTACCTAATGTTAGGTGAAGCTGTTTCAGTATGTTATGGTTTGCTGTAGGTTACTACAGTTATAAGTGGAGAGAATTCTGCCCATATAGTTGTATGTCTGGTTTCTGTGAGAATTTTTCCAGAAGTTAAACCTTTTGATACACCTTCATTTAACACCAGAATGCAAGTCCTTGGGCTGCATGCAACCCCTGTACACATCAATGTCTCCTTCTCCTTCAGCAACCCAGAAGCAGTAGTGCCTGTTACTTGTGCCAGATCCTCCTCCTCCTGATGACCTGAAGAAGCTCTCATTGTTTTTCATCACTGCCACAGATAATGTCAGTCTTGCAGGGAGGGGGAAACTCAACAGTGTCCTGCCTAGCCCCATGATCTTGCTGCAGGACTACTGAGATGGGGTCAACTTTAAAGCCGCGTCTTCTATGTACATGTCTGCTGATCTTTTATGAAGTCCTCAGGACCGAAAATATTGTACATTCTGGATTTAAAAAGATGCTAGTGTTCAGTTGTTGTGCCCCAAACAGAGAAGACCAGCAATAGTCAATTATTATATATCACTTCTTGCAGGAGTCAGGGAAGGAATGATCTGGATGTTTGGTAACATATTTTATTGCAATCTTTGACAGTTAATTGTGCAATATTTCTAGCTCTCATCTATCTATTTTCTAGCTGTCTTTGAAACTGAACTTGATCTACCAAAGAGTACACAGTTGTGAAACTACTAACACATTCATCAGTTCTTTTTTATTTTTAGATGGAAATCCCTTCTTCCAGTATAATAAATAAATACATTGCCTGCCAAGGCCCTTTACCCAACACTTGCCCTGATTTTTGGCAGATGACTTGGGAGCAAGGCTCGTCTATGGTGGTTATGTTAACCACTCAAGTGGAACGGGGCAGGGTAAGTTCCTCTATAGTTTTATTTCTTAAAACAACTAGAACATCCAATGCTAACTTTATTTCAAGTTGTATTTGTATTCCTATACTGTTAAAATATTTGGATTCTTTGGATATTTTCCTATGTATTCAACAGTATAATTGCTTATAATTTTAAATTAGCAGCCCCTTGCAGCTTGTTTGAGCCGAATGTACTTGCAGTATCTTCTGCAGTATATTATGAGGAAAAAGCAGTATCATAATCTAATAGAAATCTGTTCAAATTTACTGACTTGTCAGTTAGTTGTTTGACTGTTTGCTTGATACACTTGTGCAAGCAATTATTGGCTTTCAATGGTAAGACAAGAGTATATGGCTTATCTTGGAAGTAATTGGAAGTATAGTTAAAAGAAATCTGGAGCAAAATGCTGCTTTTGAAACTTAAGTTCAAATTTAAACTTTTGTAATATCTTGCTTAGGGACTGCAGGTGGCGCAGTGGTTTAAACCACTGTGCTGCTGGGCTGGTTGATCGAAAGGTCGCCGGTTCGAATCTGCACAACAGAGTGAGTTCCCATTGCTCCGTCCCAGCTCCTACCAACCTTGCAGTTCGAAAGCATGCAAATGCAAGTAGATAAAAAGGTACCACTTTGGTGGGCAGGTAACAGCGTTCCGTGCACTTTGGTGGTTAGTCATGCCGGTCACATGACCACAGAAACTGTCTGGACAAACGCTGGCTCCCTCGGCTAGGAAACGAAGATGAGCACCGCCCCCTAGAGTCAGGCATGACTGGACTTCTCATCAAGGGAAAACTTTGCCTTTTTTAATATCTTGCTGACTTTAGGTAAAATGCCATCAGTACTGGCCTGAGCCCAGTGGAAGCTCCTCATATGGGAATTTCCAGATCACTTGTCATTCAGAAGAAGGAAATCCTGCTTATGTCTTCAGAGAGATGACACTGTCTAACTTGGAGGTGAGCAACAACTGCCTACAATAATAAAACCCTAAAACTGAAAGCATCTCATTGTAAAATATTAGCATATCATTTTCTTGATTGTCTTTTTTAGTCTCCTTGGAAAGCTGAAATATCACCATCGTTTGTTACCTTTTGTTCAACAAAAATGTAATATTATAAAGATAAAAGTATAATCACATTCTGTAGTTAGATCCAAAGTATTGAACCTGCCACCATCAGTAAGCATGTACATTAATTAACAGTCTGCAATGTATATTGTTTAAGGAAATCATAGCATTGTTTATAAGAAAAGTTTGAGTTTTACCTCATGTTTTATCTTCATAGAGTTATGAATGCTGCCTTTTTCAAATTACTGTTTCCCCACATAACATTATGGAAACATAAAGACGATTGTACATACACAAAATGGTAGGATAGTACGTTTTCTCAAGGGAAACAGTCGTTTGTCTTGTGCTTATAAAACTCAAAATCCTGTATGGTATTGCATTCACCTAAGAGGGCTCAATAAGATAGCATCTTACCTGTTTGGAATTTTCAAAGGGTACCTTTAAAATATTATTTCAGATTTAACCCCAAATCAGTGGAGTTTATTTTAAAAATCCATTGTCCATATAAGCACATAATCCTTATCTCACCTTCCAATTAATGGTTTTGTATTTCATTTAACTGACAAGAAACATCTGAATGTTGATTTTGTAACATATGAAAAGAAAAAAAATGTAATACTGAGGTAGGTTTGACTTTAGACATTAAACATATTATAGGAAAACACTGAAATATTCAATTACATTTGACCAAATTTTGTCTTACTAGAAAAATGAGAACCGTCAGCTCACTCAAATCCAGTATGTAGCATGGCCTGATCATGGGGTTCCTGATGATTCCAGTGATTTCTTGGATTTTGTATGTCTTGTCCGAAAAAAAAGAGCTGGCAGAGAAGAACCTGTTGTTGTTCACTGCAGGTATTTAGTTCATAAGTGACCACTCAGTGTAATGCCTTTCCCAAGTTTTTAAATTGATGACATTATTTCACTTCGTAGTGTCATTCATTTTCAAATACAAATAATATTCTTATGTTTATATTAAAAGTAACTGTTACTTGCTTTTTTTCTTCAGTGTTTTTGAAACTGAGCTAATATAGCTATGAAGTATGACATCTGTCAGTACATTTAACAAGACAGAACTGAGGAAGGAAGCTTATTCAAATAGCTGTGCTAATCATGTATGCGAGCTATGAGGCTAAAAAGGAAATGGCTTGGCTACTTTAAAGAGAAATGTCTGCTAGTAATATATGTAGCAATAATGCACTGCACTGCTGTCAATAGAGCAGAGGGAGATTTCTCCTTCTCCCCACAAATTTGTATGCCCTCCTTGAAATCTGTTATAGGGAATTGCACAGCCTTTCAGTAAAGCATGAGAGGGAGAGGGAAGGGAACCATAGGGATTTGGAAAGTGAGAACCTGCCCTGGGTGCATCTAAAAATAGCTGTCATGGGTGGATATAACTGCTCAAAACGGACAAGTTGTTGTGGTTGTTGTTTATTTATTATTTGCATTTACATACCACCCTAGTAGCCCAGAGCCAGATATAGTACTCTATCCAGATGCATACACAAAGAGTTAAGATGGCTTCAACTAGTTGCTACCACTTCCCTTTGAAGCAACTCCAACTGAAAATAAAATACAAAACTGCTTCTAAAATAAATATTGTAAAAAGGGGGTTACTTAGGGCACATTAGCACCCACAGACACTGCACTGCGTACCCTTGACATAATAGCAGGAATTGATTTATGGAAGCTCATAGATTAATTGTCCTCCCTTTGGCAGATGATTTTCTGCTTAATTTGTTTCCTTGTTGCTAATGATAAATGGTATTTGAGCTGTACATTGATGCCATCCACTGGACAAAAATGTAAATTAACTTATTACTAAAGTGTGCAATATTTCTATAGCAAACTAAAATGAAATACCATAAATGAAGTAATACAGCTGGGTAATGATTAATGAGAGTTTGAATAATGTGATATTCAATTTAGTGAAAATTGTACAATGACATCAGTTAAGGCAAGGCTAGTGCATGCACAGTTGAAGTTACTGGGTGACTCTTAAGGTTTTAAATGCTTTACCTGTGTCGCTCTACCTGTCTCCATTCAGTGCTTTGTTTATGCTAGTTTCCACTCCATCCTTGTCATAGTACTAAGCAAATAATGATAGGGAAAGCCTTGATAACTGTCATCTTGTGCATGTGTGATTACAGAGAAGCTTCTGAATTGTAGATAAGGAAGCATTAAAATAAAGTGATTCAGACAGAAACAAGAGGCCAGTTTTATCCTTGTGACAGTTTGTCACACAAATGAGAAGTGTGCCATTAACGCAACTTTATTTTAACTATATCAATTTATATTCAACAGTTTTCTAGGCCATGTAAATTCTACATTGGTGTTATATCACTCTGTGCAAAATGTCTAGTACAGTAGTGTGTATAACAGGGATGCTTTCTATAACCACTCTGTGTCTTTATTAACAGTAAATTAAAATTATAAGTATATTCTTTTTATCTTTTACGGCAATATTTTGTTAAGATATAAAAACTTAGGCAATGAAAATGTTTAAAACTACTTCCATTGAGCTGGAACCAATTACCATATTCTACATAAAATTATAACTTTGAATATTGTGAATTTGAATAATGTAACGACCCTAATGTGGGATTCATTATCTGCCCTAATTGAGACCTATCTGAAATCCCAAATGTATGTAACGAGTGTTTTCATTTTAAATTGAAATATAGACACATTTTGAACTCACATATGTGCTCAGTGCACTAATTCCAGCAAGTTACTCTTTATTCGGCAAACTGGTAGGGACCATATCCAGTGCTGTCTATGGGCCAGCAGGATCCATTGCTTGTGCAACGGAAAGCTAGTGCTTCCTAAAGAAACCAGAAATTAACCAATATTGGAGGCAGTGAGGGCCAGCTGTTAACAATATTCTTCTTCTAGTGCCAGTTTAAGACTTTCCTCTAGTTCCAGGCATTTGATGGAGTATAAAGGTTTAAGCATTCTTCAAATTTTTATTGTTGATAATTTTTTAAAATTGCATGTAAATGGTTATTTTAAAGGTTTTATTCTTTGATAATCTGCCCAGAGACTTTTAGCTATAGGGCAACATAAGCATGTTTATTGTTAACATGATTACAGTAGTGACAGTACTCTCATTTCTGAATGAAATGGGTCAATGGAACTCACAGAAGAGACTTTAATTGAATGGTCATGATTTGGAAACAAGTATCTTGGGTAATCTTTGGGATTGTTCAGGGAAGTGTTAGCTTCCTCTTGCTCATGCAATGGACCTTACTCATGTAACATTGTCACTGGAGGCACAGAGGTGGTAAAAGTCAGAACCCCAGATTGTGTGTGTGCGTGTGTGTGTGTGTGTGTGTGTTAGAGATTGTGTTTGTGGTCTATTAAAATTTTGATATAGTTGACTGTAGTAATGTCAGCACCCAGAGAGGATACTGGTTTATTGTGCTAAGACCAGATTAGAGAAAAAGGGTTCCCTTGCGAGTCACAAAACAGAGTGTTTGGCAATGGAAGCCAATCAACATGAACAACAGAGAGCTTTTGTTTTTGGGTGGTAAAAATAAATAGGCAGGCTTCCAGGATGGAGTATGGGTTGTAGCACAACAAGGCAGTTATGTGAAGACGGGATGATAACCAAGATGCTCCTCACCACCATGATTGGCACATTGAGAATGTGGAACTTCTTTTAGTAGAACATATTTCAAAAATCCTACAAGAAAACTGAATGCCTATAGATTACCTAGATTAAATTATATTTTGTAATATATTTTAAAAGTAATTCATTTTACAAATCTCTTTTAGAAACTAGTTCCATTAGGACCTTGTAAAATAAATCTCCTAAGATACCTAAGTATCCTACACACATTAACTCTAGGGACAAGGTGTGGAGACAAATGGTCTACTACTGAATAACCAGTATTTGATCATTTGTTTTCCATTGAATCTGTTACTTTTGACATGGAAGAAAATGCCTCTTTAGTGGGAAAAGCCATTGCTATATAATATAGAAAAGATTAGAATTGAAAATGGTTATTTCATAAACCTTTGTTTCCATAAACTTCTAGAAAGCAAATTCAGATATTTCCTGTGAAGTTAATTTGTCTAAACATTTTAACCATGTTTTCTCATATACCACTTTCAGATCTACATTCCTTGTATTTGTGTCATTTGGACCTTTTTCTTACCTCAGCAGTATTAACATTGATGAGTAATACATACTTGCCAGCAGCAGCATGCCTGGTTACAATAGCTGTCATAAAATTATATGCTCATGGAGTTCTCAAAACAGTATCATTGTTGTTTAAAACTGTTATTGTTCTGAGTGGCAGATTGAATCCTGAAAATATGATTGCTATGAGTGCACAGCAACATTTCCAAAACTGCCATATCATGGAATATGGCTATATATAAACAGGAATGTTAGCATTTCCCAAAGCAATATACTTAACAATATGCCAAACCTAAAATAATGTATAGGTGTTTAAATTTTATAGTGACAGCAAATATGTTCAAAACTTTCAAACACTTCTTTGGTAAAGAGCAAAAATATTTTTCAAAGCAATCTTAGCAAAACATAAAAAGGTTACCTATGTTCTAAGAAACGAGGCCTACAAACCATATTTACAGTGACCCTTGTGGCAAATTCAGTCTTTTTGGCTTAATGCTTAAGAGAGAGAGATGGGTGGGGAGCTGTATTATACTGAACATGTTGAGAAAATGTATTGCAGATTCTATTAGGCAAAACATTTGCTGATTTCCTGTAAATTGTATTTTCCTGCAGGAATTAAGTCTTTGCAGTTCTTATTTCCAGAGAGTTGAAATCTTAGGTGACTCAAATTATTTTCAAGTTTGTCTTAGGTACATTATGTACATATTTAAGTACTTTTAAAAAGGTAATATGATAAATATTGTACACTTCTGTTATTTCGCAGTGCTGGAATTGGACGAACAGGAGTTCTTATCACTATGGAAACAGCTATGTGTCTTATTGAGTGCAATCAGCCTGTTTATCCTTTGGATATTGTGAGAACCATGAGAGATCAAAGGGCCATGATGATCCAAACTCCTGTAAGTCATGGATAATACAGTAGGATATTTTTTTCCAGTAACACTCATGCTCAGGCTGTTTATTTGAATGGTTTTATATCATTGCAGCATGAGTGGGTACAGGATTTTATTTATATGTTGAATGTAACATTTAACATGGGACAGTAATTTTTAGTGCACTAATACTTGAACCCATGAGAGATTGAAAGCCAGCCTATTGGTTTGAAAAATGCACCCTATGCTCCTTTATAGTGGACTGGTTCATACCCAACTCAGGTAATTAGCCACAGTGGGTTGTCTTATTGTTTGAACCTATACTACTTCCTGCAGGGTGGCTTTTTTTCAACAAGTCACCCTGACAATCTATGCTTGTTCTAGAGGTTGTTGTGTCAGCTGAACCTGGGACAGCAGTATCATTATGGGTTGCAAGTATCAGCTAGTGAGCCATTTGGTAAAATTGCTACTCTGATCTCACCCATGATTGCTCCTCCACTGATATCCAAGTGACACTTTGGAATGGCCATCACTGGTTCATCACTTTTTCTTTTTTAGTGTAGGTTCTAAACATTGCACAATGGTATTTGTGTTTTTATTACTTATTTTTAGTCTTTTGCAAGCACACTCTTCTGGCTTTCTGATAAATGTAGCTTTGCCTGTTCAAGTTTAGCCTTGTCAGTTCCAGCTGCCAAAAGGAGCTGCAAAATGGAGTAAGTAATAGATTGACAAGGCAGGACTGCATATAGATTAATTTGTGCACAGTTTTCAGAGTTTCTCATTACCAATTAATCAGTGGAAAAGCACTGGAAGAAGGCAATAAAGTGGCAAAAGGGAAGAGGGGACAATATTTTCCCATTAGCAATGTAATTCCCTCAAAATTAAGCATTGAATTGACTATTCTCAGTGACCTCCACTTTTTCAATGCTTCCCTGAGTCTCCATCCTCTTCCAAACACAGAAATATTAACTCCTGCTTTCTCAAAGCTCCTATACAAAGCAATTTTTGCAGGTGCACAAATTTTCCTTCCATTTGCTGCCCAGCTATTAAATTTGCATTTCTTTTGTGGTTTCTTGAGAACTTTCAGAAAACCACAGTAACCACAATAGCAGGTGCTCCAAAAGTGTGCTGTGAAAATGCATATATCTTTCTCTGAATCAGAGTGCACATGCTGAATTCAGAGCAAGCACTTAGCTGTATGGTAGTGTGTGCTGTGATGAAGGAAGAAGACTGTTAAGTTTAAGAAGGAACTTAAAACACAGGAAATCTTACTGTCTTAAGTGTTCCATTTTGTCTTCCAAAATGTTACATTTCCACACATTGTCCACAAGGTGGCATCGTACTAATTTTCAATTTCTGTGGTTCAGAAAAAGATTTTGAATCAGATGTCTAGGCATTCCACTCTCTTATACTTAAAAATCTACTCTTAAAATTACTTTTGCAGAGTGTACTGAAAGTTGTGAGAGGCCCTTTAGGCTACATCGTGGAAAAGCACAAGAGCTGGCATTGTTTTCACTAGCAGTTACATGAGAGCTAGTAGGACTAGTACAATTAGCACAAGCAACACCTAGCCTAACCAAGTTGTAATGAGTTATGCAACAGTTTGTGGAAGGGCTGTTACAGCCTTTCACCATCTTCTGACCTTCAAATGCTTTGGACTTCAATTCCTATCAGCCCCAACTAGCATACACAATGTTCAGGGAGGACTCCAAAGCATCTGGAGAGCAGCAGGTAGGGAAAGACTTATCTAGTACAACCAGTTGTGGAATGGCTTGTGTAAGTGAAATCTAAGTGTTGGATTTGACATTTGCACACAGATGGAAATGGGGTTTCTGCAATGTAATTGGATGCAGCTTTTGACCTTTGCCTATTTATCCTGTTTTTCAGTTTGAAAACAATTTTCAAAATTGAGTAACAGGATACAGGTTAACCAGTGGTTAACTTACAATCTGATTTAATTTCCAGCATAATTACTGTTTCTTTAACTTGAAGAGTATGTGTGAAATGAGTCAGTTAAATTACTAAGGTTGGAATTTAAAAGAACAAGGAATTTATATTAAGAAGTTAAACATCCATTTTGTGGGTAGAAGTTTATATGTTAAAGCTTCCCAAATACTTCTAAAGCATGTTCAACATAACATCTCTCATTCTGCTATTCTGATGGTTTACTGTTCTTTCAAAAATTCTGTTTTTCTCCAACTTACAAATGACTGTACTGTTTTCCAGAGTCAGTACAGATTTGTTTGTGAGGCTATTTTGAAAGTGTATGAAGAAGAACTTGTTCGACCTTTGAAGACATCACTGCATGAATAGGAAGCAAAATATACCTTTCAGAAGAATCTATAGAAGACACTGGCTGCTCTTGTTGTGCTGTAACATTGCTTGCAGGAATTGTTATCTGAAAACAGTGAAGAACTGAAAAGGACTTGGAAGAACTTCAGCACTATTGCACTTTATGTTGAAACTGAAAATTGGTCTTTAAAACACTATGATTTTTCTGTGTTGGAAGACTTTCTCATCATGCTTTGCTTCAAACAAACCACAGACTGAATGAACTCTGCATTCTGGATAACTGTCCAGACTTTGTGGTAGTGCCATATAGTCCCCTTTTGTTTGAACTGCTACAAAACAGGCTTCAAACTCCTATCTCTAGCAACAATACACACAAGCCATTTCTTCCAATGCTCAATTAATTTGTTGTGTTAAGATCCTTGCTGCCTTTTATTTTGGTGATATATTAGCAATATTATTTACTCTAGACACACTGCCTACTGAAGCAGCACATTTTGCCCTATGCCCTTTTAAAATCTAACCGGATCGGTAGTGGAAAGCTGCAGTTTGTTCTAACCCAGCAGTAGCTGCATAAAGGCCCACTCATTTTGTTTAGGTTGGGGTACAAGGGACATTTCCTTTGAACTCGTAGCCCTGTTTCTCAGCCTGTCCTAACACTGAAACATCTGATGACATTATCTAATGGGAATGAACACATGCATTTTGTCTTAACCCCTTAAGTGCCTTTGATTTATAGTGTATGTCTTAATGACAAAGCACTGTATTGGCCCTAAAGGGGGAAGTATCATCATAACATTTCTTTTAGTGGGTTCACATTTTAACATATGGCTCTTGGTGCTTAGAGTGGTACTGTGGGGAGGGGGAGTCACAGAAATACCATTCCTTCTCTTTCTACAAGTACCTGCAAGCTACTATGACTAGCAGAAGAACCCCATCTCTTTAATATGTAATCATTGTTTACTACTATGGAATAAAGTGGAAAACCTGACACATTCCTTTTAACTGGTAAAATGTTAGCAACATGAAAAGCCAGTATGCTGTTTCAGAAATTGTTCCTCTGTTTTACCCTTACAATGAGAAAAAACTTTCTAACTTGAATAGGATATAATTTTAATAGCACTGATACTCTGCTTTAAACTTGCAAGTCCAAGATGAGCCTTCCCTGACACAGTCGTTTCCCTTGAGTCCACATCTACTGTTTCTTAAGTCATCCTTGTACTGGACTGTGCTTTAAAAGAGAAAAAGTGGCACAGAAGGTTAAAATGCCATCAGTTCATCCCGCAAATGTTTTATGCATTGAAATTGTTTGTTTGTGTACCTCATTTTAAAAGATACTAGGATGTATACAATTGGAGATGGGTTTATTGATACAGTCTGAATTCATTCTAGGGGTATGTATAGTTTTTTGTCTCCTTTTCTAAAACATTTCTAGGACAGTTGAAGCCAAGTAGCTAGTGAAATTGTCTAGCTTCTTGCACAGTAAGTTTTGGATTCACTTTTTCATGAAAACTTAAATCTGTCCTATATTAAAGTCTTTTTATTAATTACCCAGTTATTTTAAAGGAAGATATTTAGAGAATAGAATGAAAATATGCAGTATTTTAAAATGAGTTTTTAAAAACTGTATCTTACATAATTTATATGTATGGGGATGGATGCAGACTTTATTACCACCTTGTACAAACTTCTCTTCATGGAATGCTTCTGTTATCAGTAGAAGAGAGAGGCAACTTTTGCTAATTACTCTTCCCCTGCAACTGCTTGCATCCTCTGACAATCTTCTCCAGACTTGGTGGGTGCAAATGGCTAAAGGAAGATGGAAAAATAGGCAAAAATTGTCTCTTTTAACTTCCACTAGTGGGATCCCTATTAAACACTTTGCACAGACTGAAGGAGTTCTGCTTGTCTTCCAGACATGGTATATAATTTTTCCACAGTGAGTTTAAACTCTTTGTTGCAAATGAAACAAAGCTTTAGAAATGTTTTTTAAAAGAATGTTATCAGCTGGCCTGTTTTGCTTGTTTGCAAAACATATTTGGTAGTTCACTTCTGGATTTTAAGGTGAGTTTAACATAACTATCTTGTTAGGCCAGTGTTAAAACTGAACACCAATATTAGAGACTCCATTACTTCACTTACCAAACTTATGATTTAAGTCCATTGATTATAATGGGCTTCTTAAAACCCCAATTTTAATGGAGTAGTCCCATTTGTAGAAATACATGTTTTATGTTTCACCAATTAGAGCAAATGCTAAATGGGCTTAAAGTTTAATTGGCTTTTAGTGGTCTGCAGCTGTTAAAAAAGTGAAGGGTTGTAATGCATTTCTTTTATACTTAGTAAAGTTTCAAATGACCAAGTGCAATGTCACTGCTCAGAATTTTGCTGTGTAGTCATCTAAGCTATCCTTGGATGGCAATGTAAGCAGTGTAAATCCCCTTTTATAGAAAGCCTGCAGTGGCTGCTCTTAGTAACACTCAGATAATAACTAAAAGTCGTAATAATGCTAAACATACTTCATACTCATGGTCTGTTTTAATGTTTGCTTCAGCAAGTGTTTGGTACATGAAAAGTTTTCATGCTTTTGATTTGGATCTTGGTTCTCATTATTGTTTTAAACCATGGTGTTAGTTATATGCAGGATTAGTATAAGCACTTCTAATATGTTGAATTAAATATTAATTATTGTGTTCTTGCTGATGAAACAGTTTATGGTCTTACAATTGCCAACAAAACTTTGGAGATAGCATTGCCCTTTTTATAAACTTATTGAAGAGAAATATTAGAGAAATAATGATGACACAGTATATCCCTGGAGTTTTACAAATGCTGATATTGTGTGAGGTTGCCAAAGCAAGCTGAATCCATGAAAAACGTGTATACCACAATGTATTTTGTTGGGGAATATTTTTGGTATTTAGTACATTGATCCAACATAGAGGCACAAACATTAGCTACCTTAAAGTCTCTCTGTCCCCCAAAATAAGCTGATTACCAGCTTACTGGTCAGTAGCAATGATAAAATATTGAAAGAGATTAGTTTGGCAGGGTTACCAGCTAATCAACATGCTATAGGAATTTTCTTTAAATGTACATATGGTGAAGATAGGATAATACTAAATCAAAGCATTATCATGAAAGTGATTTCCACAAAATGCATTTTCCATTGTGGTATAAATAGCCTTTTACTAATATTTTTATATGGCCTAAAAGTTAATACAGTTAATTACTTTGCATTGGGCTATGAAGATCTGTATCAAGCTTAAAAAGACAAGAAAAATATTTTTTGTATGTGTTTCATTCTGTACAAAACATGAATGTATGTTTCAGGCATAATGACATGAAATGATAGTGTTATGGATGTTGGATTTTATGGATAATTATTTTCTTACTGTTTGCTAAAAAAAGAAAAAAGAAAAAAGATGAGGAGAGAAAAAATTGTAACACTTCCTTTTTTAATTCAAGTTGTTTTCATTGTAAATAAGAGCAATAGGGTAATAGTTTTGTGCCAATGTATGTTACAGATGTATGTTTTTTTTTAAATCTGGAAAACTGATTATTTAAGGTACTTTTGAAGGTTTGTCTAATGCAGAAATCTAGGAATCTATGACTTGTTAATATTGCTTCTTCGCTTTTTTTTAGTTATGTGGCTTGGGGGTGTGGTGGGGATATCATCTGGGTTACGTTAAATATGAAGTACCCACAATGTCAGTCATTCTCTGAGGAATATGACTTTAAGCAAGCCAGCTAATCATACGACTTAGACTACAGCATGGTCCCTCCAAATCTTCAGATGCAATATGCACCTCTAGTGCTGCAGTAATGTCTCTAGCAACATTAATGCGAGCATAGGAAAAAGATTGGTTTGTGTTGGTATATTGGTATTTCCTATCCCCAAATGTTGGGCAACCACATTTAGGCTATATGTTAAGCTAAAACATTAGCCTTCCTGGCATCTGCCACATTTATGCCATGTGGTCCAAACTACTGTAGCACATTAATTGCAAGTCAAGTAAGTGATGCTGCAACTTTAATTTAACTTCAGGATTTCACAGATAAGTTCCATTTGTAAGGGATCTTGTCGTTAGTAATCCTGCAGCATAGCAATATCCCACAGCTACCAGTTTAGAAATGTTGCCATCCTCTTATCAAAGAAGGCACAAAACGCAAGTGAAGAGAGCTGAGGAGAGAGGTTTTTTTTTTTTTTTTGGCAGAATCGACATGGACAGCACCTTTCCACAAGCAGTGTGCAGATAGACCTGCAGCAGCTGTGGAAAGCAACAAAGCTGAAACACTTGTTGCAAACAGTCCAGGGAGGCCAAGAAGTGGAAGAGACATGAGGAATCTCAGCAGCTTTTGCATTTGGTAGAGAAGTCCACTAGATAATTGGAAAGGGTCTGCTTGATAGGGTGCAGAACTACAAGTTTCTGGCCAGCAGTTGGGAATGGATGGTTCCCCAACCTCTTGAAAGTCTTGTAGTTTGTCTAGCCCTACAGCATATTAACCAATGTGCAAGTGCCCTTCTTCAGTCTTTGGCTCAGAAAGGAATGAAGGCATCTGGTACTGTGTGCTTTTTTTTTCCATAATTGGTCTTAACCTCACTTGTAGTTAGTAAGATTCACACATTACTTAGGTCTGCATATGTTGTGCAAGGAGAAATACTGCAAATTATGCTAAGTGTCTCTGTGTTCTAGCCTGATAACCAGGCTGTAGTTATCTTCATGTGTGTTTCACCATACATGTTATGAACAGATACACTGAACTTCTAGCAATGTCAATATTTATGCATTAAGACAGAACACAAGACAAAAGACTTGAAGAGTTCACATTGCACTGGTTAATACATTACGTGAAAAGGTAGAGTGTTAGTACAGCTCCTTGTCTGTTAGCCCCATGGCTATTTGTAATAAGGCTCTACATGGATGAGAGGATCTAGTGAAATGTGTTCCCTTCCCATTCTATGACTGTAAATAGTCAGTCTCCATCACTGTAGCCTACACTGTGTTGAGTGTGCTTAGAAGCTGATTGTAAAGGTGTACACAATTAGTTTATAAACTTGGCTTAGTGAGTATGCCTAATTGAAAACGAATACCTTCTGCCAGTTGAATTTGCTTCCAAATAAATGAGGAAAGAAATGGCTTAAACACAAATGCAGTGTCTTGGATATGAAGGCACTCTTGTGCAGGTGTGATGCTCTTCTGCATGCACAAAGTGTCGCCTCACTGTGTCTGCTGACTACCCTCCTACTACAGACCCTGCAGCATGCCCCATGCCATTCTGGAGGATCCTTAAGCCTCAAGAGTGGATTTTGGAGTATGCAGTGAAGAAGTATGGGTATGAAATGGGAGGATCCAGGTTGTTGGCTTAAATGGCTTGTGATTTGCGATCTGTGGATCATACTTTGAATTGAAATGCCTCAAAGGAGAGGGATATTGGGTACAGATGCTACATCTTGATGAAATCTACTGTGCACAAAAGCAGAATATTGATTAGGGACAAGTATGTTAAGTACTGGAAGTGCTGTACGGGAAAAAGATTTACATTTGCTTTAATTCACTCATTGCAGCCAAGCTAGAAATACAAACCAAAGCTGAAATGGTTATTTCTCAATCTTTGGAATGGTATAGTAAAAAGAGAAGAAAATCATCTTTGTGCAGGACAATTGCCTATCTGTAGGCTTGAAAATTTAATTTTAAAATCCATAGGTTTTAAATTTTTCCACATCAGTTGCAATCAGGTTGATAGGATATTAAAGATATATTTAAGGAACCATGCTCTGTGGTGAACTTCTATTGCCTTAAACCAAATGTTACTGGCATATGATTTATTTGTACAGGGAGATTTGAAGACCACTATGTTAATACTTTGGAAATTATTCTTTAGAAACAAAGTTGATACTTTGGAAATGCAGAGACCTTGACTGACAATATTGTTGGTGGAATTACTTGATATTTAACACACTTTACAAATATTTCATTTTTCTCTAAATTTCTTGAATTTCAAAATAGTAGCACTTTATCTAATGCTTTACTACTGACAAAATATTTGGACAAAACAGATTTGCTATCAAACTGAAGAGTTGCTTAATAGATTCCTGTGCAGAGTTGATTGGGGTTGTTCGATGGTATGAATGCTTTATCAGTGTGCTATCTTTCTAGCTTGTTTCCATTTGTTTTAAGACCTATTTCGGTACATCCAAAATCTGTCTTAACACCCTCCATTACTAGTCCTGAAAATTAATGCCTGTGTCTCAATCTGTGATGCCAATGCAGTGCTATACCAGTGCTGCTGTTGATACACAAGGCATTTTTATCTGGGCTAGATTTTAGAATTCTGAACCTCGTCAATAATAAAATTATCTCACAAAATTAACTGGTCATAAATTCTTGTTTATATTCTCAGTCTTGCACATTTAGCTATGAGTAAAACAGCTAGTATGGCTAGGATCTACTGGGCTTCGTAGAGAGCTTGCCTCAGTGCAGCTTGCCCTTTCTACTTGGGCCACCTTATAGGTTGTTGCCCAACTTGGGATATCATAGGGAACAACTCAAGATGCTCTTTGGATCCTAGCTTGTGTATATTCCTGCTTAGCATGCTTTTAAAAAGCATTTGCTTAAAAAATTGTAAATCAGGATAGGTTGGTTGTACTTCACTTGCAAATTGCAGGGAATGAGTAGATAATGCACATACAAAAAATAATGTACAAACATACAAAGGGAAACAGTTGCAGTTCTTATAGCAGAGGCTCTGATATGTACTCTATCAGAATATTTTGACTAATTTCCCAGTGCAATTAGGTCCCAATATTAGGGACTGGACTTCACATTTAACATTAATTCATATGGATACTAAAATCAGTGAACTGATTCTTCTAGCAAATTCTAAAAGGACATTTTGTATTTATATGTGGGTTGGGTATTTTTTGTTGTTGTGTTCTGGCACAGGTGCTATAGTGTATGTGTAAATATAAAGGGTATAAAATGCAATCTTGTGTCTGGATCATATTCATAGTCCTATGACTGACCATATTTATTTATTTTTGTTGCTAATGTTGCTAGTGGAAATGAGTTTGCATTTTTTCTGTGATTTGCATTGTCCAGTTTAACTGAGTCTTGTGCTGCTCAGTGAGTTGGCTTCAAGCATCTCAGTAGTCATCTTGAAAGCCCAATATGATTGTGCATCTTCGCACAAGCTTGTTCTCATATAAACAGATTTGTCACTGAACTCGTGTGTTTGCATTTTTCAAGCAAAGGTTTTTCAGCCAAGAGCCTCTACATTAAGCAGCAAGCGTTGTACTCAGTTGAAAATAACATGCACTTGAATTTGGTCAACACTGGATGATGTGAAAAGAATTCAGAGTTCATCACTGCAGCTACTGTATGTTTTAAAAGGGCCTTATGTATTTTGCCTGCATTGGAGTAAAAGGAGAGTTCTTGCCATTAATAAGGTACACTAATTCTACATAATATACCAGCAGCTCCCCAGAGGAAAAAGAAAAAAAATAAACATTTAACAAATATTGTTTTTAGTCTTAAGAGTAACTTCATTCTGTTATGTGAAATATAAGCTGTTATGCATATTTTGTGGATATATTTAATTTTGATTGACAAATAGTTGTCTAGGTAAAAACTTGAAGAAAAATATATAGTTTACTTGTGGATCTTAATTGTTTAATTGCAAATAAAGATGTGCTTTAATAATTTAAGGTTTGGACATTTATTATTACTGAATATCCTTAAGCACACAACCCAGGCATGAGAGGCAGGTCTAACAGCCAACCAAGAGTAGCCATGATGTTTGCAAGGGTACATGATTTAAAAAATAAAAAATAAACTGGAGTAGAGGGACAGAATACTCTAAATTGACTGAAGGCTGGAGGAAACAGTAACAGGCTGAGTGGGGATGGAACAGCCTGACTCCAGAAAAAAAGGCAGAGGAAAAGGCATTTCAATAAAAAGGGAGCTTTCGCTTTTGTCTGAATTCATTCATTTCCTGATTCCTACTATGAAGCTACTTTTAAATATCTAGAGGTCCTGCAGTGAAAGCTGCCCATAAGAAGGCAATGGAGAAATTCATGGAAAGAATCCCACACTGCCTTTGTGTTGAGTTGGAAGGATATGGGGAGCTAGCACTTCCAGAACAGGACGGGTCACAGAAGAGAGTCCTATTCGTTTTTCTTCTGGTAGAGAGTCTAACTACTTTCTGAGGGTGCACTTTGAAGAGATATCCTTGCTAGGGCAACATCACTGGTGTTGGCAGATTGCATGTTTTGGATACTACCCCAAGGCTTTAGGAAACTCGCCATACCTCCATCCAAAAACCTCAAAAATGCAGCAGGGAGAGCTACCAGCAATATGTTCAGTTGGTACAGATTGCTGACAAACTGTTGGGTGGCTTTAAAAAAGGAGGGGTGTGTTTCTGTTTTGCAGAAAGCTGATACATAGGCACAGTAAATCCTGGACAGAAACAGTGGGCCCACTTACATCCCAATATTTCCTCTGTATCATCCACTTTACTAGCTTCCTCTGTTGTCACTAAGCTGGCCAAATGCCTTCAGGAACAGCAGAAGATGCCCTCCAAATTGTCCCATCTCTGCCATTTCTTCTCGGCTCTTGTAAATTCAAGGCTATAGCTTCTTGCCTTACTCATCCTTTTGTATTGTTTCCTCTATATCCCAAAATGTAGTAAAAGAGCAAACACTTCCAGCTGCCAGCTGTAGAGGGGGCTGTTGGAAATTTTAATTCCTCATCAGCTGTGACATGAGTTTTTTCTAATTATATGCATAGCAGATTTATGCTGAGCATGAGGGGAGGGGGTTAGAAGCCTTGAAGAAAGCAATTGTCTTTGGAGTAAAACTTTTTACTCAGAAATGCGTCTTGCTCTTCATCTGCTTAGGAACATATTGCTCTCCTAAAGCAATACCTCCCACAATTTCACAGGTTAAAATACACCACAAGGACTGTGCTAAGCCCTTGCTCTTCACCTATTACACATTACTGAAGGGTCTTCTCCAGCTGGTGTTGCTGTGATAGCCCATGGCTTGTGAAATTGGCATCTTGAGCTCCTGTTAAGTGAGCATCATAGATGAGTCCAAACATTGTATATTTCTCCATGGAACTGGCTGAATTTATAGAGTAAAGCAACTCAAAACACATTCAGTAACAGTTACCTTTGCAGCTCAAAAGTTATGAAGAAATAGAAATGGAGTGCCTTTGGAACATTTCGTATCTACTTTGTTAAACTATTTGTGTTAAGTGCATTCATTCCCCTATACCAGTGATAGCAAACCTTTTAGAAACTGAGTGTCCAAACTGCAACCCAAAACCCACTAATTTATCGCAAAGTGCCAACACTACAATAAAACCTGAAAACTGAGGTTTTAGTTTAGAAAAAACAACTTGCAGCCAGTCCAACCAAATATATATCCTTGGTAGCACACTGACCGACCATGCAAAAGCTTGGAGGAGTCGCAGTTAATGAGTCGCGGAATGTGACATTCCCTGGCACCGCTTCTCCTTTCCAAACATGCGCATGGCCCCTATGTGTGCTGTTATCCGATGCTCGGCTGCTGGGGCGATGCTGGGGTGACTTAGTTTGCATGCCGACAGAGAGGGCTCTCCGTGCCCACTGTGGCACTCGTGCCATAGGTCTGCCACCACTGGCCTAACCCTATCCTGGTGCACTCCCCTAACCCTAATATAGGGCTAAAGGTCCATTAAAGAGGGCAATTTTGAAAACTCCTCTGCAAGGCTTTTTCTGCAAGGTTCATCATTTCTGCCCATTCTAAACACTTTCCAAAAATCAGAATCATGCCCGGGACACCTTGTTTTTCTAACCCAAACCAAGTGAGGATGAACCTTTTAGAGACCAAATGCCCCAAACCTACTTATTTATTGCAAAGTGCTAACACTGCAATAAAACCTGAAAACAGCCCATTCAAGCAAATATATATCTCCTTGGCAGTGCACTGACCAGCCATGTGAAAGCTCGGATGAGTCGCGGCCTATGTGTCACGGCTTGTGACATCATCGCCTGGCAGCACTACTTTCTGAGCATGCGCATGGCCCCTATGTGTGCTGTTATCCAATGCTTGGCCGCTGGGGTGATGTTGGGGCAACTCAGCTTGCATGGCCACAGAGAGAGATCTCTGAGAGACCATCACCACTGCCCTATACCCACCTCACACTCAGCTTTCTAGAGGCTAGGGAAAGAAAATACATATATTTACAAGAGCATTCTCTAAAATACAACACTAGCAAGAAAAGATGGAAAATTTACTAGTTTTGCCAAACATGGACTGTCCTGGTAAATGAGAATACATAATTCTTTGTTCCATTTATTTAATCATTTATAGTAGTGTCTGGCATACATTAGGAGCTGTAGCTGATTAAAATATTCCAATTCCCCTCCCTAGAGGCTCACAATCCAAATAACGCATGAGACCAAAGGGAACTGAAGGTAGTAGGGGGTTGACACTTTAAAGAAGTGAAAGACCATTACTAAAATCAATCCACTAAACAAAAGCAATCAGACTATTACCTGCAAGTGAAATATAAAAGGGTGGCAGGGGTGGAAAAATAAGGTTTTGAGAAGTAACTTTTTCCCAGCTTGGCATGCTACAGCCATGTTAGACAGGAACCTTAATGCCCGGGGATAATGGGAGCTGTAGTCCCAACACTTGAAACATACGGAACTGGGAAAGATCACGCCGCTCCCGGGCAAGCGAATGCAGGCAGACGCACGTGGCTGCGACCTCGACGGCAGCCAGCTCCACCGGCCAGCGCGGCTGCACGCGGCGCCGGAGAGCGCCGCCCGCCGGCCCAGGTGATCGGGCGCGCGCGCTGCGCGACGGGGCGGGTCTCGGAGGCGCCCTGCGGAGTCAAAGCCGCGGCAACGGCCGGGGCCGGTGGCCTCGGGCCGGCGACCAAAGGGGTTGCTGCCGTTTGGGGTGCCGTTTGGGGGGACGAGAGGGGGGCTGGGCTGGCCATGGACTCTTGTTGAAATAGGCTTGCCTACTGCTGATTCTCAGGGAAGAGGAAGGATCCCCTTTTTCTTTTTTCTTTTTCTTTTTTTCTTTTTATCATTCTTTTTCTCCTCCTTCGACCTACTTTATAATCTTACCCTGCTTTAATCAGTGCTTTGAGTCATTCCTGGCCATGTCGACGTTTATATATCCTGGGGAACCCACGGGGGCTGCTATTGGCGTGGTCACGGGCTTTGGTCGTTACAACAATAGGGGCTTAACGTGTCCACGTAGAAGAAGGATGGACAGATGGCTGACACCTGTCCCTCCTTCTGATCCTGCCCCCAACCAGAGGGCGCCAGGTAGCCTTGTCAACCACCCCTCGGGTCTGACAGTGCTGCTGCTCAATGCCAGGTCGGTCAATAATCAATCTTCCCTCATCCATGACTTGATTGTGGATGAGGGGGCTGACCTGGCTTGCATAACGGAGACCTGGGCGGGAGAGGGAGGGGATGTTGCCCTCTCCCAGTTGTGCCCGCCCGGGTATCTGGTTCAACACTGTTCACGCCCAGAAGGGAGGGGAGGGGGAGTCGCGTTGGTTCACAGAGCCTCCATCTCTCTCACGGGTCTTCCGGTCCCTTTGAGACCAGGGCTGGAGTGCCTCTACTTGGTGTTGGGCGAACGAGACAGATTGGGGATTCTATTGGTGTACCGTGCACCTTTCTGCCCAGCAGTCTCCCTATCTGAGCTGACAGAGACCGTCTCGGACCTGGTGTTGAGGACCCCCAGGATGTTGGTCCTGGGGGACTTCAATCTCCATGCCGAGTCTGGACTGACCGGGGCGGCTCAGGACTTCATGGCCTCTATGACAGCCATGGGCCTGTCTCAACATGTCATTGGCCCAACCCATGAACGTGGACACACTCTGGACCTGGTATTCACGACGGGGCAGGTAGAGGATGACCTGAGGGTGAAGAACTTATGTTTGACTCCCCTGTCATGGTCAGATCACCTCCTGGTGAGGTTTGTGCTCGAGAGTGGCCTCTCCCTCTATAAGAGTGCGGACCCGATTGTATTGGCCCGCCCCCGGAGCCGGATGGATCCGGACGGATTCCTGAAGGCCCTGGGGGAGTTTCCGGCTGACAAGACTGGTGCTCCTGTCGAGGCTCTGGTCGAACTGTGGAACGGAGAGATGACCAGGGCTGTGGACACGATCGCTCCTAAGCGTCCTCTCCCACCGGGCAGAGTCCGCTCTTCCCCTTGGTATACACCTGAATTACGGGCGATGAAGCGAGTTGGGAGACGGCTAGAGCGTAGGTGGAGGAAATCACGGGATGAATCTGACCGAACACACTTGAGAGCCCACTATCGGGCCTATGCTGTGGCAGTGAAGGCGGCGAAAAAGAAGTTTTTTTCCGCTTCCATTGCCTCTTCACAATGCCGTCCAGCGGAGCTTTTTCGAGTGGTGCAAGGCCTGGTTCGCCTGGGTCCTAAGGAAGTCCGATGCCACCCTCGAAGGCCCGCTGTGACGACTTTGCCAGGCATTTCAGGGAGAAAATCGCTCAGATTCGTCACGAGCTGGACTCCACTAATGAATCAGAGGTCTCTGAGGAATCGCCAATGCCACCGTCTGGTCCAAAATTATGGGAGGAATTTCAATTATTGCGGCCCAATGATGTGGACAAGGTGCTTGGAAGAGTACGTCCTACCACTTGCCTATTGGATCCTTGCCCGTCTTGGCTAATAAATAACTCCAAGCACGGGATTGGGACCTGGATCTTGGAAGTGGTTAACGCTTCTCTGAGGGAGGGTCGAGTGCCTGCCCCTTTAAAGGAGGCGGTAATACGACCGGTCCTGAAGAAAGCGTCACTGGATCCAGAGATGGCCACTAACTATAGACCTGTGGCCAACATCCCATTTCTGGGCAAGGTGTTGGAGCGAGTGGTGGCGGGACAACTCCAAGCACTCTTGGATGAAACTGATTATCTGGATCCTTTTCAGTCCGGCTTCAGACCCGGGTACAGTACTGAATCTGCCTTGGTCGCCCTGTACGACGACCTGTGCAGGGAGAAGGACAGGGGGAGTACATCCCTGTTGGTTCTTCTGGACCTCTCGGCGGCTTTCGATACCATCGACCATGGTATCCTTCTGGACAGACTTGCGGGATTGGGGGTTGGAGGCACTGCTTTGCAGTGGTTCCGCTCCTATCTCAACGGTCGATTCCAGAAGGTAGTGCTGGGGGACCATGTCTCTACGTCATGGCAGCTATGCCATGGGGTACCACAGGGCTCCATTCTATCCCCTCTGCTATTTAACATCTATATGAAACCGCTGGGAGAGGTCATCAGGAGGTGTGGGCTGCGGAATCATCAATACGCTGATGATACCCAGCTTTACCTCTCATTCTCCACTAACCCAGATGAGGCAGTGGCTGTGCTGAACCGGTGCTTGACCGAGGTAAGGGAATGGTTGAGGGCCAATAAACTGAAACTCAACCCAGACAAGACGGAGGTCCTGTTGGTTGGCGGATCGGGTTTCGGAGAGGGTGGATTTGACCTGGTCCTGAATGGTGCAACACTCCCTCTTAGGGATAAGGTCCGCAGCTTAGGAGTACTCCTCGACCCGGAGCTTTCTTTGGAAGCTCAGGTGACAGTGGTGGCGAGGAGCGCCTTCCTTCAGCGTTGGCTGATTAATCAGCTGCGCCCCTACCTGGAGTACGACTGCCTGGCGACGGTGACACACGCGCTGGTGACTTCCCGCCTAGACTTCTGTAACGCGCTTTACGTGGGGCTTCCCCTGAAGACAGTCCGAACACTTCAATTGGTGCAAAATAGAGCTGCCAGGTTGCTGACGGGGATGGGGCGTTATGCTCACATGACTCCAGTCCTCCGTCAGCTTCACTGGCTTCCCATTGAAGCCCGGGCCCAATTCAAGGTGTTGATTATGACCTACAAAGCCCTAAACGGCTTGGGTCCTGGCTACCTGAACGAGCGCTTACGTCCGTATATGCCCGACCGCCCTTTGAGATCTGCGGGAGAGTCCCTTCTCCGGGAACCCTCCATGAAAGAAATTAGGAGAGTAAGTACCCGGAGGAGGGCTTTCTCTGCGGTGGCGCCCAACCTATGGAATTCACTCCCCAAAGAGGTCCGCCTGGCACCGTCGTTACTGGTTTTTCGGCGCCAGGTAAAGACCTTTTTATTTAAACATCATTTCAATTGTTAAAACATATGATCTGGCCAGGGCAACTTCTTCTTCCTTCTCTTTCTCCTCCTATATTTTTATTTTATACTGATAATTTTAATTTTATTTTTGTAAATCAATGTATTCTTTGTATTTTTATATTTAATGGTAATTTATTATGTACTATTGTATTTCAATGTATTTTATCATGTTGTAAGCCGCCCCGAGGTTTCGGCAAGGGGCGGCATAGAAATGCTATAATAATAATAATAATAATTTTAACCTTTTCTTTTCCACTTTTCTGCTGCAATTTTCTTTCCCACTTTTCCGTGGTTAGGCCCGAAGGTATGTAATGCTAGTAGGTTTTCTTAACTCCTGTCTTTTATTGGGCTCAGAACTATACACACTGACTCGAGAGTAAATCTTTTGGAACTTGTCAGCGACTTACTTCTGAATGGCTAGGCTTGGATACCTTGAGAAATATCAACATAAGAACATTAGAAAAGCCGTGCTGGAGCGGACCAAACACTGAGCAGTAATAATAAGGCCGACTCAGCGGTAAGTACATTAGGATTCGCTGCCTTCATGCAAACTAGATCCATACTGCAGGCGGCCGTGGCCCCTTGAAGGCACATATATCCACCACAGGGTTTCGTGGGCAGGGCTCACTTCGTGAGATGCGTGAATAACCCCGAGATAGTCAAAGCCAGAGCGTGATTTGAAAACTGCCCACGCGCGGCACCGCTTCGCAAGAGCCGCGGCCAAGCCCCGGGCACGGCCGCTCGCTTTGTCGTCACTCGCGCCGGCCGCGCGTCCTCCCGGTGGGCGCGTGAAGACGCGGGGCGGGGCGGAGGGGAGGAGGAGGAGAGAGGCGGCGCCTGGGCCTCGCTCCGCGGCCATTAGCCTCCGCCCCTCGTCCCGTCCCTCATCTCCCTCCTCGCGGAGCTCCCGCAGGATTCGTTCGCCTCAGAGCCGCCGACGGGTCGAGAGAAAGAGCCGCGCGCGAGAACCGGGGAGGCAGGCTGGTGAGTGGTTGCGCGCACTGGGGCTCGCTTCGCTTCCAGGGAGGGAAAGGGCCGCTTCCATCCCGACCGTGCCTTCGCCTTTCCTCCGCGGGAGCGGGGTGCCCAGGCAGGTTCTGGGCTCGCCCGGGAGTCCGTCTGGCGGTGGCGCGCAGGGTCCTCGGTGGGGCCGCGCCCCGTTCGAGGGCTGCTCGGGTCTCGCCAGCCTTCCAGCCCCTGGCGAATGGATGGCGACCCTTTCCAGCTTGGGCAGGCCACCTTCTCCCGTTTGCTTGCCGTTTGGTGGTCTCGAGCGATGCTTTTCTCCCCAGCCTGGCGCTTCTTTCCGCGGTCGCTCCGGTGGCCCTGCCGTCGAGTGTCTCGCGCTTCATTCTGAGGGGGCTTTTGGCTGCAAACTGGGATAAAGGCGGGATTAGGGATGGTAAATATAAGGGCGAAGTGCATCGGAACGGTTAGACAGTGACCGTTTTTTTTTTTTTAAAAAGCAAACAAACCTGAACAAACGTGCTGAATGATCGCGTCTGATTCTTGCCCGCGGGGGGGGGGGTATGTGTAGATGTAGAGCCCGTGTAATAATTCATGATGATTTTATTCAGTAAATACATTTCTCAGTTGTTCAGAATCTCAAGCTTCCCACCTGTATTCCGTGCTTATTGTTTGTGATTTTCAATTCTGCACTTGTATTGCTCGTGACAAGGGGTGGCCTTTTATCGAAAGGGAAAATGTCTGATATTTGATCCCTCCTTCCCTCTCCACCTGATTTTTTAGATTTTTATGGGGGCTTTCTAGTTCTTATTATTGAGCTATTATGGGATATGCTAGTTTATTTTTAATCTTTTTGGTGGTTGTCTAATAAATAAGGAATTTGTTAGCGCTCAGACATTTGTGGGAGTTGTATCCTGGGCTCTTGCAAATATGCTTGATGTGGTTTGTGAATTATGAGTATAATGCACTCTGTACTAGCTCAGGTGTTGCTTTATAAGGCTGAGGTTTAACCCATTTCCTCCTTGAGAGTGGTATATTATGACCACTCTCAATATATCTGGTGGTACTCTTTTTTTCCAAGCGTATTGTAGCATACAATGAAATATCCTAATGTAATGAAACAAGCATATTTATACTTAGTATATGTAACTGAATGTGAGATGGTGAGAAGGCTCCATGCAGGTTTTTTTACACAGAAATGGTCCATATACATCTGTTCTGCTGATGTGCTAAAAAGCTGTTCACACATGTTAGAATTCTATTTAAAACTGCAGCCAGAAAATTGTGTTTTCGGGGTGGAAAAACATCATTTCAGATTCATTCTTTCCTAGAGGCCATTTGCAGAAGGATGGTTAATACCCTATATTGACCATATTTCTTCTTCCTATTCCCTGTGATTTTGGTGACCTCTCCATTTTGCTTTTCTATTATCATTTATACAATATGTTGCTCATGTATTCTCTTTCTCATTTTTTCTTTTCTTTCTTTGAACCAAGGTGATTTTCACTTAAAACCATGATTCTTGCATTATAAAATGAGCCTCATTGTGTAGCTATGAATGATTATTTCAGGAAGGTATTTGCACTTAGGTTATTTGGCTGAGCAAGGAAGCAAAGCATGGAGAACCCTTTTCCAATTTCCAGGGAGTATAATTAAGACCGCTCTACCAAAAACAAAAAACTCATTCAGTGCTTGTGAATAACTTTAGGACCCTCCTTTTGGGACTTGGTAACAGAGCATTTCCTTCCTTTTCTGGGGACTGGCCCTGTTCTTTAAACAAAATATGCTATGCAACCTTATTGTCTGGTTTTATATAATGTTTGGAGAGTTTAGCATGTTATATTTATGCTTTCTAAAACTGAAATGTTCTTGCCTCTGTAATTTGGCCTGTTCTACTAGCATCTGTTTGATATTGGGGAAATTCTTTTTAATGCTTCTTTCAGGCATTCTAACAGGAGTGGGCAAGTAGATGTGGACCTGTTGACAGATCTCTAAAAGTGCAATCCTGTGTAAGTTTAGGCAGGAAAAAGGTCTATAATCCCTGTCATAGCAGCTGGAGCATGTTCGGAGTTGTAGGCTTTTTTCCATGTAAACTTGCATAAGCTTTCACCTAACTGATTTTCATTGGATAGGCGAGAATTTCTCACCCTCCATAGCAGCAACATAGCAGTCCCCCCCCCCCGAAACACACCTAAATTCTGCTGCTAAAATCAGGTGGGCAGCTTGTGGCAGTTCAAATGTTTTGGCTTACTACTCTCATGAACCCTTATCATAAGCTCTCTTGGCCAGGGTTGATGGGACTTAAAGGTCAACAAATTGAGAGGGTTGCAAATTGCCCACTCTTGGATTAAATGAAGAAAACCTGAGCTGACCAGGAATGAATTTTTGTGTAGAAGTGTTGTGAGCTCCAATCAATTCTAGAACTGAAAACAATTTCCTTTGATAAGAATTCTGTAATTCAAAGTGTATGGATGGGTTCACACAGTGCAAGAAACCATGGTGAAATCCTGCTGTTACAAGTCTGTTTTGTTGCCTGGATCCACTTCCACAGTTCTTGTGTGGTAGAATTAGTTTTCTGAAAACAGGGAGAGAATCAAAGATCTGGGGCATGGGGCCAGTTGAAAGGTGCCAGTGCTAGCTGCGGGCCAGAAAGGTGGTGCTGGCGGTGCACGCGGACCGATGAGGGGGCAGGGGCGGTGCGTGCAGGCGGGGACAGGGCACATGGTGAGACGCAGGCGGGCGGGCATGCAAGGGGAGGTGAAGTGAGGCAGGAGCACGAGGCAGCGACTTGCTCGCTTGGAGATTGTTTTCTCCGAGCGACCAAACCGCTGCCTCCCTGTGTGCGGGGCAAGGTGAGCAGTGGTGGGCGCATGCATGGGCGCAATGGGTCCACATGGGCATGGCGGGTTAGATCCAGCTCCCGGGCCTTAGTTTGAGGACCCACGCATGATCTAAGGCTTCACTGCAGCTTCTCCAGTCATCAAGACCCAAGATCATCATTTGACCATTATTGTTATAGAAGCACCATAGAATCCCCTGGCAAAAGTGGCTGTGGAAGTGGTCATTTCTAGCCTTCAGTCTCTACCATGAGCTCCCTAGAAAGACGTGCTATTGTGCCATTTATTCCCATTGACCAAGCTATGGGTCCGTCTCCCTGCTTACTTTTGGAAACAGGTAAACAGTACAAAAATACACGGAGGAAGAATGGGTGAATCACAGGAATACTGTTTGTTTTCACTTAACAGAAATATCTGTGGGGGCTGGAGCTGTTGGAAAGCATAGCAGACATGGTTGGAACTGGGTGTGGTAAAGGAGCAGCCCACCTCAGGACTACAGTGGACCAGTCGGGAGGAGGTTGTTGTGGTCCATAGGCAAGAACAGGGGAAAGATAGGGATTTCGTTCATGGTGGCTCCTGGACTGCATGGCAGGGCTGGGACAACAGGGCAGGCAGTGTAAAAACCACACTGCCTGGGCAGCCATGTGAGCCTCTGAGCAGTAAGTTCAGCAGAAGTCCACATGCTGTGAAAACAGTGCAGCAGAGTTGTTTGGTGTGTCATGTGAACTCAGCCTGTGTCTTTGTACCAAGCTCCAGTGGGGAGATCTTGGGGTTCTCCCCAAGGAAATTAAATCCCACAAGCCTATCCACCCTTGCCATATGCATACAGCAGGTAGCATAAGGCTAGGTATATACAGGTATTACTAATATTGGTGTTGTGAAAACCTTCCTTTACCTAGAGAGTATGAAGTATCTCATAGGAAGCAGAAATTTAAGCTTTCATGGTTCAAATAGGTGGAATGCAAGCTGTAGTCTGTTTTGAATCGTTGTCAGAAGCCTATTCAGAAACACTATTATGCTCCCTATTTACTAGTTCTGATATTTGCAGGCTTCACAAGTTATAACAAAACTGAATGTTAGCCGAAATGTGAAATTAATTGGCACTGTAGTTCATGGTAATTTTAAAAAGATACCAGTGGTGTTTTGTGTGCTTTGAATCCAACTACTATACTGGGGTGTATATGTTGTTTTAAAAGAAGACTGTATGGGATGACTTACAGTTGCAATGTTGCCTTGCTTGGTAGGTTACAGTTCAGATTCCAACTTTTGTTCTGATCTCAGTAATGATCTTTTCAGCTTCATGTTGGAGCTTCACACATGTTCACAATAATTACATACATTAGTTACATGCTTAGTTATGATGATGAGCCTCTGTGAGTTTAAATATGCACAGAATTCCTCCATCCATGCATGTTGGTAACTTTCCTAGCTACTTTCATCTGCCTCACACCTCTCATGAAATATCATCTTGTAGGGTATTTTATGCTGGGAGTGTAGTTATAGGTAATGCTATACATGTGTGCATAGAACTCTGTAGCCCCTTTAATTTCTTGTTTAGGAAAAGAATATTGATGTGACGGCCAAGAAAAAATGGAGCTTCCCAACTATGTACAATATCAGTTCTTTTGCTCTAAGGTCAGGAGCAAGATGCATTTCTGTCACTGAGACTTTGTTATTGTCACAAGAAAAAAATTTCTGACTCATTTTTGCTTGTGGCTTTTGTTTTGTTGGTATTGTTGGTTGATCTATTTCTATCCTTTTAAATGCTTTTTACAGAAGCATTGAAGCAGGAAAGAATAGGTGTATGAGTTATAAAATATGAAATCCTGCAGAAAATTGAGAGTAATGAAGTATCTGTTATACTGACTGACAAGGTGAAAATGGCATGGGATATCAGAATGGATAAATAGCCACATTTCTGTAATAAGTTCATCCATTACATTACATGTTTATCATGGGCTATACTTTCTTCTTAACGATCTCACAAAAGCCAACATCCTCCAAAAGATACATGAGTGAAAGTTATAAAACATGTAAAAACTACTCGTGTTGTTGTTGCAGTTTTCAGGAAGAAGCAAGAAGAAAAACGTGCAAAAGCAAAATGGTGACAGTGAATTTCTGTAGTAAAATTCAGTGGGGTAAAATGGTAATCTCCTTTGAAAATTAACTAAAAAACAACAAAGCTATTTAAGAATCAGTAACAGTCAAGGGTCTTAATGTTCCCAGAAGTATAAGGAACATTGTAAATGATAAGGATGCCTTCTGGGTTCAGCTGCAGGACTCCCTGAATATTCTAAACCAGTTTCTTCAGTAGTCTCTGCTCTGACTCAGACAAGCTCTTTTGTCAAGCATTCCTTACAAAATAGCCAAGATATAATTACTGTTAATTTATATTATTTTAAGGAAGTTTATTTATGGATGTAAGCTGCCCCGAGGCTTCGGCGAATGGGGCGGCATAGAAGTCTCCTAAATAAATAAATAAAAATATAAACAAGTGTCTTTGAGAACACAAGTAGAGAAGAAAGTAAAGCAAAAAATTCTATTCAGAAACAGGAAGAGTTTAGGTGCCATCCAATTCATGGTACTACAGATCTGTTGAATCTCAGATTCAAAGGCAGTAAAAATAATGATAATATTGCTTCTGCATTTGACTGGATTACAAAAGAATCAGGACACTTAGGACTTATTGTTGGAAATGTACTTTCAGATGTTGCGAAGTGCAGAACACATTCTAGGGTTTCTCTGGGATTCTGACAGACAGTTTCTTCCTGTTATATGGTGGCATGGCTTTTACCCAGTACAGTTTCTAATTCTTCTTGCTTCATGTCTATTCTTCTACACCCCTGTGAAAGTATCTGGTCAGTCTTTGGAAACACATCAAAATCAAGAAAAAAACAAACACAAGAAATGAGATGCTTGTTTCAATCTGGGCAAACCCTTATTTTTTTTTAGATAACTATGATGAAGACAAAGATGAAGAAGCAGAAGTAGAAACAAATAGCAGTAGTTCAGAAAATGAGATTGATTACATTTCATGACTAATCACTGAGTCTTGGTTCAATCCCTTCACCACCACACTTCTCCCGCATTGAATCATTTGTTTGTTTATTTATGTGCCATCAGTAGCCAGAGTTCTCTTGGTGGTGCACAAAGTCTATTAAAACAATACCAATACGAACACATTGTATTAAAAGCATGTAACCCTTTAATGATTTCATAATATAAAATTTAAAGCCGTGACTTAAAGAAGAAAATAAAAAAAAATATTTAAACCTGTTCAACAGGTAGCAGGCCCCAGAAGCTACTTGAATGCCCCGCAATAGAGGATGGTCTTTACCTGGCCCCAAAAAGATAGTAAGGTTGGTGCCAGACAGACCGTAGTGGGGAGCTCATTTCAAAACTGGGAGGCCACCACTGAAAAGGCCCTTCTCCTTGTTGCCACCAACCAAGCCTCCTTTGGAGGTGGAAGTCAGAGATAGGCTCCAAGATTTGATCATAGTGTCCAGGTAGGAGGAGGTCAGGAGAGGCATTCCCCCATTATCCTGATCCCAAGATGTGTAGGGCTTTATAAGTTAAGAACAACACCTTGAATTGGGCTCAGAAAGATAGACAGCCAGTGCCAAGTAGGCCACAATTGGTGCTATCTGATCAGATTGTCTGATCCCTGTTATTATTTTGGCTGCTGCTTTTTTGTACAAGCTGCAGCTTCCCAATAGTCTTTAAGGGCAGCCCCACATAGAGTGGATTGCAGTAATATAGTTTAGAGATTACAGGGTTTAGATAACTGATAGCAGGCTATCTCTGTCCAGATAGGGGTGTAGCTGAGCCATCAGCTGCATCTGACAGAAGGCACTCTGAGCCACTGAAGGCACCTGGGCTCAGGAGACACCCCCAAGCTACGAACTTGTTCCTTCAAGGGGATTGCAGCCCCATCAAGAACAGGTTAAATTCCCTCCATCTGGTCAGAAGACCCACCCCCTAATAACGTATCATAGAACAGTAGGGTTGGAAAGTCCACAAAGGCCATTGGGTTCAACCCCCTGCTGTTGGAGGACACCAGTTTACACCATCTCATTCAGATGGCTGTCCAGTTTCTTTAATTGATTATTCCATGTCCTACATTCTGGTATCAGTGAGAAGATCTTCCTCTTTGTGACAGCCTTTGAAGGACTTCATGTCCCCCCCCCCCACACCCCCAGTCTTCTCTTCTCACAGCTGAACATGCCCAGTTCTCTTAGTCTCTCATAGGGTAGTGTTTCAAAACCCTGGAACATTTTTGCTACCCTCCTCTGGACCCTTTCTAATGTTTCTGCCTCTTTCTTAAAGCTTGGTGCTCAGAACTGGACACAATTATTTCAGATGCAGTCTGACTAGTATAGGGGAACTACTGCTTCTCATGATTTAATACTAATGCAACCCAACATAACATTTGCCCTTTTTGCAGCTTGATCGTATTGTTGACTCATATTTAGCCTGTTGTCCACAATAACTCCGAGGTCTTTTTCAGTTCTATTGAGCTACATATTCCCCTTTTTATTTGGCTTGTTTTTCCAAAGTTGAGGACTTGGCACTTTTCCTTACTGAATCTCATTCTATTACTTTCAGCCCAGCATACAAGTTTATCAAAGTCACCCTGGATCTTCATTCTGTCTTCTAGGTTGTTCGCTATTCCCAGTTTTGTATCATCTTCAAATTTTATTATCTTTCCTTGTACTTCTTATCTAAATCTTTAATAAAGATGCTGAAGAGCACCGAACCCTGCAACACCCACTAGTTAACTCCATCCAGTTTGAGAAGATGCTGGGATCCTTCAAGATCCCATACTCACTACTGTTTTTGTACAGTGCATGCAGTTGGGAGGGCAGAATTGTAAAGCATGAGATCAGAAGGAAATGAAATTGAGAGATACTGCAGTGACAATCAGTTCACAAATAAGTTGCTGCCGCTAATGGAATCATCCTGGTACTGGATGTTAACACATGTGGTGTGATGTTAAACAAGAAGTTGCCCCATTTAAAGTTCTAGAGATTGAATTAATTCTTCTGAGGAGTGGTGACATTGTTATGTGCTACACTCATAGACAAGGCATACTTCAGAAGTTCCACTTTGACTTGATTAACTTTCACCCCATTATTGACCTGAATATCAACCAGTCAGTGCAACAAGATCACTTTCCTGACATGAGTGTACAACTGCTTAATGGCCATATAAGCACTATCTTATATTGGAAAGTTAATAAGATGCATGCATATTTACATGCTTCCAGCTTCCATCCAAAACATACCACATTCTCCTGTATTTACAGCCAAGCCTAGAGGCCTTAAGATACAGTTGTATGTATTCAGTCTTTTCAAGCTACAGGACCTACTCAACAAACTGAAAAAAGAGAACAGCAAGGACAGATGGTGCCCAGGAATAACATGGCAGACCTAGAAGAGAAAATGACAACATCACTTTTCACCCATAACTCCCGGCAGAAGTCACACAAACATGTCTATTTATATGTTTATTTAAGTCACTTCCTTATGTTTGCCATCCCAGGATTTCCAAGTAGTTTACAGAAAAGCATACAGAATATAATATAAAACCAATATAAAACAACATAATATAATATTTTAAAACATCACAGTAAAAACAGTAAAACAGTAATTCAATTCTGATTTGCATTAAAAACCCTAACCTCACTTGTTTGCATCTTTGGTTCAAAGTAAACTTGAATAAAAAGACTAGAGTTCTTTAAAGGCCAATAATTCAACCATAAATTGTTGGAGAGTAGTGTTCTGAATGGGAGTAGATATTATTAGATTACATTCTTATTACTCTGGGTTTATGCCATAAGCAATATCTCTCGAGTAGTTTAAAATCTAAATCTTCCTTTTGTGCCAACTTGACCTTTTAAGAATTCCAGCCTCTCACAGCAATAGCATGTGGCAGGCAAGTCCAGACAGGCAGAAGGTGGAAGGCGTATGCACAGTTTATCCTTTCTGGCGCATGGTGGAGGATGAAACTTCTGTCAGGGAACCAGGGTGTTTGGATACAACTGAGTCATGCAAGGTGCAGGCTGTAGAGTACTCTTAATATGCACAACATGTGGTTGGGTTGGATTCTTCTGTTAACCTCAAAACCTTTATCTGCAACAGATTCCATAAAACCTGTTCTTATAAAAAAATAATGAGTGCCCAATCTCTCCTTTATTACAACAAGAAAATGAATATGGAATTTGAGTTGGAAACCATTCATTTGTATCCAGTAATGTGTAAATCCCAGCATATTCATTAATAAATACAGGATCTTGGCAACCTTGCTTGTACCACTTCAGTAACTTTTGCTATTGAGAAACAAAAGGGCATTTGTCTTCACTATGTATGGCATGTTGTTCATCTTTCTGTATCAAATACTTGCATTTCCAAGATGTATGTTTCAGTAGTAGTTGTGCACCTTTGAGCTATACTGTTGTGGGTCCTGTATAGTGGTCCTGTATGGTGCCCAAAAATACGGCGGGTATATAAGCCATCCCGAGGCATTAAGCGATGGGACGGCATACAAAAACTCTAAATAAATATTTACTCATCCTTATAGAAGTCTATCATAAATCCCTACTTCTCCCCCTGCAATTCTCAAGTATCTGGGTATTCCAGTTATTCCTCAGAAAGATTTGGGTATGTTGCTGCGGGAGGCATCTGCAAGGGAGCCCCTGAATTCTTCAAATGCCCATTTTCATGGTGGGATCATTTCTTAGGTGGTACAAGTGTCAAAGAATGTGGCCATAAAGGGATCATTACAGGTAGCTAATTTGTGACTGTTTTTCTGCAGTACAGGTGTGCTTAGAAACATTACACAAGATGAATATTTAATTGCTTTTGTTTGAAATAACTTAGTGGTAATGTCTCATTCTTTTTCCCCTTTGAAACATTCACAACTTCTTTTTCTTTGCCTATTTAGTAACGATGCTGAGTTTCTTTCGACGAACACTTGGGCGCAGGTCTATGCGCAAACATGCTGAGAAGGAGAGACTAAGAGAGGCTCAACGAGCGGCAACACACATCCCTGCAGCTGGAGATGAGAAGTCTATAATTACATGCCGAGTCTCATTGCTGGATGGGACTGATGTCAGTGTGGACTTACCGGTATGAGACAACCCAGTTTCTTTTTCAACATTGTTGATTCATATTTGAGAAAGTGTGCTCTTCCTTGTCTCTGAATTGCATAAGACATGTCTATGTGTGTACGTCATAATAGCCAACTATGCAGCACTTAAAAACGGTATTTAGAGTTCTTCATTGCAGGTCCTAAAATGAGAAGTTTTTAAAGTTCTTTTTAAGTGCCAAACTAACAAAATGTGTTAGTCTTTTATATCTGTGACACCTTAAGGATGAGCAGGTATGTAACATGGGTGCTTGCTGCAGTGACTTCATAATATTTTACATGCCAGAAGGTTTTTTGGTATTTTAGATTGACTTACCAGTCAACACTAGTTCAGGTAGCTTAGATAATTATTTCATTTTCACAATGTTGCACCCATATATTTAATTATTTAACAAGATTTAATCAGACTTTTAAGAGTTTTGAAGTAAGAAATTGAGTCTTAATTGAAATATAGAAATGTCAACCTATTCATATAGTAGATGTATTTTTAATATCCATCCTATTACAACTTCATGATGTTGATAGCCATTTTATGAAGAAAACTGTAATTTCTGTATTTTTGTTTAAAACATTTTTGTACCACCTTTCTGGAAAAAGCCAGTGTTGCATAGTGGTTAGAGTGGGACAGGGACTTGGGCAGTTTGGATTCTAGTCCCTGCTCAGTGATGGAACTTACCTTGGATCAGTCATAGACACTCAGCCTGATCTACCTCATAGGGTAGGTGTTGTTGAGGATAAAGTTGAGGGGAGCGCACGAAGGAGGAATATGGTTGCTGGGATATAGATAGATAGGCAGGCAGGCAGGCAATGCAGGATGCAAAATATTAAAAAGAAAACAAGAATCACAAAGAAGTAAAGACATAACAAAAACCTTAACTACTATATTTTAAAAACTGAATTAAAATGGTGCCTTTACTTTCTTTCTGAATGCAGGGAGAGTGGGGATCAGTTCTAGTCTCGGTGGATATTCTGTCGTCTCTCATGAGCTCAGGGTCCTCTCTTTGTACATTCAAAGCCACAGACCTTCATTGGAAAACATTGATCAAAGCGTTTTCTGAATGAATCTCTGAGCATGCACAGAGCAGTTAGTTGAACCCAGTCTAGTATTCACTTCCAGGAGCTCTCCTTATGAGCATGCCTGGTCCCCATCACTTAAAGAAGGGTATTCTGAAAACAAGCACACTCTCCTCCCTGCACACCAATCCTCTAACTAAGCCACTGTCTTCTGGGGATGTGGATGGCGCAGCAGGGTAAATTGCTTGTTGAGTCGCTGGGTTGTTGATCAGAAGGTCAGCAGTTTGAATTCACACAACAGGGTGAGCACCTGCTGCTTTGTCCCAACATTGGCTCTTTGGCTTACAAATGGAGATGAGCACCAGCCCCAGAGATAGACATGGCTGGAACGCATGTGTGGGGGAACCTTTACCTTAACTCTGCTAACAATTCATCATGGGGTCAAGAGCTGTATCTAATCTGCATATGAGAAACACTCTTGTTCCAAGTCCCCTCCTGCCAGCTGTACATCTTGGTTATTCCCAGAGACTGGCTGCCCACCTGGGGATTCTGGCCTTGAAATCAACATCTTCACTTCTCTCATCTCAATGTTTGGGGGTGGGCCCACATTCCCAGGCCCCCTCCTGTGTTCCCTTCCTCCTCCTGATTCTGATTCTTCTGGATACCAGTAAGCAGCCCTTGAGAATGTGCATCCAAGGCAGTCATCTTTCTAATTCACAACATAGTCTGACAGTAGCATGGGATTCTGTGGGTTTTTATAAGCAAGGTTTACAGATAAGCCTTTTCTGCTGAACTTGGTAACCAAGCAAGTTTGTAGCAGAATAGATGGTTGCTTAGATAGCTAAAACCTTCTCTAGGGGTCGGTAACCAGAGCCCACCAGGTCCTCACTGTTTTCCCTCACTCACTCTCAGTGCAACTTCTGTCTTTGACTTTGGTCATCAGCTAGGAAAGAGGAAGTTGGCAGGCTGGGATGCTAATCTCCAGATGTGCTTTTTTGCTTCCTTACTGCTTAGACGAAAGTGACTGAAGTCTGAAAGGTCAGCAGATGCAGTGGTAGAGCTAAGTGTGGTGGAATAATAAGAGAAAGAAGGAGATAGTGGGAGATGAGAAAGTGCAAGATGAGGAGGAAGAAGGCATGTCAAGGAAAGTGGGAATCTTGAAGGTGGAGTTAATGGGAATCCCAAAAAGAAGTAGATGTGAGTCCAAATGATCACAGGACAAATGTGTCCGTGGTGCCCTCCCCCCCCCAAAAAAAATAAAATTAAGAGTGCCCATGGGTCCCAAGAGGTTGCCTATTACTGCTCTAAGTATTAGAGTTTAAGAGTTTAAAAACAGCATCTCAAATTGACTCTGGAAAACAGTTGGCAATCACTGCAGATCTTTTAGTATTGCATTGATGTGGTATGATCAAGATATAATTCCATGGCTAGTAGCCTAGCCTGCACCAACCAAGCCTTCCAGATGCCCCTCATCAGTAGCCACATGTGGAGTGCTTTGCAGTTGTGACAGTTACATTCTGAAGTAACCAAGGTATAGGTTAGCTGTTGCCAAGTCACACTGACAGAGTAATGGCTGCAGATAGTGTGTTACAGCTTGCCATCAGTGCTGCCACCTGATGATCCATGGACAGTGTCGGATCCAGGAGCACTCTGAAGTTACAAGCCTGACCTTAAAAGAGGAGTGTGACAGATTAATCACATTCCTTGTGTTGAGCTTTACATTTCCTGCTGAAAGCCTGATGGAAATGAGACCAGATAAAAAGTATCATCCAAATTCATCTAGCCCGATTAGGCCACCACCTTCTTGATCATCTTAGCTAAAGTTTGAGACTAGCCTATCACTTTGCAAATCTAGGGTCAAGATAAGGTTTTATTGATAGAAGTTGTTGCCCCCAAGGAAGATGAGACATCACCCTCTGGGTGCTCAGCTCTTGTACATTATAGTCTACACAGTTTTCAGATTCTGAGGAGTTGGAGAGCAGAGTTGAGCAGTTGAACTTGCAGTTTCAAGGGTTACCTAGTAAAGATTCACTAGGAGGGAGACTTTCCAGAGCTGGAGCAGGGAAGAGATGCAGGGGGACTTCCTTGTCCCTGTCAGGAACGACAGATGGGGAGAGTGGATCAATTAATAGGTGCCCAGCATTCCTGGCCATCTAGCCCTCAAGCAGCAGGAGTCACCCTGAAAGTGGAGTCAGAATCTTTTTATGAAAGGGAGAGGAGGAGGGGATGTTTCAGTTTGAATTCAGCTCTTCACATGGGCAGGTACTTCTCCTGCATTTCAAAGAAAATGCTATTTGGATTTATCATGTTTTGTAACCTGCTCTAATAAAAAGACTGTGCTTCTAAAGTTTCATCTAAGTCTTCTGGGAAGGGAAATTGGGAGGGAAGGACCTGCTTGTGACATCTTTCTGTTAGGTCTTTTCTTAATTTGTGGCCAGAAGGCATTTGCTTTATAAAAAGTATAATCTGCATCAATATTTTTGCTAAATCTACCCCATGCTGTTGCCACATTATTACAGTGATTTAAGGAAAAGTAATTTTATATAAGAATTTAACTTTTGGAAAATTAAACAGTTTTGGCTTCTAAAAAATAGCCGATCAAAAATGATGCTGCATTTCATTTGAAAGGTAGGCCCACATCTTTGTCATTTTTGGAACTGTTAGTTACAACTTTGGCAAACAAAGGAGGGACTGTATTGCAGAATCAGTGGAATTACTGTTAAAAAAAGATTGTTTCATGAAGTAGGCAACAAATCAGTTCTTTATAAAGCTTGCTATGATAAATGCAGAGTTTGTAAATTACTCCCCTCTTTTTTAAAGAGGGAAAAATTACAGACTTTTCAGTGCTGGTTTCTTTAATCTCTTTGGCCTCAGAAATGTATTTAATTTTGTAGCAGTTCTTGTGCTTTTTGCTCTTTAACCTTTTCAGGATGTTGGGCATGGGAAAAAGCAGACTGGAGGTTGTTGGGGACAAATCTGTTAACTGTCTCAAGAAGAAACACTTGGGGGCATTTATTATTTCCCATGACATCATCAGTTCAGATTTTCTCTGCATCTAGCTAAGCATGATACCAAGCATGTTACCCTCTGCAGGTGAGCATGTTTGAGATTTTAACATTCAAGAGCTGTTGCCAGCCCATTCAGTGAGCTACACAAGTGCACATTCTCTATGTTAGGAATTTGATCTTGTGGGATGAAGAGGTTTTCACAGTGAAGTTTCCAAAGGTCCTGCCATTACAGGGAGAATTTGATTGCTTACAGTCATATTAGGATATTTTTAAGACAACAAGTGATACAATGATACTGCCTACCTGGGTGGTGCTTGCACTTTGACCGAGATTAGTCACTGACAAGTTAAGTTTCAACTGTGGCTCACTGGATAGGAGATAATGGCCAATTCTGATCTCTCTCTTTTTCAGCATAATTAAAGATATTGAGGGCTCTGCATCCCTTACTGTTTAAATATTTCAAGGGGCACATGAATTAAGTAGGATTGGAAAAGGCTATTTTCCAAAAATCCCTCTTTCCAAATCCCCTCCATTAGTTTCAAAGGGGACAGAGCTCTCAAATCATCCTATGTGACAGTGCTTCTGAAATTAGACTTGTGCACATCATACTGTGTATTTTTCACTGTAATCCTTCCTTCCGGGAGGCTATATGTGCTGACTTCAGTCAGGCCAGTTTACGCTATCCCTTGTGTTTGTTTTTTCCCCAAATTTCAGGTAACTGGGCTGTGCTTCCTTTATCAGGCTATTATGGTGAGCAGAAGTGATTACTTTGAATTTACAGATGCAAATTTTCAGTATTCCTGGGCAGTCCCCTAAATAAACAGAAACCATTACCTTCTGTTTTATTGCCAGACTGATGAGTATGGCCCATTATGTTTGCTGTTGGGAGAAAGTGTGAAAGGTTGCATTATACTCTCATTTCTTTTTCAAAGCGTGAGAAAGTTAACTTTCAGTAGTAGTGATTTCTCCCTTTATTTGGTCTTAAGCATCCATTCCATTGAGTGTTTTTTTTTCCTGCTGACTCTATCCCCTATTTTACCCTGCATTGTTGCCTAGTTACATTTCTGTCAACCTTACCAAGGGATGTGGTGAGTTTTGAATAAGTCAAAGTAGCATCTGGCATGTGACAAATGTAAAGACCGCTACAGTAAGCTAATCACTGGTTGCTTCATACAGCTTAAAAGCTATAGTATTACTTGCATTGTTCTCCAGTTCAGCTTTTACAACCAGTGATAGTGTTTTAGCAGTAGACAAGGTTGGTGCCTGGGAAAGAGTACTGCTCTGTATGTTTGTGAAATTTCTAAGCAGGGAGTGTGCAAAATCAGCCTCAAAAAATAAGGTTAATCAACAACCAATCTGTCTCTTATTAACCCAAATTCCTCTGGTAATTTCAGAAAAAAGCCAAAGGACAGCATCTGTTTGAGCAGATCATGTACCATCTGGACCTCATTGAAAGTGACTACTTTGGCCTACGGTTCATGGATTCAGCACAAGTGGCAGTGAGTGGCATAATGTTGTTGTTGTTTTCCTTATGGTAGTAAAGTAGTTTAAATTATGAGTCATGCAAGATTTATTAAATTCTTGGTGAAACAAAACTTAGAATCGACTGTGTAACTGTAGTTAATGTCAGTGTAATGGAATGCTAGGTCATTTCATGCCAATGGATGAGGATATTTTTATTAGGTTTTGCAGAGTTTGAAAGGCCTTATTTCAGATATTGCAGTCCCCTTCCGAAAGAAGGAAGGAAGGAGTGTGGTAGGAGAGTAGATCTCGTGTTGGAAATTCGAATACTAAACTGTTGTAAATTAGCACACATACTGATATCTCATTTTTAAAATGATATATTATTGGGAGGAGTGCATTTTCTTCTCCATCATGAAAAAGTATATAGGGGTTAAGCCCTTATTCTAAACTGAAACGTAGAATTATGTTCAGAAAATGCACACCAAATTTAATTTTGATATCTCAATATGTTGAGGGAAAGACTAGCACTTTGATTGTTAGACATATAACTAATGTAAGCCAATATGTTTAACCACTTACAGTATACATTTAACAATCTTGAATGTTACATTCTTAATGTAATATGCTCTTATAAGTTCATTACTTACACCCTGCCTTTGAATGGATGCTTCAGCAAGCAGGCATTCTTGGTACATTAAGTGTGCCTGATTATTCTACTGTTGATTAATTTGGTTGAATAAGTTGTATGTATAGCTTTTAATAAAGTTTCAAAGTTTAATTTATTTTTGACTTCTGCTCTTCTTTTGCACTTCCACCAACTCATATGTTCATGCAGTGAAAGAATTCTGGTCTTTCCCTGTTTTCTTGCATGACTTGTTCTATACTCCAAGCGTTTCTTGGTCTTTTGTCAATACTGTGCTCAATACTAGACTTAGGCAACATGTTGCACTTGTATTTCTTTGAAATTGAAAAGGTATATTGCTCAGTTTAATGAGTTCAGTTTTCTATTTAATATGACATAAAAGCACATAGCAATCATGTTGAGATTTTAAAAAATCTGCAGTTAAAGAGAGGTCTGATTTCTAATCAGATCATTGAATCTTATCTTGGCTGAGATGTGATACAATTTCCAAACCAAAGTACTAGTTTATTTTATGAATTGTGCCATATGCATTCAAAGATATATTAAATTATGAAGAAACTTGCATTCAGTCATGTTCTGACCATTTGTTTGCTCATCTCCCACATCCCACAATGGACCTCTGTGTCCATACTATTTCTCTTGCTGTTCTGTCCCACATGCTGTTTATCATCTGCATGCAGCTGCTGGGTGGGTTCATCTGGAGTTTTGAAGTCCACTTCCAGCAGTATGCTGCTGAGATGCAGTTCCTCTTCTCCTTTTCATTGGCAGCAGGTGGGGCTGTGGATGTACTAAGCCAGGGGTCCTAAAACAGGAGGCCAGTTAACTGTCCCTCAGACAGTTGGGGGGTCTGGACTATAGTTTGAAAAAATATGAACAAATTCCTATGCACACTACACATTAAAAATTAATTGAAATAAATTAAAAATTAATTGACATAAATTAAAAATTAATTGAAATTAAAAATTTATTTTTTAAAAAATAATTATAAAATTAAAAATGTTTGCTCCACTCGCTTGGGCTGCAGCTGAAGCCCAAGATGAGGTGGGCTTGTCCATATTCATGTAGCATGTCCATATTCAAGGGACATAGCTACAATGTCCATGATCGAGTGGGTTGGGGGGGAAAATGGGTGCGATCATGCTGGTGGAGGAAGGTGGGCGCAATCACGGCCATCTTCCTCCCCCACCAAACATGATCGTGGCCATCTCCACCCAGCACAACTGCGATTGCGCCCATCTTCCTTGCACAAGCATGACCGCAGCCATTTTCCCCCCAGCATGATCGTGCAGGGAAGACAGGTGCGATCACTGGCGCGCTCATGCAGGGAAGGCGAGCGAGATTGCGGCCATCTCCACCCCCAGTACAACCACTATTGCACCCATCTTCCCTTAATGAGTGCACCTGCGATCGTGGCCATCTCCCCCTCCCCCCACCCAGCACGATCGTGCAGGGAAGACAGGCACAATCACAGGTGCACCCTTGCAGGAAAGGCGGCGCAATCGTGGCCATCCCCTCACCCCCAAGTATGACTGCAGTTGTGCCCGTCTTCTCTGCATGAGCATGCCCGTGATCACGCCCGCCTTCCCACTGAGTGCACCTGTGCCGGCTCTGAGCTTTTGGACTTGTTCGGAAACCATTTTTTCCAAGCGAGTCTAAAAGCTCTGAGGCGGGCTGAATAAATCAGCATAGTGGCCCAAATCCGGCCTGCGAGCCATAGTTTGAGGACCCATATACTAAACTGATAGCTGGATACAACAATTGACTGAGGGCTGTACTGAACTACAATCCATACAAGTCTGAGGTGCTGTTGGTGGGGGATTCCTTGACCAGATGTGGGGGTCCTCAACCTGTTCTAGACAAGGTCACATCCACCCAAAAGCGCAGATTCATAACTTGGGGGTGCCCATCAATCTATCATTGTCATTTGATGCCTTCTACCAGCTTTGGCTGGTGGCCCAGCTGCTATCCCTACTTAGACAGGGATAGCCTGGTTTCTGTAATCTATGTTCTGCTCATGTCTTGGTTAGATTACTGCAGTGCACTCTACATGGGGCTTTCCTTGAAGACGGTTCAGAAGACGCAGCTGGTACAGAATGAGGCAGCCAGGTTATAAAGTGGGACCAAGAGCTCTGAACACTCAGCTTCTGGGGCCTTACTCTGACTGCCAGGCCCTTGTGGCCTGTCTGGTGCCTAATCTGTCATCCTTTCAGAATCAGGTCAAGACAGCCCTCTTTGCAGAGGCCTTTAAAGACCTCCTTGGGCTTTAATCAGGTGCCTTTTATTCTTGGTTGCATAATTGTAAATTGTCCTTTACTATTTTAATGTTTTTATGCTATTTAAAACTATATTTTTAACTCTTGTTAGTTGTTTTTATTCATTATAAAATTGATTTATTATGAGAGCCAGTCTGGTGTGGTGGTTAAGAGCATGGACCTAGGACTCAGGCGATCTGGGTTCTAGTCCCTGCTCAGCCATGGAGCCAACTGGGTGACTTTGGGCCAGCCACAGACTCTCAGCCCAACCTACCTCACAGGGTTGTTGTTGTGGGGATAAGATGGAGAAGGAGATGTAAGCTGCTTTGAGCCCTTTGTAGGAAAGGCAGGATACAAATCGATAAATAAATAAATTATATTCTATTATTTTTATACCTTTTGTAAACTTCCCAGAGAGGTTTGGCTATGGGCAGTATAGAAATGGTGGTGGTGGTGGTGATAATTTGTTTATATTTAGTTTGATATGCAGCTAAACATACTTTAAACCAGGGGTCTCAAACTCAACTTACCTGGGGGCCGCTGGAAGTAGAGTCTGAGTGAGGCTGGGCCGCATCCAGTATTCCACCACCACAGTGGGGGTGGGCCGCTCATCCGGAGGCCGGCCCGGGTGCCGCCGCTGCTTTGAAGGCCGCAGGGCCCTCCCCCATGCCCCGCCCGTCCCGGAAAGTGGCCCACAGGCCGCGAGTGTGAGACCCCTGCTTTAAACTTAAGCTTTTCTTCTGGATAAAAGGGCTGGTGTAATTTAGTGCATTTCTGTGGTCATGTTCAGATCAGTGCATTAGTTTTTCTGTGCTCTGACTTGACCAATGTTGATTGACCAGTTCTGATGGGAAACGGAGGGATCCTAACAGTTTTTCATGACTTTGGGGAGTTTCCTGTCACTTTGGGTGATATCTGGAATGGAGAAATGACGTGATGGTTCCTGAATGTCCTCTCATTCCTAGCAGAGCAAACTGAGAAGCCAGTGACAACGAAATGGCAGGGATGACAACTAGTGCAGTGATGGCAGAAGAATAATGACTTTTTCCATCAAACAACATGATAGCTCTTTTTAAAGTGTATTTTGTGATGGAGATGACAACAGTGATGTCTTTTCCAGCAGTACTGCGTCCTGGAATTTCCCAGAGGAACTTTTCCCAGTAATCAAAGGGCTATTACGTCTTGGCCCTGGGTACAGAGGAGGTTGACTTCATGGCCTGTTTTGAGGAGTTTGCCAGGCACTTGGTTGATGAAGTCACTTGCATTCATTCCAATGCAGGTGGTGCATTTAGGGCAGGTCCAGCACATGTATGTTCTATACTGTTTTGACGGGTTCTGTACTCTTGGCTTGTGCAAAGATTTAAAATACAGTAACAGATTTAAAACAAAACAAAAAAAGCTGAAATACTACAACGATTGGAAAAATAAGATCATCTAGCACCAAAATGAGCATGACCTAGGTGGCAAATGAGCCTCTTTCCATAACAGGATACTCTTAACAGGAAACAATATTGTCTAATTGGTCATTTGTAGAATAAAATAAGCAAATGTGCATCCATTGCTGATGCCTTCCATCTTTTTTTAGCCCCCTCCCCAGCACACATGCACGCACGCACATACCTTTCAGAGTAGGTGCTGCATGCACACTCAGCAGCTTTTCCACCGTTTAGTGATTATGGTAGCTTTGCAAATAATTCCATGGCATTCACTAACTAGAATATATCAGCTTGCTCATACATACTGGTTTAATAAAACACATTAAAGCTCTTTCATTTTAGAATAAGTATCTGTGTTATTCCTCAGATTCACATTTCAAGTTATATTCTTCTTTTTAAGAAAACTGAAATAATTGTTGGTTTATGTATCACTTTATACATGCCACTGTGATGTCCATTCTCCCTGTTCAGGGAGATCTTTTTGGAGCTCTCTCTTATATTTTTGTTTTGTTTTTACTAACCTAAATACTTTGGTGTCATTAACAGACCCGCCTATCTAGCTGCTCATCTCACATTCCAGCTCATGTATGTACAAGTTGAAAAGCACTAGACCCCACTGTTTATATTCCTCCATTATGAGAACCATCCCCTTATTCCTACTAGTGCTTTCTGTTCTTTAGCCAATTACGGGTTCATAAAAGGAC